CAAAATGACCAGGTGTAAACAGGGTCTTGGAGAAATTGTGCTTCCATAAGCAAGAACACAATTAAGCCCAATCACTATAGCTACGTTCACATCACCAGGCTGAAGTGGCACAAATTAGATTTTTTGCCCTAATGTGACTTAGATCTGATGTTTTCAGGGCTGTGTAGACACACAAATCTGATCTCTTCAAATCAGACCTGAGCCACTTTCATATGTGGTCCTAGATTGGATACATATCCGATTCGTGGCCATGTGACCTTAATGTGACGCTCAGATCGGAATTCATGTGCTTTTTTTTCCCCCACTGTGCCATCATTCAGCGTTACCATGGCAACAGCACCGAACAGAAGTTAAAGCCTGTAAACAGTGGAAAAGCAGCTCATCTCACCTTTTTCTCCTTCGTCTCGCTCTAATAATGAAGCTGAGAGCTGATCGGCTTTCCTACCAAACTTTGGCATCACACTTCTATTTATCAGTAGATTTCCTGATCAACACAGTGGGGACTTCCATAGGTTGAATAATAACAGACACTGATATCCAGCTCATCTGTCTTTGTTGTCAATATTGATGGGATTCTGGTAACACCTTCTCCCCACGTCCGCAGTTATTTTTGACCCTACACTCTCATTTGACATCCACATCAATTCCATAGTTAAGGCAGCATTTTTCCATCTTTGTAATGTTTCTCACCTCCGACTGTTTCTCAGCCAAGCCGATGTAGAAACACTTGTGCATGCATTAGTGACATCACAGCTAGACTATGACCTCCCTGTCAGAGCCCTCACTATGTTACAGTATGTTCAAAATGCCACTGCTAGGATCGTCACCTTTTCAAAAAAAGAATGACCACATCACCCCTGTCCTTCAGAGTCTTCACTGGTTGCCCATTACATTCCGTGTTCAGTACAAGGTTCTCCTTATAACATAAAGCTTTGTACGGTCTGACTCCTCAATACTGGGCAGAGCTTATTCATCTATATGTCCCATCCCAAACTTTAAGATCACAAAATTTAGGCCTTCATGTTCCAAGGTTTAAATGACTTCTATGGGTGGCCGATCATTTAATGTAGCAGCTCCCAAATTATGGAATACCCTCCCCGAGTCTATTCGGGATGCAACCTCTCCGTCTCATTTAATCTCTGTTAAAGACGTACTTGTTTTCACTGTGTTACCACTGTTCGGTTTATACTTGAATGTTTACCTGTACTGTCCTTTTGTTTAATGTGTTGCTGTTTAATGTGTTGCTGTTCTTTGATTGTAAAGCGTCCTTGAGCATGGCAAAGGCGCTATATAAATAAAAGTGGTGCTGGTGGTGATAATGTATTTGTGCAATGCACACTGGGTATTGTGGCGAGAGAAACACAGAAAGGACAAAGTTCAGTCAAACTGATGAGGCAGGGCGGGCAACACCTCTACTAAATGCCAGTATATTACAAGCTAGTTTCAGGCAGGAACTGGTCAGAAAAATTAAGAAGTAAATCCCTGAGAAAAGGGGGATTTTTGTAGGTCCAACCGGAGGTGCCTCACCTTGCTGCGGATGCGTAGGTGAGTGTAGGGAATGAACTCTGGGTGCTCATGGCTGTGGTGCTGAGCCTTCAGGAAAGTGTTCAGCATGCAGACTCCCACCCCAGGAAGGGCCACAACAAAGGTCAAGATCTTCCAGGTCCTCCCTTAAAGATAAGAAGAGAGAATTCTGACTCAATGTCACCCTGAGTAAGAGAATAAGGAGGTTATAGAGCTGGTAACCTGCCGGCTACCAGAGACTGCAGCGCCTTTATTCATATCAGCTATTTCAACACCCTAAAATACCTAATTTAATAATTTCACAACCCTGGATGAAGTCACACAAAATAAACTACAGAAACATCAACCAAACTACCTGCCCAGGTGTAATGCAACCACTTATCTGTCTATCCACACAAATATAAACGAAGACTCCAGCTTTTTTGGAAATATCGAAAGTGCTGACCGTGCCTAATGCTAATGCTAAGCTAACTCAACACGTTTCCACTCTCCGCGATATAAACGCTACTTTTTAACGGCAAAAACAGCGACATTATTCATAGCTTAAGGTGTAAAAAGGCGTTTATAACTAAGTAGTTGTGACTAAAACCAAAGCAAATATACAGTTAAACACACGAGTCGTGAGAAAGTAGTTAGTATTAGCATTTAGCTTCAGTGCTGCAAGGTCAAACTGCGCTGTAGAGGCTCCGCCTTTTCGACACAAACAGCCCGGAATCTGTAGTTTTCAAAAAAAGCCAGGTTGTTGATCAAACTCACCGCCCTGCTCGCCGTGAGCTACAGCGGACAGTTGGCGGGTTTGAGCCCGAGAAGCGGAGCGCAGGAGGGCGCCGGAGAAGCGGCCGAGCAGAGCCATGTTTGCGGGGAAACGTTAAGGCTGCGGTCACTTGCTGCGCTTTAGAGCCGAGAGCCTGAGCGCCGCCTACTGAGCGGGAGGACCACCGGAAACAGACACTGTACTTCAGTTTAATAAGGAAGCCCGTTTCAGCCTCTGGAGATAAATATACATCCATTTATTAACACGTTATAATGGGAAAGTTTTCTATAGATATGACTAAGTATCTAATAATACTAAGATTCTGTCTTAGTACCTACAATATCTAGTATCTCATAGTTATGACCTAATATCTCATAGTTTTGAGATTCTATCTCGTAAAACGACCTAGCATCTTAGTATTGTCATTTAATATCTCATAATTATGACACAGCATTGTATTACTATGACATTGTTATCTCATAATAATGAGACGCTTTTTTGTAATCATGACTTAGTATCTCATAATTTTAAAATTCAGTCTTGTAATTATGACTTAATATCTCATTATTATGACTTAGTATCTCATAATGTTAAAATTCAGTCTCATAATTATGACTTAATATCCCATTGTTATGACTTAGTATCTCATAATATTAAAATTCAGTCTCGTGATTATGACTTAATATCCCATTGTTATGACTTAGTATCTCATAATATTAAAATTCAGTCTCGTAATTATGACTTAATATCCCATTGTTATGACTTAGTATCTCATAATATTAAAATTCAGTCTCGTAATTATGACTTAATATCCCATTATTATGACTTAGTATCTCATAATATTAAAATTCAGTCTTGTAATTATGACGTAATATCTCATTATTATGACTAAGAATCTCACAATCGTCAGCTGGTATCTCATAATAACGACTTAATTTGATGAGAAAATATTCTCATAATTATGAGAAAGTCATAATTTTGAGAATATATTGTCTCATTATAATGACATTATGAGACATTAAGTCATAATTACAAGACTGAATTTTAATATTATGAGATAACAAGTCATAAATAGCGTCTCATTATTATGAGATAACAAGTCATAATAATAAGATGCTGTGTCATACTTATGAGATGTTAAATTATAATTATGAGATGCTATGCCATTAATAATTATTAATTAATGATATTAAATCACACTTCTAAGATGCTAGGCCATTTTAAGAGATAGAATCTCACAATTATGAGATATTAAATTATAATTATAAGATACTAGGTCCTAGAACACTTTTTGGTCCTCAAAGAACCCTTTGCGTGATTGAAGGGTTCTTTGTGCCGCAAGACGTTCTTCAGATTGATGGAGAATGTGTTTTAGATGGTTCTACATAGAGCCTTTTGGAAAAGGGTTCTTTATAGCAGCAAAAAGGTTCTTTTATTGTCATAGGCTCGACACCATAACAATGGAAGAACCCTTTTGGTCACTATATAGAACCCTTTCATAAAGGTTTTATATAGAACCATCTACAACACATTCTCCATCAATCTAAAGAACGCTTTCATGTTGTAAAGAACCCGTTTAATCATGCAAATGGTTCTTTGAGTTCATTTTCTTTACTAAAGAACCCTTGAAGAACCATCATTTTTAAGATCGTAGAGCGCATGGTTCTAAACAGAACCCCTGCCTTTACTAAAGAACCACTGAACCATCTTTTTAAGTGTGTGTAGTATGCACTGCACAAATATGGTGGCATATTCTAGAAAATAATGTAGGTAAAAATAAAATCCACTCAGATTTTTTAGATGTTTAACCCTCTATTGGATGGTGTTGCCTCAGGGCAACAAACTCATTTTCCTCACTTTACAATAATATTATGCATATTTAAAGATAATAATACAGTTAACAACAAAGGGAAGAGTTTGAGTAAGTCACTTCAGGGAACATGGATCTATGTCATTTCTTCCCATTGTCTCACAATGTTGCCTCAAGGCAACACACGCCAAAAGCACCCCTGCTCAATTTTTTTTTATGTTTTGAATTTAATAATCGGGACAGATTATTAATAATCATGATATATAACTTTATAATTACATGATTTAACCTTTTTAACTCTATAGAACCACTGGTGGTTCCAAAACGCACTTCATCATATTCTTTACTTCATAACTTTCATTTTTCATAAGCTTCATTCTAAAGGTGGGGGTCATATGAGAGCTGTAACTGTCTTCTTTCCAGTCAAATAGATGGGTGATGTAATTTTTAAACCTTATAATAAAAGAAGCTGAACTCTTTTTTTTTCTACTGAAAGTCGACCCATTTTTCCACAAATCTGCGCTATAAACTATAAAAAGATGGCGTCTCTTCAGTGATCTGCTCTGTAAACATTATTTTTATAAAATAATACAAAGAGCGGCTTTCAGTAGTAAATTGTAAGCATATAGCAATATGTGTTTGATCATAAAACTAATTTGAGGAGAGCTTTTACAAAAAAAACCCAAAACTTTACATGTATTTCATGCAGTTACTGAATAATTTGCCTTACGATTAGGGCCTGTAAATTCAGATGGAAAAACCAAGCATAAGAGGTTAATAATCAAGGCCCATTTTATGCAAGGAAGTGCAGTTTTTAAATGCTATCATAATGCATGCAGTAGAGGGTTAAGTTAAAAATAGCGGCTTTTAGCGGCTTCTTGGTGCATTTTTCGTATATAAAGCCGTGAAGCGCCTTGTGAAATGGAGTAGGAGTGGGGAAAGCGGCTCTGTGAGTCTGTGTAAGCTGGAGCTGACCCCGGTGTTTCTGTCCTGTCCTTTTTTTGTGTTTGCAGTAGCCGCCTGTGTGGACACAGAGACAGCAAAGAGCAAAAACCAGCCGGCAGCAGATCCAGTCGGGAGAAAAACGGTAAGAATATCAGTCTGAAATTCCTGAAGGCCTCTGAGAAGAACATTCGCAGGTCTGGTGTGATGTTAGAACATGTCGCTGCTGTCGCAAGAAAACCTTGTCGTTTTTCAATTTTTGACATCATTTGAGAATGCCTGTTGTTCTTTACATTGTCTGTAAAGTTCGTGAAGATTGGACCAAAAGAAACGGCCCAAAATGACTTGGAAAAAAGTCTGGTTCCATTGACTTACATTGGAAATAAAGTAGGTTTTTTCCTTCTCCTGTAAAGTTACTATTTTGGAGATACAAGGTTTTCTTCCGACAGCAGTGATACACAGTGAATGGCGGTTAAAAAAGAAGTGATTAGAGTTTTTAAACAGCAGTTTCTTTTGGTCTGGTTGGCTGGACGGCCCATTTTAGTGTTTTTTTATATAATACAGATAATTGACTCACTCAAACTGTGATATGTTGTTAATGTAAACATTATTTAGACGTTAGAAAGTCTTGCATATTGCTGTTTAAGTGTTTTAGGAATTAAACACACTTTAAAAAACAATATACAGCAGTTTTCAGCACTTTTACAGTTTTAATAGTCCATTGTTTTTCTCTAATACTTAATTAATCAAGCAGTTTTAATATCTTTAATGATCTTTTACAGATGATAAATAATGATCTTAGATGTTTGTAACGAAAGAAGCCGACATTCTGTGTTGATCTACAGGTTAATGTTCACCGTTTGTGTCGGTTTGACCTTTGCGTTTAGTGTAACCCTTATATTTAGCCTATTTTTAGTGTATTTTTTGAAGCAATGCTGTGATTTATGAAGCTTTTTTTGTTCATAGCTTCTTTATGTCTAGTCCAGATTTATTCTGGATGATTATAGATGTTTTGATAGCTCACATTGGCTGTTCTCATGTCCTGCTGTCACGTGCAATGACAGAGTAAATAATAATGCCATCTGACTTTAACCACTATATCTCTTTCATCAGCAGCTTTGTCAGTAGCAGGGTGTTGTGAGGCAAAATAGTCCCCAAAGAAAACTTATTATTTCAGATTTTTCACTATTTTACCATCATCTGTGGAGCCCTGCTGGTGACATTCCGTATAAGGAAAGATATTAAATAAGCTTAGTAAGTGGGAACTGGATCATGCCTTACTAAGCTGTGGTCAAGGCTTTATTCTCATTCCCACACCTTACTAAGTCATGGCCATGCATTAGGATCTCATTCCCACACCTTACTAAACTGTGGCAACGACTTAATTATCTCATGCCCACACCTTACAAAGTTGTGGTCATGCATTATTTTTATTTATACTTGATAATCTTTATACTCCGTAATCATCAACAACATAAACTCAGAAGACTCGTGTAGGTTCACTGGTGGTTCTCAATAGTAAATAAAATGTCTATATTTGTGTTGTAGTCATGGCGACCCCTGGTTCCTATCACCGCCACTGTAAAGACATCTGAACCATTTCACACCAAACCACTGTGAATCACTCTGATTACAGCTCACACACTGAATTGAGTGACCTTTTAAACTACCATCAGTCTCTGTTTCTGTCTCTTCTCAGATGGAGTCTATCAATTATGACCGGTTCACTTCGGCTGAGGCTGAAATCACTCATCGTCATCATCAACAGGAGCCTCCATACACACCCAGTCAGTTACACTCATCACTATTCACTCATTACTCACCACTCATTACTCATCAGTATTCACTCGTTACTCATCACTCATTACTCACCACTGATCACTCACCCCTCATCACTTATTAATCAGCACTCATCACGCATTACTCTTCACTCATCATTCATCACTCACCACTCATCACTCACAACTCATCATTCACCATTCATCACTGAAGTGATGAGTAATGGGTGATGATTAATAAGTGACAAGTGGTGAGTAATGAGTGATGGGTATTGAGTGATTGGTGGTGAGTGCTCATTACTCATCACTCATCATTCATCACTTATTAATCATTAGCCATTACTCATCACTCATTACTCATTACTCATCACTCATTACTCATTACTCATCACTCATTACTCATTACGTATCACTCATTACTCATTACTCATTACTTATCACTCATCTCTCATAACTCATTACTCATCACTCATTAACTCATCACTCATCATTCTTTACTCATCACTCATTACTCATCACTCATTAACTCATCACTCATCACTCTACTCATCACTCTTTACTCATCACTCATCACTCATCACTCATTACTCATTACTTATCACTCATCTCTCATCACTCATTACTCATCACTCATTAACTCATCACTCATCATTCTTTACTCATCACTCATTACTCATCACTCACCACTCATCACTCATTATTCATTACTCATCTCTCATCACTCATTACTCATCACTCATTAACTCATCACTCTTTACTCATCACTCGTCACTAATTACTCATCACTCATCACTCGTCACTAATTACTCATCACTCATTACTCATTACTTATCACTCATTACTCATTACTTATCACTCCTCTCTCATCACTCATTACTCATCACTCGTTACTCATCACTCATTAACTCATCACTCTTTACTCATCACTCATTACTTATCACTCACCACTCATCACTCTTTACTCATCACTCATTAACTCACCACTCATTACTCATCACTCACCACTCATCACTCATCATTCATCACTCATCTCTCATCACTCATCATTCATTACTCATCACTCACCACTCATTACTCATCAGTCATTACTCATCACTCATTACTCATCACTCATTACTCATTACTCATTACTCATCTCCTCTCAGACCTGTCATTATTACAGTCAGGTAGAAAAGTTTTGGCACCCCTGGATAGACTGCACATTTGTCATGATTTTGAGGTGAAAATAAGTTAAAACATCCTCTACACAGAACACACTTCTGCGTGTTTATTGTCATGACTGTCTTAAATACAATGTTGCCAAAACATATAAACTTCAAAGCTAAACATACTTTGTAGAACTAAAAGCAAATATAGAATCAATGATGGTAATGATGATAATAGTCACAGTGAAATAACAATAATAATAAAAAGAAATACCTACCTACTGGAATGCATAGTGCCAACAGTAAAGTTTGGTGGAGGAGGGATGATGAGCTGGGGCTGTTTTTCAGGCTCCTCAGTTCCAGTGAAGGGTGATGTTGATGCTGCAGCACAAAGACATTTTACACAGTTATCTGCTTCCAGCTTTGTGTCAGCAGTTTGGGGAAGAGCCTTTCCTGTTCCAGCATGACTGAGCCCCTCTGCACAAAGCAGCTCCATAAAGACATGGAGTGACCAGTTTGGTGTGGAGGAACTCCAGTGGCCTGCACAGAGCCCTGACCTCAACCCCACTGAACACCTTTGGGATGAACTGAAACATTGTTGGCCTTTTGATCCAACATCAGTGCCTGACCACAAAAATGCTTTTTCTCAGCTGCCAGAACGCAACTGCTCAACCATTTAAGGTAGAACGGTAAAATCTAAAATAGAAAACCTGCAGCATGGTCTGTAGAGTCCACCACTCAGAATCTGGAGGATCTGGAGAGGTTCTGTATGGAGGAATGGTTTTAGATCCTTTGCCATGTGTTCTTCAGTCTTGATAAGGGTTAAAGGAAAAGACTCAGAGCTGCAGAGCTGTAGTAAATGAGTTCTAACAATTACCTAAAACAATCATCTAAAATTCAATATTTTTTTCATAATAGGATAGGATTTTTTTCTTTCATTCATTATACACAGTTTTTTTTAGTTGTTTTGAATAAAAAAAATTGTTTTTTACAGTCCGTTTTGTTCATGTTTATCAGGGGTGCCAATGTTTTTGGAGGACACTGTATTTGGTAGATGGAATATATATTTTATATATATATATTAGTATTAAGAGATTTGCATGTTAGAGATTCACTCAACTTTCATATTCTCAAAATTTCAATGTCACAATATCACAAAATCAAATCAAGTCTAATGTAATCAGATGTAGTTTAGCATATTTTATTATTACTTTAGTTGTGTACAATGGTGACACTCTTAATCTGTGCTTATTGTCAGGCTGGGAAATGTAGTCCAGAGTCTGCACAAGTCCAAATGAGCATGAACGATGTAATTGTACATAGTTGTGTATAATGTGATGGTGTGTGTGTGTGTGTGTGTGTGTGTGTGTGTGTGTGTGTGTGTGTGTTGTGTGTGTTCAGACAGACAGAACAGGAGGATCTGCATCATGTTCGGAGTTCTCTCAGTGTTCCTGCTCATCCTCACACTCACAGTGGGAATCAAATGTAAGTAACTTAAATGTAAATATAAACAAATTCTAACCTCAACTTCCACCTTAATCCTAAACCTAATCCTAACCTTAACTTCCACTTTAATCCTAAACCTAATCCTAACCTTAACTTCCACCTCAATCCTAAACCTATTCCTAACCTTACCTTCCACCTTTATCATAAACCTAATCCTAACCTTAACTTCCAGCCTAACCCTAACCTTAACTTCCACCTCAATCCTAAACCTAATCCTAACCTTAACTTCCACCTCAATCCTAAACCTAATCCTAACCTTAACTTCCACCATAATCCTAAACCTAATCCTAACCTTAACTTCCAGCCTAATCCTAACCTTAACTTCCACCTCAATCCTAAACCTAATCCTAACCTTAACTTCCACCTTAATCATAAACCTAATCCTAACCTTAACTTCCAGCCTAACCCTAACCTTAACTTCCACCTTAATCCTAAACTTAATCCCAACATTAACTTCCACTTTAATCCTAAACCTAATCCTAATCTTATTTTCTGACCTAATCCTAAACCTAATGCAAACATTAATCTCCAGCTGCTGCAGCTCTTCATTTGTGTATGGGCTCAAATCGATTTGGCTCTACAACATTTTGGACACAGACCTCCTCGAAGTCCTCCACACTTCGCCATCTTCCAGAAATAGGCAAGAAAACTGTAAAAATAACTGTAAACAGAAAGCTGCTGCTGCCGTTAGCCGTGTTGAACGGCTGTAGCTACAGACAGTGACTACAAAAGCACGTTAGCTCGCGCACTGATCTCAGTGGAGATACGGTTTTTACAGGAAACACAGAACTAATCCTGGGGTAAACGTTTATAATATACGTTTAGTTTATATAAAACACGTTTTAGGCCAAAACTTTATAACAAAACAGTGTCTCACGTATCAAGCGACACATTTAAAGCCATTTTGTGTAATAACTTAACAGGATGTAGCTTTGAAAGCCTTTAAATGCTTCCTAGGACTGTAATGGTGAACAGTTCTGACTCCGCTCTCTAAAAAGACACATTTCACACCAAACCACTCTGAACGATTTTGTTTACGTCTAAATCATTAAATGATTAAGTAATTTTGCAAAATCAGTGGAGTTCCCCTTTGATTTTAACTTCCACCTTAGTCTTATATGTAGTCCTAACTTTAACTTCCACCTTAATCCTAGACCTAATCCTAAAGTTAATCCTAAACCCTTTTGAAGCTGTTTTCTGTTTCTCTGAACTGATGAATGATTTTCTTGTTGTGTTTCACTCTCAGTCACTCAGGTCGGTCAGCAGGTGTCTGATATGGTGGAGTCACTGCAGCTGGTCAGAGAGTCTGTTAAATCACATCAGAAAGGTCAGAACATATGTCTCTCTCTCTCTCTCTCTCTCTGTATATATATATATATATATATATATATATATATATATATATTTATATGTGTGTGTGTGTATAATTATTGATATGATTTATATTTATTATTATTATTTATATTGTTATTATAATTGTAATTATAAGCATTGCGCTGTATTAATGTTCCACTCATGTCTTTCTGTTTTTCTTCGTTCTCTCAGCCACTGGTTTTAATCCCGCGCCTGTAACTCCAGTCAGAGGTCAGAACTCAAACTCAGCTTTCAGCAGCTCCCTGTTTCAGTTTCAGCACAAACACCAACCCGAGCCTGTCTGTCTCTATCTGTCTGTCTGTATCTGTCTGCCTGTCTGTCTGTATCTACCTATTTCTGTCTGTCTGTTTGTCTGTCTGTAAGTGTCCTTCTGTCTGTGTGTGCCTGTCTGTCTGTATCTGTGTGTATCTGTGTCGGTGTGTCTGCCTGTATCTATCTATTTCTGTCTGCCTGTCTGCCTGTATTTACCTATTTCTGTCTGTCTGTGTCTGTCTTTGTCTGCCTGTGTATCTGTGTCTGCCTGTCTGCCTGTCTGCCTGCCTGTATCTACCTATTTCTGTCTGTCTGTCTGTTTTTCTGTGTGTCTGCCTGTATCTACCTCTTTCTGTCTGTGTGTCTGCCTGCCTGTCTGTCTGATTCTACCTATTTCTGTCTGTCTGTCTGCCTGCCTGTATCTACCTATTTCTGTCTGTCTGTGTGTGTGTGTGTGTGTGTGTCTGTCTGCCTGCCTGCCTGTATCTACCTATTTCTGTCTGTCTGTCTGTGTGTGTGTCCGTCTGTCTGTCTGCCTGCCTGTATCTACCTGTTTCTGTCTGTCTGTGTGTGTGTCCGTGTGTCTGTCTGTCTGCCTGTATCTACTTATTTCTGTCTGTCTGTGTGTCTGTCTGTCTGTCTGCCTTTCTGTCTGTCTGCCTGCCTGTATCTACCTATTTCTGTCTGTCTGTCTGTGTGTGTGTCTGTCTGTCTGCCTGTCTGTCTGTCTGCCTGCCTGTATCTACCTGTTTCTGTCTGTCTGTGTGTCTGCCCACCTTCCTGCCTGTCTGCCTGTATCTACCTGTTTTTGCCTGTGTGTCTGTTTGTAACTTTCTTTTTGTCTGTCTGTCTGTCTGTCTGTCTGTATCTGTCTGTCTGTAACTGTCTGTCTGTCTGTGCAGGCCCCTGTGAGGACGACTGGACGTTTTACAAAGAGAAGTGCTACTTTGTATCCAAACTGAGGAAGAACTGGGAGGATGCAGAGAAGAACTGTGTCCAGCGGGGGGCGCACTTAGCAGTGGTGAACGACGGAGAGGAGCTGGTAAGAGAATGGAACTAACCAGCTCAATTAGCATCTGTTTATCATATTCAGTTTATCCTTAACTAACACAGGAGAAGGAAGCGCAGTACAGCCATAACATCTACCACCCTGCATTAAAGAGCAGATATACCACGTTTATCTGTTTTCATTTCTCTTCATTCATTTTTCGCCACACTTATTTAAGTTTTTGTACCAAAAACTTATCTCTTTATGAAACAGGCTGTCTTTATGACTACGCCTTTAAGACTGACATATGTAAATGAGCTCTGTTCTGATTGGCTGTGCCTCGTTCAAAAAGCAGTCCAGGCTGAAACACTCATAAATTCAGCATGAGTGGGCGGGGCTAAGCTGCTGGGGAGTAAATATGTAATTATGTTGGATTTTGTGATGTCACAAAGCAGTGTTTACAGGAAACAGTGTTTACATGCTACATCAAACACTTTTATTTAAAAAGAAATGAGGAATATTCCTTATTCCTTAAATATGAGGAATATTCCTTATTCCTTAAATATTCCTGAGTGTTCTATTTATTGTCTGTTTCTAGAAGCCTGAGGTCACATCCTGAACAAGTAATATATTAATAGTAATATATATTCTGTAGGCAGAATATATCGGTCTAATGTCTCTCTGTATGTCTCTCTCTCTCTCTCTCTCTCTCTCTAACCCAGGATTATCTATCCCAGATTCTTGAGACACAAGCGCAGTACTGGATTGGTCTGGTTGAGAGAGAAGAGGGAAACTGGAGCTGGGTTGATGGAACAGATTTCACGAAAACTGAACAGTAAGCGACGTCGCCAACCTGGCCTTTAAAGCAAAGAAGCAGCCAAATCGTATTTCTTCATCAATCATTTCAGTTATTTTACGATCAATATAACATATAATCAGCCTCACGTTATTTTTCTCGGTCGAGTGTAAAAATATGAGCAAAAACACTCCTTCTACGGCTGTTAGCATAAACTCTCAAAGTAACACCGTAAGAGTGCAGTGTTTCGAACGGTACTTCGGCATTTTTCACGTTTCAGTAGGAGTCATGTGAGACGTAATGATTGGTTGGACAATCCACACGTCAACATACCAACCTGATTTACATTCTGGTGTGCTTATTGTTGATTTAATGCTGCTGCGTAACTTCATCTTCATCTGGAAGAGTAAAGAATTGGCTAAATTGTCATCAGCTGTAAGTGTTAGCAAACACAGAGTGTCCCTCTGCGGGGTTAACACTGCAGCTCTACCTGCTTAGCAGAACTGAAAAACGGGAAAATGTCAGTCAAATCCATGACATGCTTGGATTTGACTTTTGACAGTTCAGCCTCAAACACAACAAGATTTAACTGTTATAACTGACAGGCTAAGATGGCTAACAGGCTATACTGCTTCTCCATTAATAATCAGTGTTAGGCTTTGATTTGAAGTATTTACTGAATAATTTACCATCAAACTCAACGCGGAAAACGTAAAGTATATGTTACTTGAATGTCTACATGCTTCAAATGTTCGTAGGTTTGGTACATCTGCCTTGAATGTGGAAACAATGATTGTGTGTCACTCTTAGCGTGATGCTAACATAACACAGGAACTCACTTCAAGATGCTAGCAGATATTAGCATTACCCTGACGGTGGCAATCAGGTGAGCAAGAACTACTTTTAGGGCAAAGAATTCTGCATTCAACGCTCATATATTGTGATACGTTCATTGTCGTATGAGGAAAAAATCAAAAATTCAAAGTTGCTTGGCACACTCGACACTGCTGTTATGTTTCTGAGCACTTTTTAACAGTGTCTTATGTACATTTATGTAGCTGGCGAGCGCAAACCACTTCACTCAGTCAGCTGATCAGCTCACCAGCCAATCAGCACTCAGTAGCAGTGGCGTTAGTGTCCTTCTACCAAAAGCTTTTTGCTGTAGAAAACAGAAAGTTAAGTTTTCATTCATTTTTAATGGAACATTCTTCTACATTTCTGAAATTAAAGAAAGCGTCTGCACAAATTGTTTGAAACAAGTTTGAATTTTTCGCTTCCAGACATTTAGCTCCATTCACTCTCTCGCGGGCGCCCTCTAGCGATTTGCAGTCATGTTTTTGATTTAATGGGAGAAATAGGAAGTGGCCATATTCCCTTGCTTTAGATAGATTAGATTCAAACAACAAATACACACACACACACACACACATATATATATATATATATATATATATATGTATTTTTTTTTAAATGTTAATATTTCAGGTATCTTGGAAACAATAAGAACTTATATAGGCTATTGTAATTATCTATTTAGAAGCATTCTCAACACATCTGACATTTCTTTTTTGTTCTGTTTGAAAATCTTTAAATTTTCAGTTTGCTTCAAATTACATATGATATCTGTAATGGCACACAGGACAGGCATATCAACTTATTTGATTAAAAACACTAATTCCAAGCTTTTGAGCATTAATGCTTATCAACTCACCCACTTTGAACGTCATATATGAAAAATCCAGTGTACCGAATGAACAAATAGATCTGTGTTGGTGCAGTGCCCCCTAGTGGCCAGGACTGTTAAACGCATGCTCAGCAGGCCTAATTAGCATTATATCTGAACACTCCCAGAAATAAAGGTAGTAAACTGTCTCTGGATCAGTTCCCCTCTTGTCACTGGGGTGGGACCCTCAAGGGTCCATCTCAGTACCTTTAGTCAGGGAACATAACTGAACCATAATCCACTGAAATGATGTGTTCTAAGCTGTACTGACTCCACACACCCCGTCTCGTCTCCAGGCTTTTATTTTACTGTTCTGTTTTAAAACATTTGGTTATGAAAAGGTACAAATACGAACTTTTCACCTGGCAAAACCTATTTAGGGTTTACAATCAGACCTTAAAACCACTGTTGTACCTTTGAGGGAACATTTACACTGTTTGTACCTTGATGAACGAGAAATGTACCTGAACAGAACCTTTATTACTAACAGTGTAGTTATGGGGACCTTTGGCTAAACTATCAATACATAACTTTGACCCTAATGATCTCCTTGTCCTCAGTTTCTGGGATGAGGGTCAGCCAGATGACTGGGACGTCCGTGTGAACGGAGAGGACTGCGGTCAGTTTCACCCTCCACGCACTTTCTTCCGCAGACTGTGGAACGATGCGGACTGTACGCTGCCCTACAGATACATCTGTGAGGGGAAACCCAGGAGACACTGAGCTCAGACGGAGCTGGTTTTATATACAGGACCTCCAAACGTCGTGGGGTCAACAGAGTGTATCAGTCAGAATTCAGTTCATTCCTGTAGAGCTGATACATATGAAATAATCTGTGCATGATGTTCTTAATTTGATTAGTTTACCTTGTACATGTTTGGAAAACTGTTTGATGCTGTGTGTGAATAAAAATAAACTAATCATGAGTGAAAAAACACCCCAAAACTTAGAGTTTAGACATAATGTGTAAACACTGAGTAACGAAACGTACCAACCATTCAAAATACACTGTGATTCAAAAAGATTCATCTGATTCCAAAATTATTACTTTCACTTGTAAATCGTTACAGAACAATGCAGTAAACTGTAAATGGTTTAAATGAGCATAAAGTTTATTATGTAATTGTACAAGGTCTCAGTATGAACCTCCTCCAGCTGTACAGACAACATCAACACCATAGTCAGATTCATCTCATACTGGATTGAGCGTGTTGGGTGTCGCTGCACTCACGGCTCTTTCAGTGCGATTTTGGAGATCATCCAGTGTTGTGGAACCAACGACGAACGTTCTGAGCTGTTGGAGCTTCACTGCCCACGAAAATCACTCTGCACAGTTATGACGGATTCACTCTTATTGAAGTGGAGAACGCAGAACGCTTTCTGCTCAGGGGTCTCATCTCCTCTCAGACTGAAGGGAGCCATCTTCCACTGACAGTCAGAAACTCTATGACCCCCTCTTTCAATTGGATTGTGATTGGTTCCTCGGCGCCTCACGGTGGTAAAAATATGGTGCTTTGAAATCGGATGTATCTTTTTGAATCACCCCGTATTCACGGAAGCTAGGCTTGTTTTGAACTGATTGTATTTGTGATGTCACAAAAACCAACACAGTCACATACACTACCACTCAAGTTTGGATTCACTTGTTAAAATAATAACTTATATAGTAATAACTCATATAGTGTAGATTTGAAATGCTATAAACTAGACACCACAACTCAAACCAACACGTTATTCACAGTTTACAGTATTTTGGGAACAACATAAATTAGGACATGATAAAAAATGGAAGTTTTATTAAATAATAAGCTATAATATTCTGTTTATTGGAATTTGTTGTCAAAAACGCTCTGAATATCTGCTTAATTAGTGAGTTTTTGGTTATCTGTTTTCAGAAATGAGGCATTGTGGGTGTCAGTGTCTTTATCAGTTCAGTCTTAATGCTGTAGAGATTTATCAGTTATCATAAAATCACTTACAGCTCTGATTATCATCAAAACATCTTCATTTTTACAGCTTCATACAAACTGACTGATACTCATAAGATTCATCATAGAATAATTTTATACACACATCATCAAAGAAACTGGATTTATGAATGAAATCCGCAACCCCAAAGTCATCCCTGTTCTTTTAAATTTATACATATTTTTTCTGCCTTCAATGTCTTCAATGTTATAATGTTCTTTCAAAGTCATTCCTGTTCTTTTAAAGTCATCTCTGTTTTTTTATTCACCCCTGATCTTTTCGTCATCCTAGATCTTTTAAAGTCATCCCTGTTCTTTTACAGTCATCCCTGATCTTCTAAAGTCATCCCTGTTCCTTTAAATCCATCCCTGTTCTTTTAAAGCCATCCCTGTTCTTTTAAAGTAATCTTTAAAATAGTTTTTTATCATCGCTGTTCTTGTCCTACGTGCTCTTTTAGAGGCATCTCTGTTCCTTTAAAGTAATTCCATAGATATCGTAAGTCACAGATTTAGTTTTAAAGTCATACACATTCTTTTAAAACCATTCTTGCTTTTTAAAAAGTCTCATCCTTATACTTTTAAGTTGCGTGCCTGTTCTCTTTAAGCTGTCAACACTATAAATAAATAAGAAAATCAGAACAGACACAAAACAAACTGTAAAACAGCATCTTTATTTATCATACCCCTACAAACAAACTACTGTATGTGCAATTTCAGTGCATAATGATTCCTAGGGGTCTGAGGTCAGTAGGCCATGCTGGTCAGCTTGAGTACTAGGATCAGTGCGAGAGAGACAGTGGTCAGTGTGGAGCTGCTGGACCCCCCGGAGGCTGATTTACATAGGCTGGAGGACAGATGGTTGTTGGATGTGTTGTAGGGAGCAACTCCAAAACACGCTGAGGCCACTCGGTCGCACTCGCAGATAAACATGTCACACTCTTTATTACTGCCTGAGACACAAACACACAAACACAGACATCAGCAAATTATAATCCTACAGTAGATCATCACAGCATCACCATTACAGACAGAGCGTTACAGACAGAGCCGTAAAACTGAGTGAATATCAGGTTGAGCTCAGCTTTTTCAGTGCTTCACCAGATGAAGCTGAATGTGGTTCAGTTCAGTCAGTCGGTAAAGCGTTTCACAGCCCGTTTGGTTTGATGAATTACTTTCTGTTCAGCTCAAACACAGTTTGTTCAGTTGGTCAGAATTTGATGACTCTGTTCTTCAGAATCTGACCAAATGGGCTGCAGGTCAAATATTATCCTACAGAAATTATCTAGTGTGTCCATGTTCTTTTCCTGTATGTGCAAAAGTAAAAAATTGTAACAATTAGCTGCAGCTGTGGAGTAAAAAGCACGTGCTAAAACTTATCAACCAGTGCTCAGTGTTATGATACAGTTATTATGAAAGAAATGCTGTTATCACAATAAAAACACAGGTAGAATGCAGCTCAGATAATCAATTTTACTGGACAGATGTAAATAATTCAGTCAATGGGTTCTGACCATTTCGGCATTAAAGTCTAATCTCACTTGTATTTTTCCAGCAAGATTTTGTGAACCAAATTACATTCATTGCAATGGAATTTGCCCTGATGAGTGATTGCGCATTCTAAACTTTTATAAATAATTAAACTAAATAATTTTCACAAAAATATTCAACTTTGGTGAACTTGGTGAGAACAGTGCCACTGCTTTGCAGGGCCTGAATGGGACTGGAAGTTACTTGATGTAGACCAGCCCACCCCAAATTCTATACACACACACGGTGGGTAGACGAACTTCATAGACATTTGCAAAACGTGCTATAGGCTAAACATGCTATAGGCAAAACGTGCTATAGGCTATTCAGGCTATAGGTTAATCCTAACAGCAGTACAGTCGTTACCCTACATATTCCAACATTTTCGCCCTGATACAAAACAATAGCAACCAATCAGAAAGCTGAATTCACATGAGCACAACCAACACTGCAGCACCTTCACTTTAACGCATGCGTCCGCTCAGCATGGACACAACTTCAGTCCAAAGAAGATGACAAAACTAGGTTAAAATCAAACAACAGACATCAAAAAACAACACAGGAAACTTAAACCTAAAACTAATCATGGTAGGTAATAGCAGTTTATATCTAACCACTAATGACTCGATGCGTTAAAGTAATTTCAGATGATTGCTTTGACATCTTCACAAAGCCCACTCCAGCTTTTGTAGTAAAAGAACATTGTAAGTACCAAATTGGCGGAAAACAGACGACAACAACATTTTTTACATTTTTTTCGGCTTTGGACGGGTAGAAAACGGCATACTTTTAGGGACAGTTAAGCTTTTAAACATCACCAGTTTCATATTTTAACCAACTAGAGCTTCAGATTTAAAAACTGATGTGTGATAATTTATTAAAGGCTTGAAACAAATCTAATAAACTTTGCAGAGCTGCCTGTTGTGTCAGCCAGATTGGTCAGTCAGATTGGATGATACTGTGGTCAGAAACCTGGAATACAGTAGTGACAGTCTAGCAGAGGGGTTGGCAACATGCGGCTCTGGAGCTGCATGCAGCTCTTTTACTGTCCTGTTGTGGCTCCACAGCAAAATCAGATTAGTAGGTAAAAATAAAATAATCCTCCTTTACAGTAAAATAAAGCTCTGCTGATCGTTCAACACAGTTTAACAATAAATGGTCTTAAACTCTGGAGTTAATGTAGAACTGCTAATTCACCCTTTAACCCTGAAGATCAGCGCAGACTGCTGGTCACCATAGCAATGCAGACAACAATCTCACCTAGCTAGCAGGTAACAAAATGGCAAAGAAAAGAAAGATTTGAGATGAACATCGATAAGCTAAACTTATTTGCACTTATAATCACTCCAGCTGGTTTCCTGATACGTTTAATGACAAACTGACAAACACTAAAAAGTTGCAAAGTTGAAATGAGTTTCTCATTCGCCAGCTTCTTGCTCGAATTTTCCCGTTCCACCTTAAATGGTGCAGCAGTTACTTTCTCAGGCACCATTTAAGGTGGAACGGGAAAATTCGAACAAGAAGCTGGCGAATGAGAAGCGACTTCGCCTCGTAAAAACTTGAACCTTGAGAGACATTTTACAAGAAACTGTTCTACTTTTGTGGAAAAGTTTCCTGCTGGAGATGTGAGAAAAGCAGCTACAGCTGAGCTAAAGCTTAAAGCAGAGCAAAGTCAGTCTGTGTTTTAGTTTATATTTTTAGACTATGCTAGCACATCAGCACGTATGACATATTTACAGTATAGTTGTTAAAACATTATTTCAATAATAATTTTATTCAATAAAATGGACATAAAATGTCATGGCTCCCAAAGTGGGCTGATTTTTGTTGAAAGGACAAAATGGCTCTTCTTAACATTTAGGTTGTGACCCTTGGTCTAGCAGGACCTCAGCAACCACTTTAACATTTTGATGTTATTTGTTAGCTTTCTCAAGTTTCTTTCTAGTCTTTATTTTTGTGGTTCTACTGTTTGTTTTAGATGAGTTAGCCAGCATGCAAACCGCAATGTTAGCTCCTTGGCTAACAGCAGCTGCACACAAGTCACTCCACAGCTTCCATTTAGTTATCAGCCTGTTATCTTCACTTTTTTGCCCCAAATCAGTGTGCAGCACTGTCCTCTCATGAGTGTATCATGAGTGTTGTTGTTGTTTATAATTTGGCAAGTTAGCTAGCTTCCTAAGCGCACTAACAAGGAGGTTTTTTAGCATCTATCTTCCAGTCCAGTCTTGGTCAGGAACATTTTGCAATGTGACGCAAACTGCAAATATCTACAGTCATCTAAATATCTGGTGCAGCTTTGGGATGACCGAGTGGTGCGTTTTACTCACTCAGGCAGGTGACGTTGTTGGTGGAGGAGTCACAGCGGAAGTTGTAGGTGTTGACGTAGGGGCTGTCCAGGAGGGAGTCACAGGAGCTGAGATTTGAGGCCTTTGAGTAGCAGTTATCATGAACAAAGCAGCATCTAGAACACATGGATTAGTAACACTTTATTGTGATGGTCCATTATAGACGCTTTCAGATGCTCAGCTTGTCTTTAGCTCTGACATTTGCAGACTTATTACATCCCTAAGCTTTAACTGTACGAGAAACCACATACACTGGAGTTACAGGAGCTACAGGAATACAGGCCTGGACCCACAATTTTTCGGTAGTGACAATTTTAGCTCATTTTCAGCAGAAGTACTTAGAAGTACTTAACTGCAGAAAATATATGACAATTTTTAATGATCCACACTGATTTTCAGACCTCTGCTGCTCTAAAATGCAGGGGCGTGGCTAAAATAAGACTCCGCCTATGGACTAAAACTGTGTTTTGGTAGTGACATGAAAATATGTGACAGCATTTTTTGAATCACACTTTTTATTGAAAAATAAAACTCATAATAAATCTTTCAACTTCACTGTAAAAGTAACAACATTAAAAAAAAAATGTAAAAATCGTAAGTACTATTTTCAGAAGTGTAAATTGAGAGGTTAGGGTTTGGGACTCCTCCCAAAGGAAAGTACTCTATAAATGATGATTTTGCATCTGAACATTGTCTTAAAATAGTTTTTTATTGTGGGACAGCAAACCACATGTTCAATCATGGAATATCCACTAAAATATGTAATTTAATCCATTTGTGTTCTATTTTTTCACAATTACCTGGCTTTTGGACACTGAGGTTAAGGTTAGGGTCAGGTTTAGGTGTAAGTGTGTTACCAGGTTACAGTTATACAAAAACCAGTTGAAACCTATGAAGTCCTCACATGCAATGTGAGCCAAGACAGTGTATATGAGTGTATTGTATATGTAATTGCCATTATTGTACTGACTGGTCCAGTTGGTCCACCGGCGTTCCCTGACCTCCCAATCCGCAGAAGCAGCCGTAATCCGCAAAGTCTTCCAGCGGAGAGCTATTCGGCAGAACGCACTTAATCATCTCTCTGAACTGCACCAAATTACGCTCATTCCAGTCTGTACACAACAAACAAACAAACAAACAAACAAACACTGGGTTCAGTGATAATGACTACACCACAGATAGTTCCTCAAGGGCTCTTTAGTAAAAACAATGGTTCTATATAGAACCACGAACACTAGAAAAAAATTGCATTATTAAATGGTTCTTTTGTGGAAAAACATACCAGGAGTGACGGAGAAAATGTTTTTATGTTTTAATTCTTTATACTGCTCTCTCCATCACCTCGTCTCACCTGGTCTGTCTTACCGTCACGTGCAACTCTGACTACACTGAGCTCTGTTATAGCTGTCGTACCTTTCACATACACTGTGTTTCTTCAGTCAGCCTCAGTCTTGGTGACACACAGACTTGTTTTTCTTGTAAAAGTCTCGTCATCCTCCTTCAGCCTTTTCACTTCTACTCATTCATATTCCATTACCTATACATTCACATTCCAATGGCCTTAACCCATTACCTTCGATTATGGCATCATCTATAAGTCAAAACACATGTAAAGAAGATGGGGCCGTGCTCTTGATCGCATCATATCACTTCATACGTCACACCTGTCCATTTCATCATTGATCAAGAGAGCACAGATCAAGTTAGATCTATTAGAATTTATTAGAATCTATTGATTATCTCCAACTGTGACCGAGGTTATTTCTAATTATGACTAAACAAGAATGTGTTACAATTTATGCTTTGCACATAAAATGGATTAAAAAGTCAAGTTATGGTCAAAACTGGGTGACGGGGGGTTGGGGGGGGGTGCGTGTGCGTGTTCTTGTATTGCTATACTTGTGAGGACCTCGCAACAATGGGACTATATGAAATTTTTGCTCAAGTGAGGATATTTTGCTGGTCCCAACTTGAGCATGAGTTGTTTTCACCACAATTACTTTTTTATTTGAAAACTAAAAGAGCAGAAAAATTGCCTTTTGGATACTGAGGTTAAGGTTAGGGTTAGGTTTAGGGGTAGTATTGGTTAGCTACAGTAACACAAAAATCAATGGAAACCTATGGACATCCTCATATGTATAGCAAGACAAACGTGTGGGTGTGTGTGTGTGCAGGCCAAGGTTCATAGATAATAGCCGCGTGTCCTTATCATAGTTACAATTCATGTTCAAGACGAAACTCATCGAAACAATTTGTGGCACTCTGGGATAAACAGACAAAGCCTGAACTCGCCTTCAGAGTCACGCAGTCACAGTTTGCACGTACACAGAGGCCTAAACACACACACACACACACACACACAGAGGCCTGCATGCACAGAGAGCCGATACGGCATAGTGTGTTCCAACCATGTTCATAAACCTTAAGAAAATCTTTCACCTAATAATTGAAATACAGGTGATTCAAAAAGATTCATCCGATTTCAAAATATTTGTTTCTCTTATAAATCATTACAGATCAGTGCAGTAAACTGTAAATGGTTTAAATGAGCATAAAGTTTATTATGTAATTGTAGAAGTTCTCAGTATGAACCTCCTCCAGCTGTACAGACAACATCAACACCATAGTCAGATTCATCCCATACTGGATTGAGCGTGTCGGGTGTCGCTGCACTCACGGCTCTTTCAGTGCGATTTCGGAGATCATCCAGTGTTGTGGAACCAACGACGAACGCTCTGAGCTGTTGGAGCTTCACTGCCCACGAAAATCACACTGCACAGTTATGACGGATTCACTCTTATTGAAGTGGAGAACGCAGAACGCTTTCTGCTCAGGGGTCTCATCTCCTCTCAGACTGAAGGGAGCCATCTTCCACTGACAGTCAGAAACTCTATGACCCCCTCTTTCAACTGGATTGTGATTGTTCCTCGGCGCCTCACGGTTGGAAAAATATGGCGCTTTGAAATCGGATGAATCTTTTTGAATCACCCTGTACTTTAAAAAAACCTCCCATGGTGGTGAAATGGTTCTTCAGATTGATGGAGAATGTGTTGTACATCAGAGTCAGAATTAGGATCTGGTTTATTGGCCAAGTATGTTGACACACACAAGGAATTTGGTTCTGGCTTTTGGTGTCTTTCTAGTATCATATGCAATATAAAGACATTTGCTCTTATTCATTAAGCCCTGCAGTGTAAGAACACTGATCTAAGATCAGGCCTCATCAGTCCATCTCGTTCTATTCAATGCTATGTGAAAGGCAAAAACTGACACCAGACCAGCATAATTAATCTGAGATGTGTGATAAATGTGGGTTAATGTACATGTTATTCGCAGACAATACACAATGTACAGTATACACAGTATACATAGTATACATGCAATATGAAGACTATATATGGACAAGTAATATACAGTGTGTGGTAGTGCAGACGACAGTAGTGTACATCATGTATAGGAATGAGATCATGGTGTACAATGGTACAGATGTGAAGCAGAATGTAATAACAACCTGGAGAAGACAAGATTAGCTGTGGTCCAGCAGATGATATTACTGGTTAGCTGTTTATGAGGGTGATGGCCTGAAGAACAAAGCTGCTTCTATGTCTGGCAGTCTTAGATTACAGGGTTCTGTAGCACCTGCCGGAGGTGAGGAGTTGAAAAAGGCTCTGTCCAGGGTGTGAGGAGTCTGTAATGATCTTCTCTGCCCATTTCCTGGTTCTTAAAGAGTGCAAGTCCTAGAGCAGGGGTGTCAAACTCAACCACCAAAAGGGCCATATTAAAAAATCTCACCAGGTCCACGGGCCAGCTGTGTTTTCGTTTCACTTGACATTTTGCCACGAATATGGCGCAAACAAGCCATTTTCAAAATATGCCAAAACAAAATAGGAATTGAATACATAACTATTAAAAAATAATTTAAAATAAAAAGCAACAGATGACTGTTAAACCCTTTTAAATGTCCCCAAGAGGTAGGATCCTTAAAACTGCCTATTTGCTTGACGTGCACACCAGGCATCTTTTCTTTTTGTGTAACCGCTGATCCTAGATGGTTTTGGGGGAAGGGTGTCAGAGTGCACTTTATTTTGCAGTGCATGTTGGGGACTGTAGTGCAGCTCAGGGTGAAACAGGCTAAAAATTAAAAAATTTAATTTCATTTTAATTTAAATTGTTTCACAGGCCAAATAGGATTGTGCCACAGGCCTGACTTGGCCCACAGGCCTTGTGTTTGACACATGAGTTCCTATCATGTTTTTTTGGTTCTGAACCAGACCATAATGGACGTGCACAGGGCAGATTTGATTACTGCGATGTAGAACTGGTTCAACTGTTCAACTTCCTCATCGGCCACAGAAAGTTCCTCTGCCGGGCCTATTTGAGGATGGAGTTGATGTTGGTCCCCCACTTCAGGTCTTGAAAAATGGTACACTCTTAAAAATGATGGTTCTTCAAGGGTCACAATGTCAAGCTTGCACCAATAGCAAACCATTTTTGGTCCTATACAGAGTCATCTACAGCATATCCTCCATCAATCTGAAGAAGTATTTCATGATGCAAGGAACGATTTGAATCTTGCAGAGGGTGCCTTGAGTATTCATGGTTCTATATAGAACCACTTTCTTTACTAAAGAACCCTTAAAGAACCATTATTTTTAAGTGTGTAGTTCCCAGAAACTTCAGGGTTTCCACGGTTAACAGTCTTGAGCGCGTTCAGCTCTTGAACGAGTTCAACCAGCTGTTCAACGTTCAGCCGATATGCTGACCCGTCACCATCTTGGATGAGTCCAATGACTGTACTGTCGTCTGCAAACTTCAGAAGTTTAACAGATGGGTCCTTAGAGGTGTAGTTGTTGGTGTAGACAGAGAGAAGAGCAGTGGGGAGAGTGGACATCCTTGACGAGCACCAGTGCTGACTGTCCGTACACCAGACGTAACTTCCCCCAGCTGCACCTGCGGTTCCCTGTCTGTCAGGAAGCTGGTGATCCACTGACAGATGGCTGGGGGTACAGTGAACTGGAGGAGAGGATATGGTGCTGAATGTCCCTGGGCAGTCAAGGTGTTGCCGGATGTAGTGAAGTCCCTTGTTAACTGCATCATCCACTGACCTGTTTGCCTGGTAGATAAACTGTAGGGGGTCCAGCAGGTGTTCTGTGACATCCTTCAGGTGGGCCAACACCAGTCGTTCAAATGACTTCATGACCAAGACGTTAAAGCGACAGGCCTGTAGTCACTCAGTCCTGTGATGAAGGGTTTCTTGGGGACTGTGATGAGGAACTTCTGAAGCAGGAGGGGACTTGCATAGCTCTAGGGATCTGTAGAAGATCTGTAGAAGATCTGCGTGAAGACTGGAGCCAGTTGGTCACCACCGGATTTGATGCAGGAGGGGGAACCAACGTCTGGACCTGGTGCTTTACTGGTCACTGGAAGACCAAGCTCACATCTTCTTCACTTATATTAAGTGCAGCCTGAGTGTCGGAGAGTGAGGGAAGGTAGGGGGTTGCCAGTGGTGTGATGGGGCTGATGTTGTCGAGCTGGAGTATATGGTTCTATATAGAACCAAAAAGGGTTCTTCTACTTTTACAAGCTTGACATCGTGACAATAGCAGATGGTATATAGAACCATATACAACATATTCTGCATCAATCTGAAGAACAATTTCACCATACAGAGAACCATTTAAGCATGGAATGGTTCTATATTGAACTCATGGTTCATAGTAGAACTGTTGCTTTTGCTAAAGAGCCCTTGAAGAACCATGTTTTGAGAGTGCAGTGAATAATTCATTAGTGTAAGTCAGTCATGTTTAACTGCATAACGAGATTAAAGAGTCATTAGCGTTAATCAGACTCACTGTACTGTATTAATGCACAGTAATAACAGTGAAGTGTGGCTCTTACTTATGTTCGCATCGCTCCCACAAACCAGCACGTTCACGTACAGCAGCAGCAGCACAGCAGCACCGAACTCCATCACTGAGGAAGAGCCGAGACAAAGAGCAGATCAACAGCAACATTTACTGCAGTGAAAACGACTGGAGTGGCATTCTGGGTATTTTATTACACAAATGAACACTTATTGATGGTGAATTAAACCCACTTTGACTTAACGTTTAAGTGAACAACAGCAGAACAATATAAAGTGGACAAGACTCCATAATAGACCACTGTAACTAACCTGAGCTCACAGCTATTGTGGCGTGACAAAGAGGAGCTCACCATTATGAGTGACCAGAGAACTCACTGTGCACTATGTCACAGTGCAATTAAACATTTTAAAAATTACTGAATATTTCTGCACTTCCCACACTGTTACTGTCATTTCTGTAGTTTTACAGTCATTCCTGTATTTTCACAGCTATTCTTTTAGTTTTACTGTCATTCCTATAGTTTTACGGTTAATCCTGTAGAGTTGCTCTTATAGTTCCACACTCATCATGTAGTTTCACAGAACTTTCTGTAATTTTACAGTTATTTTTGCAGTTGTACAGATGTTCCTGTGTTTTTACAGTTGTACGTTGTGGTGGCTTTACAGTTACTCCTGTAGTTTTACATGTCTTCCTGTAGATTTAGTCTTTTCTATAGGTATATTTTTAGTCATTACTGTAGTTTTACAGTCATTCTTGTAGTTTTACTGTAATTTCTGTAGTTTTACAGTCATTCTATTTATATAGTCATTGTTATAGTTGTGCAGCCAGTCTAGTAGTTTTACAGTTATCACTGTGGTGTTTCTTTTATTCAAGTATTTTGCAATCATTCTTGACCTTTACAGATGCCCCTGTAGTTTTACAGTTGCTTTCATAGTTATACACTCATTCTTGTTTTTTACAGACATTCCTGTAATTCCAGTTATTTTGTAGTTGTACAGTCGTTCCTGTATTTTCAGCAGTTTTACATGCATTGTGGTAGCTTTACAGTTGCTCCTGTAGATTTACATGTGTTGCTGTAGATTTAGTCTTTCCTGTAGTTTTACAGTATTTCTTATAGTTTTACAGACATTCTTGTAGTTTTAGTCTTTCTTTTAGCTTTACAATCATTCCTGCAGATTTAGACATTCCTGTAGTTTTTCAGTCATTCTTGTAGATTTACAGACATTCTTGTAGTTTTAGTCCTTCCTTTAGTATTGCAGCCATTCCTATAGATTTACAGACATTCCTGTAGTTTTACAGGCATTCTTGTAGCTTTTGTCTTTCCTTTAGTTTTACAGTCATTCCTGTAGTTTTATAGAATTCTTGTAGCTTTATAGACATTTTTCTAGTTTTAATCATTCCTGTAGTTTTAGTCATTCCTGTAGATTTACAGTCATTCTCACAGTTTTACAGTCATTCCTTTATTTTACAGTCATTTCCTTATTTTAAAGATGTTCCTGTACATTTGTTGTTACATTCAGATTCCAAATTTTTAATGCTAATAAATCATCCGAAAGGCAGTGATGATTAACTTGTTGGCACGCAGAGAGGTCAGGGCTGTGAGGGCTCTGGGAAGCGCACCAAAACTCACAAGCACTGACTACACACAGAGAACGCTTCTTCTATAAAAATAACCCAGATATACATCATACTTCCCCTTACCTTCACTCTCACAAGTCAAGCTTGAATAGTTCTTTTAAATGGACCTTTCCTTATACGACGTGGAGGTTCTTTAAACTTTAAAAAGGTTCTTCACACTCACAAATCACGTTTTCAAAAATCTCTACAAAGAGCCCTTTTTAGCACCTTCATTTTTAAGACTGTACAAATACTGATTGGACAGTTTCTGTCTTCTGAGATTATTTGTTTATTTGTTGTGCAGTAATTGTGCATAAATGTTAGTGAAAACCTGGCAACCACAGAACATTTGGAAGTGCTGTTATCTTCACATTTATTATTTTGTCCTTAGGGTTAATTTGTTCCAGCAAACCTCTGGGAAATTTCAAAGTTTAGGGCCCTAAAACAGAGGGAACTTTTGAAGATCATAAAATTGCATATCATTGTGACCGCAATATCATCCAAAACAAGCAAAACATATGTGTGTAAATTGTTAATTTTTCTTCTTTCTGCAGGACATTGAAAACATATCATCTTCTTGTTCATTTTATGTTCACCCAGTTGTCTCTATTAAATTAGGAAAGGTCATTAAATATTAAGCAAAAAAATGTCTTTAAAAAATCACAGACATTAAACAATGAATGGTTTCAAATTGACCCCAAAGACAATAGCAGGGTTCTTTCTAATGCTAAATTGAAGAACAATCTCAGTATCCTACCTTATTCTGTAACGTCCAGCACCTCTACATCAAGCAAAGCCAGCAGTGTCAAGCTTTCAGTTTGGCATTAGAGTCTGTTTTTCCTCTGCTTTCACTCCTATCTATTTATCTGTCTTATATGATCTTTTACCCATTCACCCTCCTCTTCATCCACCTCTTTGTCTCTTCTTTGGTTCTAATGACGGTGTCTAGTCTCATCACACATGTGAGCCAACCTGTCTGACAGCAATCCACTGAACAGCATCCCCACACCCTCATCTTTTTATCATCAACCCTCACACCCTCAATAACTTTCATTAACTTATATGATTACCATGTAAATGTAAGTGTAAAGTTGGGACGGGCATTTCAAGACTAGAGGCATTGTGACCAAAACGGGAATCATGGTAAAACATTAAAAAACATCTTAAACAGGTAATGCAACCATGATTAGGTCCTTTTATGAGTGAGGATGGGTTGAGTCTTGGCACTTTGCCCAAAGATGCATACAATTCGATTGAAAGGATTTTAGGAATTTCACCCTCTGCAATGCATAAGATCATCAACAGATTGAGGGAATATGGAGAAATCTCTGTGCGTAAAAGAAAAAGCTGAAAACCACAACTCGATGCCCGTGACCTTCAACCCCTCAGATGTTTCTGTGATGATGTCACCTCAAAGGTTCAGGAACACTTTGACAAACTATTGTCAGTAAATACTGTTTATTGCTGCAACCACAAATGCAGGTTAAGACTGTGCTTTGCACAGTGGAAGTCATATATCAACAATATCCAGAAACACCGCCGATTTCTCTGGGCTGGAGCTCATCTGAAATGGACTGATACTCAGTGGAAACATGTATTGCGGTCTGACAAGTCAACCTTTTGTTTGTTTTGTTTCTTTTAGGATCCCTAATAGCCGCTATCACGATAGACACTTTTCTTCCTGGGGTCGAGTAGACATACTATAAATTACAAAATAGTGCAATACATTACAAAATAGTGCAATGACAAACAATGGAACACGTCATACAAAACACAACTAAAAAATAAAAGAAAAACAAAAAGAAACTGAGAGAAAATAAAACATGACAAATGGAAAATAACAGAAGGACAATTTAAAACAGAAAATTACAGTAGAAAGACGATTGAAAACAGAAAAATCACCCGGAAAGAAAAGGTCATTTGACATATCTCACAGAGACCTTAGCCAACTCTATTCTGATAAGTATCTACATCGCTGCCCACCATGGAACTCCGCCATAGTATTATTCCAACTGTCAAGGACCAAATCTACCTAACTGATCTTTACATTTGTTAAATAGTGTCTTTTTATTAGTTTACAAACATTATTTTACCCTCAATTTTATTAGGTTTTAGCCATTTCTTAAAGATTATTATACCCTGAACCTTTCAGGTTATTTATGAAAATTGATGGACGTTGTATTCTCGGGCCAAAGAAGAAGAAGACCACCCAGATTGTTACCAGTGTAAAGTTCAAAATCCTGTTTGTAGTAGCATTTTGCATATTTATATCTATTTATACTGATTTGCCAGTTTATTAGCTTTTTTATCTATGCTGTAGAAACTCAGATCAACTTTGAACTTACAGCTTAAATAGTTCTTCACGATCAGAGAGCACCGACTGTGCTTAGAAGAACCAGAGTTCAAAGATTATGATTATGCATCATGAAACTAATGTTCTAAAATTGGGGAATTCAAATGTGAACTCACATTCAGACCCTTCAAAGTTTAAGGGGTTAACTAGAACTGTTGCTGCCCACTGAACTGCCCAAACCTGCCCAATCAGCTCTGTCTTCTTCCCATCCTCCCTCATCCCTCTGTTGTTCCTCCCACATTCCTCCTTCATCTGCTTCCGTTCCCACCACTCCTCCTCTCACTGTCTTTTTAAGGACAGTCCAGCAGGAGGATTTTTCACAACTTTAAGCAGCCATGCAGCTCTCCTGGCTTCTGCTCTTTGCCTCAGGTGAGTCTAGAGCCACAATGCATCAGTAACTACAGGTAAGTCCATAAGAAACAGATGAGACTACAGCCACAGGTGAGTCCGAAGCCGTGGGTGAACTCATCGTTCTAGATTCATCTACTCTGACCTCAGCTCTCAGCTCCACCTGGAACACTGCAGATAGTCCTTAGGCATGCATTGCTTGTCCAAATGTATCCAGACAGGCCTTCTAATGACTGAGTTTAGCTACTGTAAGGTGCACACATCATGTATAATCACCATAGAGAAGCAGTGACCAATAGAACGGGACACTCTAGGCAGGGATGTCCAAATTTATCCGCAAAGGGCCGGTGTGGCTGCAGGTTTTCATTCCAACAATGAACATCTGAGCAAACGTTTGAAAAGTCAGACCAACTGATTGAACATGTGGAATGAGGTGAGGTCTTGCTTGTCTGGAATGGAAACTTGCAGTCATGCTGGCTCTGACTGGACACCCCTGTCTGAGGCTCATGCGTGGCCTAAGGTCACCAAGCCCGATGCCAAGTATCAGCTAGAGGAATATAATGAATAAAGAAATAAATATAAATGCTGTGAAGCTTTGGAAAAAATATCCAGAGCTCCACTGACCACCTTTGGGATGGGTTGGAGTTGTGGAACTCCAGGGAACACCTGTCACATCTAGTAGAGAACCTTCCAGAAGAGCTGAGGAGGTACTCTTGATTTGGGCATAAATGTTAGACGAGCAGGTATCTGAATGCATTTGGACCTACAGTGCCCATCAAACGTTCCAAAGAGCATGTTAGGTATAATGCAAGAACCTTCTGATGTTCCTCCTGCAGTGTGTACGGTGCACGGGGCTACGGTGCCCCGTGCCTTGTGGCAGTTTGCTAAGATGATCCAGTGTTTCCAGCCCAGCGTGAACCCCTTCATCTACAACAACTACGGTTGCTACTGCGGACTAGGGGGGGCTGGCACCCCTGTAGACCGACTGGACCGGTATGGAGCAACGAAAGGCTTAACAATCAGTCTAAGACAAAGTGCTATAAATATATTGATATATTAACTGCGTTCAACCTCAACATCTCACTGCTGTCGGAACAAAACCTCATATCTCCATTTTTGTCATTTTGTACTTTTTTGTAGAATTTTAAAATACCAGCTGACCTTTACAATGTGCCAAAATTTCATGAAGAACAGAAGAAGAGAAATGCTCCAAAAGTGCTTAGAAAAAATTCTAGTTCCATTAACTTCCATTCAAAATTAAGAATGTTTTTTTCTTTCTCTTGTAAAGTCAACATTTCGGAGTACGAGGTTTTGTTCCGACAGCAGTGATATATAAGTTTAAGTGACGGTTTGGCAAAAAATTTACATTTACACAATGTTTGGTGTTTGAAGTTTGCTATTTTAGTTTGGTGCTGAAGCAACAAGCTTATACCCCAACAAGTGTACACCTCACCAATTATCATGGTGCTAAGTGTAAGCCTCATAACACAATGGCCTCAAACTACGTTGTTCAGTATCTCTAATAGACTTGATTATTGGTTTCTGACACTGTATGGACAAATGTACATATGCATATCTAAAAATGGTAGCAGTCACTTTGTGTGTTTCCTCTGTAATGTGTCCACTTTTTTATACCACCATTTTATTAATAACTAAAATATTAGTGTCCAATTAGCATAGTCAGAAAACACACTTTGGAGTGAGCAAAGCTGCCAAACTGTTGCATTATGAAGACGCGTGCTAGTGATTTTTACTGCTGTCCAAACATATTAAAGGCGCTGCAAACTTCTAAAGATGTGCTATGAACTATTTTACTCATTGCTCAGGTGCTGTGAAGTGCATGACAACTGCTACTCGAATGCTACGAAACTCCCGGAATGCCCCACCATAGTGGACCTGCCGTATGTGAAGGTCTATGACTACACCTGTTCCAACAATCAGGTCACCTGCTCAGGTAAATCATACAATACTCCCTTATCTCAAATGCAGTTGATCAACAAACACGTTTGGTGTGTTTGGACGGGTCATTCCCATGACCCTCCAGTGATGTCCATAAATATTTTTGTTATAATCATCACACTGATAAAAAATATACAAATAACTGGAGTTCTGAATGGTATAGCTAACAGTTATTCTTTTTTCTGCTTTAAAGTTTTTAAATTAATTCTCATTACTGCAATTTAACCACAAATCTGTTATTCATCGTCTTTTTTTCTTGTTTTAATTAAGAAAAAGATTTTGTATTAAGTGCTGAATGCTTTAAATTTAATGTATGTTAGTATCTAAGGCTATATAACATATATCATCACTACAAAATAGTAACTAGCAAAAACACCCTTAACTTCAATGTAAAACTATTCCAATTAATTTTAGAGCTTAAAAGTAACTAAAAACAACTTAAAAGCGACAAAAATAGACAGACATAACAAAATATATATGTGTGTGTATATATAAATATATATATATATATAATGAAAAAGAAAAATGAAAAGTATAAAAAATTCACACATCCATTTTTAAATCACTGTGAAAATGAACTTCGTCATTTAAATTAGGAAATGTTATTAAAATCAAACAAATTTAATCATTCAATTTTACTTGAATTATCCACCCAGTTATCACTGTTTGTATTTCCAAAAAAAGAGAAGTTCTTAAGTTTGAATTTTAAATTTTGATTTTTTCGGGTTGGGTCCTTGTGCTGGTCACTTTTGTGAGAATAATTCATCACTGTCGGAAACAAAACCTTATATCTCATCTTTTGACATCATTTGAAAACACCAGCTGTCCTTCACACTAAATGTATCATTATTTTTTACATTAACGTACAGTGAAAGACAAGAGTGCTTTTTCCTTCTTCAGTAAACTTACCGTTTTTGAGGTTTTGTGTCCGACGGCGACGATATGCAGCTGTAATATAACCATATAAAGTGTGTGTTTGTTTTTAGGCTCCAATGATAAATGCCAGGCTGCTGTGTGTGAATGTGACCGGGTTGCTGCAGACTGCTTTGCTGAGTATAACCACACTTACAACTCTGACCACAAGAACCTGGACCAAAGCCTGTGCAAGAAATGACAGACTGACCTCAGATCTGAGGATGGAAAACTGTAATTGACGTGATGATTTCAGACAAAATGTACATGAAGGGAAAATAATAACAGGGTGACAGAAACGACCTGCAGTTTGTGTTGTTTTTACTGTAATAATCGTTCTCGGGTTCATCACACAAACCATAGCCTTGGAAAACACAAAGTGTTTGTCTAAGATATGGGTGTGTTTGTACATGACTGAGATATGAGCAGATGTTTTAATCCCAGCAATTTATTTTTGTACTATCCTGACAGGAATAGTAAGCTTTGATCTTGGTCAGTGGAAAAATTGACACTCAAGGTTATTATCATAACTTTATTTTCATTTATTAACCACTTAATTTGGACAACGTTGATAATACAGAATAACATCATGGACATCATAGATATCAAAAAGCACAAGTTTAAAAATATCTATGGGTTTAAATGCTATAACAAGTCAAATTTTACAGGCATGTTGTAGTAACTATATATAAAATCAAGTAATAGTTTCTTGGACCCCTGCAAATATCAGCTTATATTGCTGCTGTCGGAAGAAAACCTCGTATCTCCAAACTTTACAGGAGAAGGAAAAAACATACTTTACTTTCAATGTAAGTCAATGGAACCAGACTTTTTTCCAAGTCATTTTACGTCATTTCTTTTGGTCCATTCATCATGAAATTTACATATAATGTAAAGGCACACAGGCATTGTCAAATTATGTCAAAAACTGAAAAACGTCAAAAATGGAGATACAAGGTTTTCTTCCGACAGCAGCTTATGTGTGAAATGTGAGCACCCAAACAGATAATCATCGCTGTCTTAACAAACTCTTGGTCATTTTATAGGAAAAGGAGAAAAACACTTTTTATTTAACCTCTTAAATGTCCAGGACCGACCAGCAGGTCCAAAGTTTCATTACACACTGATATAATCTAAGAATAGGTCAGTCAGTTTGCCCTGTAGTTACTGAATAGAAAGCCTTAGTATTTAAAAAGCCTGAGATTTTAGCAGGTTAACTAAGTTAATTCAAATAAATGTAATTCTGTGGGTCCATTTGTCATAAAAAAAAATATTTAAACAATGTAAAGGGCAGCTGGCGTTTGCAAGGTTTTGATAGGACAGCAATGATATCCAATCAGCACATGAGCTTTCGGTGCTTTTTTGGTCTCATAATCTTATAATACTCTTTTTTTTTGTTTAAATAGTGTTGATAAAGTCCACATGAGCTTTTCTCAGCTTATAGTTTCTGATCATATGGGTTTATACAGCAGTGTAGTCACGTATTTCTTTTTGTAGCGATGAGTGGCGCTAAGAACCATCACACCATCCTATAGGGAGAAAAAATAAATAAAAAACAGTGAAATTCTGCATATTTAAAATATACGCCCTGTCCACTTTATCAGAAACACCTAGAGGAGCCCAAAAATGAGAGATGCACCAACACCAGAAACGTCACACTGAACGCTGAGATCTGTTTAGTCTCCATGTCGACTTCAGAATAACAGTTCCTAACTTCATCATCTCATCATGAACTCCAGATAAGAAAACAGCACCACACAAACATCCTAACTAGACTAAACCTCCTAAATCCTGTCCTAACTTTAGGATGAACCCCAACAGGGTCCTCACTTCTGTTTAAGGTCCGTTTCTATGGTTTTTAGGCAGCTGTGTCAGCAGCATAGTTCACTACCAGCATAATGAGCTCCATTTATTTCTACTGTAAAACAGTTTAGCACACTTTAGTTCTGTTTGACCTTTTTTACATCAGTAAGAGCAGCTTGTTAACTAACTTGATTATTTTGATGATGTGTTTATGTTTCAGCTGTGTGTCTATGGTCGGTTGCTAGGCAACAGACCTGACAGCTGATTGATGACTTTGATTGAGTAGGTTAAGATTTCCTAACTGGATGACCTATAAGTCCTGATATTTATACAATCACATTTTGTATAAATTGTAAAATGTTCTGTGTCACAAATAAAACACACTCAGCATGACTAAAAGTTATTATTACAGCACCTATTATTGTTTATTTACTGTATATATTTAGTAATTACTGTTCTATAATAATAAAAATCATATTAAACAACATAGGTAAATGTAAAATATGTTTATTTTGTTCTATTGTGGGTTGTACCTTGATGGAGAGAGCATACAGGTGGTTCAGCATCACATGGTTGGGTTCAGGGAGCAGAGTTGGATCACACTGTACATCAGAACAGACACACAAAAAAGGTCATACGTCAGCCTGAAGGTCATCATTCCACTGCATCGAGTCTGAAGTGTTAGAATGAGTTATATTTAATTATAATAACATCTGAAAAAGTACTCGGTTTTAGAATAAAATAAAATATTCTGGTTATTAAAAGCTTTGGTGTACTGTCATAATCAGAGGTGCCCAAGGTTTTTGTCTTGTTCCGCCCCCCCCAAAACAAAAAACATTGATAACATCATGTTACAAGTTAAGCCAAAGTTTACTTGCACTGATCAGGCATAACATTATGACTCTGATACTTTGTTAGCCCCCTTTTACCCTGTTCTTCAGTGGTCAGGACCCCCATGGACCCTCACAGAGCAGGTACTATTTGGGTGGTGGGTCATTCTCAGCACTGCAGTAACACTGACGTGGTGGTGGTGTGTTAGTGTGTGTTGTGCTGGTACAAGTGGATCAGACACAGCAGTGCTGCTGGAGTTAAAATGGACAATGAGCGTAGAAACAAGGAGGTGGTCATAATGTTATGCCTGATCGGTGTATTTTAAGACATAACTGTGAAATCATATCACAAAAACTGAATTTAAGATTTCATGATGCATTTAAAGTTTCCCAAAAAAATCAAATAATCAAATTTCAGTGTAAAGATAACAAAACATTTTAAGGCTAAAGAGCCTGTATGTCTGTAACACTGAGGATTAAAACGTGACTCACAGAGACTCCGGTGTCTTTGTTGAGCAGAACCTGCAGCAGATGGGGTGGGAGAATCGGGGGGGAACGTAGTCGATCCTCAGATTTAGTGCAGTACGGATCCTGATGGTACGGTCCAGGAGGAGAACCAGACAAGTCTGAGAGAAAACAGGGGTTGCACAACACAAAAAAATCAACTCCTGCTCACAAACATCATCCTCAACCTTCTGTATGAGCTGTGCTGGAGCTATGAAGCTAATACAGCTTATAAATACTGCAGGATCATAGCCTTGCAGCATAACTGCAAGGCTAAATCATTAAATATTTAATAAATGAATGTCTAATAGTCTTGATTATGTGGTGACTCATTGTTACCTATTAACTGAGGCTGCCACTGTTTTTTACCTATGAGACATACTTTTATCTAGAGGTGGGCAATATGGCAAAATGTGATATATACGTCACACTACTTATATTATCTGACATCTGATAAGTTGGAACAGATAAAGTAGCACCATGTTTTAAAAATACTATTAAAAACTATAAATACAGTGATTTATAATCAACATTTTACACACTGCACTGCATTAAATCCAATCAACAGGACTAAGGCTACGTTCACATTACCAAGCTGAAGTGGCACAAATCAGACTTTCTGCCCTAATGTGACTCAGATCTGATGTTTTCAGAGCAATCTGATCTTTTCAAACCCGACCTGAACCACTTTCATCTGTGGTCCTAGATCGGATGCGTATCCGATTCATGGCCATGCAACCTTAATGTGACGCTCAGATCAGAATTCATGTGCTTTTTTTCCACTGCTCGTGCGCCATCATTCATCGTTACCATGGCACATCTCACCTTTTTCTCGTTTGTCTCGCTCTAATGATGAAGCTGAGAGCAGATCAGAGTTAATGATCTTCACAGCGAAGCTCGTTCTGCTCGTTAGTTTGTGCTGATGATGAACGTGATTCATTCACATGACGTTACTGAGTAGCTCATGAGGGTCATTTCAGGACGCCGATTGTTCACATTAATGACAGATCTGAGTCACTTACCTAAATGAGTGTGAACCATCGTGTCAGAGAGATCGGATTTGAGCAAAAAATCAGATTTGAGCAATGAGGCTTGTAATGTGAACGTAGCCTAAATAAGCTCTCTTTGTGATCAAACATACAGTACAAATGTGTTTAAGTATGATATCCATTATAATCCTTTTTGCCAAACTACCACTTTAAACACATAAATCACTAAATCTCTTCATGGCTACTGACCTGACATGTCGGCACACTTCTCTGAGTCCGTCTTCAGGGCGTCAAACACCTCAAAGTCCGTCTTCTTCACCTGGATGACGTTGTTCACTGTACCAGACTTGCTGGTTACCGCAGGCTGAGAAAGAGTGAATCAGTATGAAAATGAAAATTCTTCACCAAAACTGAAATCCAGGACACACTCAGCTGAAAAAAGGGGTTTTACATTTGTCATCTGTCTTTTTATGCTTCTCAATTAATGCAATAATGCTGACAATCCTTCACAGGCGATAGTACTAAAATTGTACATTTAGGAATATATTATACTTCATGGTTCCCTCTAAATCTGAATCCCAGAGTGCTATAATGACAGAAAACACCTTGTTTTTAAATATGTAAATTATATGGGCGAGTCTAGCAGTCTGAAGTTTCTCCATCAGGGGGCACTATTAGTACAGACATTGCAGTGTTTGCCATTTGGAGAACAGCAGTGAACCCACACCAGGAGGATCTAACCAACACAGCTTTATTACAAGAAGATACTGACCAGTCCAGTATTATTCATGTGATTTCCATTAAATAATTTTATTACATCAGTTCAAATTCACACAGAGTGCAGCTGTAGACGTCCGAGTTCAAACTGTTGCTGACCGACTCAGGAGAAAGAAGAAACAAACAGTGAGTGTGTTTACATGCACTCAATAGTCCGATCATAATCTGATTTCTGCCGTTATCTGATTATTCAAATGGTCATGTAAACAGCACACAGATCGGAGTATGGTCTAGAAGTCTGATTAAGAAATCTGATAAAGAGGCTGGATTTTAGCTCAGTAATCAGATTTCTCAGTGCTGTAAACTCTTACTCTGATTTCTTTCGGATTTCTCAGTCTGAGCGTGTGCGAAAACAGATGGCGGTACCGGAAATATCTGATTTTCTGCAGTTATCGGATTATAAAGTACATGTAAATGGACTCAATGTTTCCCATTTGCACCATCATTCAGATGACTTGTTAGTGTTAGTTTTGAGACTTCATTGTAGACTTTTGTAGTATTTTTTGCTTTTTTCAATTCTTTTTTCTCTTGTGGTAGCTGAAATTTCAGTGCATGCCTAGTTATAATTAGCATTAGTGCTTCACTGGGCCAAAACCAAAAGCTGTAGCATTTGCACAAACTATATTAATTAACACTGATGTTTATTTGTGCTTTCGACTGAAACTGAAAGAGGTTTTTAGGTCATTTCTGGCTGAAATGTGGATGTACACATGTACCTGCTTAGGATCCAGAATCCAGTGTCCGTCCACATAGAACTTATACTGGTGCTCTCCCTCCGGCAGGTCAACGATCGCCACAAAGTTATTGTGACTATGAGACAGACAGAGATATGAAAGCGTGTCAGACGTTATCATCACCTCAGCACACGGAGCAGTTTCCAAAACGTACCATGTCATTAAATTTGCCAGGAAACATTCAGCCCTCTATGTTGACTGTAAACACACACTTGTTCTGCCATGACTGTAAACACACAGTGACCTCTAGTGGTTCAAATGTAAACAGCATGATCTCTGATTAGACTCAGTGAGCTAAAATCTCTTAAAGGGTCTGTATGAGGGTTCACACTTCACCCCCCCCCACGCACAACCACTGAACTTACATATTAGTTTCATAGTAGATACTGAATGATTCATATCAGAGAAATACTGAATAATTCATAGTAGATACTGAATAATTCATATTAGATACTGAATAATTCATAGTAGATACTGAATAATTCATAGTAGTTACTGAATAATTCATAGTAGATGCTGAGTAATTCATAGTAGATACTGAATAATTCATAGTAGTTACTGAATAATTCATGGTGGTTACTGAATAATTCATATTAGATACTGAATAATTCAAAGTAGTTACTGAATAATTCATAGTAGATACTGAATAATTCATAGTAGATACTGAATAATTCAAAGTAGTTACTGAATACTTCATAGTAGATACTGAATAATTCATAGTAGATACTGAATAATTCATAGTAGGTACTGAATAATTCATAGTAGATACTGAATAATTCATAGTAGATACTGAGTAATTCATAGTAGATACTGAATAATTCATAGTAGATACTGAATAATTCATAGTAGTTACTGAATAATTCATGGTGGTTACTGAATAATTCATATTAGATACTGAATAATTCATATTAGATACTGAATAGTTTATAGTAGATAGTGAATAATTTCCCTCATGAGTTCTTTCCGTGCCATTCATGGTTGCCAGATTTGCGGTTTTCCCAAAAATTCTGGTTAGTCTGAAAGTGCAGGGCGGGTGGAAATAACACTGTTGCGGGTGCGTTTTCTGCTTGGACAGCTTTCTAAATGAACTGCAGCCGCAGAAAAATGTTTGAAAATGAAAGCGAACTGTCTTATGAATGTATATCAATCCTAGTTAGTTTTTTGATGTAAATTTTGTCTCTTTTAAGTCACTTTTTGTCGAGTGGCACTTGTCGTCTAGACTATTGACTGGTCTTTCTTAGAATCTCTTAAAAGGCTCTGTGTGGTTTGTTATTGTTTCATCCATTTTTATTATTTGGCCTTTTGTTTAAAAAACTGATCATTCAATTAATTATCAAAATAATCATCAGACTGTGTGGTTGCTCATACAATTGACAGCTGACAGCCTAAATAAGCTCATATCTGGCTGACAGTGCGCTGACCTCTTGGATAGGGGGATTTTGTTGGCCCAATTGTTGAATGATCCAGACACATAAACGTCCTTGCCAGGGCCAGTCCACCGAAAAACAGTGGGTCTCTCCTCTGGGGGGGCTTTAGGGTCGTTCTCCAGTTCACGCTGCCACGCCAGAAACTCCTGACAGACAGAGAGAGAGAGAGAGGAGAGAGAGAGAGAAAGTAAATTTAGTAAATAAGAATGTTTGCCACACAGACATACCACTCTATTAGAAAACCCACCTTGTGCGTCCACTCGCTGGCCACTTTATTAGAAACACCTACCTCCTGGTTCCACTAACTGGCCACTTTATTAGAAACACCCACCTTGTGCTTCCACTCTCTGGCCACTTTATTAGAAACATCTACCTTGTGTTTCCCCTCACTGGCCACTTTATTAGAAACACCTACCTTCTGGTTCTGCTAACTGGCCACTTTATCAGAAACTCCACGTTGCTGGTATGCATATTAGTTTCCTGAGTTACCTTGGCATCATCTGCCTGAAAGATGTCGGAGTCTTCAGTGCTGTCCATTAATATTTTGGGTCGTGCTCCATCCTTGGCTCCGCGGCTCTCCCTCCGGGGGGTCTTCTCTGGGGCACTTCTCTCACTGCTGGCGTTACCCATGGTGCCGGTCCCTCACCTGCAGCACACCTGTAGACTGCAAAAATCTGTTTTACCCCTCTTAAGTCCTCCACAGTTTTGTGTGTATGTGTATGTGTGTGTGTGTGTGTGTGTACATAATGTAAGAACAAGCTTATATGTGTATAGCATATGTAAGAACATACATATTCACCGATCAGGCATAACATTCTGACCACCTCCTTGTTTCTAAACTCATTGTCCATTTTATCAGCTCCACTTACTATATAGGTGCACTTTGTAGTTCTACAGTTACAGACTGTAGTCCATCTGTTTCTCTGATACTTTGTTAGCCCCCTTTTACCCTTTTCTTCAGTGGTCAGGACCCCCATGGACCCTCACAGAGCAGGTACTATTTGGGTGGTGGATCATTCTCAGCACTGCATTAACACTGACGTGGTGGTGGTGTGTTAGTGTGTGTTGCGCTGGTATGAGTGGATCAGACACAGCAGTGCTGCTCGCTTATTTTCGGTACCGCAGTCTGTTTTCACACATGCCCAGACTGAGAAATCCGAAAGAAATCAGAGTAACACATGCATTGAGAAATCTGATTACTGAGCTAAAATCCAGCCTCTTTACCGGATTTCTTAATCAGATTTGTAGACCTTAATCTGATCCAAGAAATGAGAGTGTGCTGTTTACATGACCATTTGAATAATCAGATGAGAAAATGCAGAAATCCGATTATGATCGGATTATTTAGTGCATGTAAACGCAAGTGCCAAAAAACTCCTCTAATACACTATTTTCACTTCTTTTTTTGTATTTGCCTCATTAAAATACACCCAGAACAGTCAAATTCAGTGCACATGAGACTGCATTTAAACATGTTAACATGCAGAAAACACCAAAATGACAAGAAAAAAATCCATTACACTGATTTTACACTGCTCTTTCCACTGTACTGCACGGTGTAAAGCAATACAGTCATCCCTTTATTACACTTTAAAGAGGGTTGTATCCAATTCTGACATTAATTCAGCATTTTAATTTAAAATTCAAATCCTAGTTTCAGTATAAAGAGGTTAAGGGACGTAAAAACAGTGTAATAGACGGTTAGTTTTTCATTTTGGCACGTATTCTGCATCTCACTACGGACAAGTAGCTAATGTCATGTGTTTCCACTATAAGGTGGACGTCTGATTCCTATCACCACCACTGTGAACGATTCTGACTTTGTATGTTTATCTAGAACGGAGCGTTTCACACCAAACCACTCTGAACCACTCTGTTTACACCTTATCCACTTAATTATGCTGAGATTTTGGGAAATCGGTGTAGTTCCCCTTTACCCCGAGTGAGTTTACAGTCTAGTCTGACCTTTGACCGAGCTGAAAGTTCTCTGCGTTGAATGATTGACGTTATTTTGCTGAAATGCTCCGATAAACAGCGAGGAAAAGAGAGAAAGCGAAAGAGCTGAACTTTCCCTTCTGTTTTCCTACACAAAAGTCAGCGCGTGTCGCTAAAGCTAAAGTTGGCTCGTCGTAATTATACGGTCCACCTTAAACAGTGCAGCAGTTACATTCTGGCCCCTCAGGCGCCACAATGTAACTGCTGCACCATTTAAGGTGGAACGGGGAAATCGGAAAACAGGAAGCAGATATTAGAGAAGACCTTCAGAGATTTGGCTAAGTTAATGTCCAGTCTGTTATCTGAACACACCACAGACCCGAAACCCTTCAGGGTGAGAATATCTACGTCCTAACTAGGATAAATATCTATATTCTGACCTTTTTATCATCTTACCGTGTTTTTCTCTCTCAGCTCCTGTTTGTTTCTATCACTTCGCCATGTTCCTGCTGCACGAGACTCCTCCTCCGGCTCGCGTGCAGCTGCGGTGAGAAAAAATCCCACAATCTAACATAAAAGTATAAATAGTGACATCATAACCATAATATTGTGTAAGGATAATAATACCGTTATTATTATTATTAATATTAGTATTATTTATTATTATTATTATTATCACATCCCCTGTTATTAGATTACTATGACTACTGCTATAATATATACACTCTTTAAAAAATATTGTTCTATAAGAGTTCTTTAGTAAAGGGAACCCACATCGTAACAACAGCAGAACCCATTTTGGTGCTATAAAGAACGTCTCTATAGAACCATATAAAATACATTCTCATGCGGAGAACCATTTAAGCATGCAAATCGTTTATATATATATTATATATAATATAATAATATAATAATAATCTATGTAAATATATATATATATATATATATATATATATATATAGATATATATATATATATATTTAACATAGATTATTATTATTATTATTATTACGTCCCCTGCTATTAGCTTATTATGACTACTGCTATTACATATACACTCTTAAAAAGACGGTTCTACAAGAGTTCTTTAGTAAGGGTAATGGTTCTATATAGCACCCAAAAAGGGTTCTTGTCAAGCTTGTAACAATAGAGGAACAATTTTTGGTGCTATATAGAACCATTTTCGAAAAGGTTTCATTTAGAAACATATTAAATACATTCTCCAACAGTCTGAAGAACCATTTCACCATGCAGAGAACCATGCAAGTATACAAGTGGTTCTATATAGAACTCATGGTTCTAAGTACATCCATTCCCTTTACTAAAGTAGAAGAACCATCTTTGAGTGTATTATTATTATTATTATTATTATTATTATTGTTGTTGTTGTTGTTGTTGTTGTTATTATTACGCCCCCTGTTATTAGAATACTATGGCTGCTGCTGTTATATATGGAGGAAGATAAAGGAAAATGCCCCTCTTAGTTCATCATGTCTGAGTTTATCCTGTACTGGATGATGGTGGTTAACGGGCCCATATCATAGAAAACTGAATTTCCTCTGCTGTTTTGAAATAAAAGGTGATGCATTTTTTTTTAAATAAAGAGTTTGATGCAGCTTATAAACATTAAGACATTTTCACACTGTACCGTTCACTCTGCAGTGATATGGAAAAACAGCCTGCTTTAAAATGTGTTTTTGTGATGTCACAAATACTAATATGTATATATATATAGATGGACAGATATATATATATATATATATGTATGTATATATGTATATATAATGTTAGTATTTGTGACCTGGGTAAGAAGTCTCCCTACCTGGCTAAGAAGTCACCCTACCTGGGTAAGAAGTCACCCTACCTGGGTAAGAAGTCTCCCTACCTGGCTAAGAAGTCACCCTACCTGGGTAAGAAGTCACCCTACCTGGGTAAGAAGTCTCTCTACCTGGGGTAAGAAGTCTCCCTACCTGGGTAAGAAGTCTCCCTACCTGGGTAAGAAGTTTCCCTACCTGGGGTAAGAAGTCTCCCTACCTGGGTGAGAAGTTTCCCTACCTGGGTAAGAAGTTTCCCTACCTGGGTAAGAAGTCTCCCTATCTGGGTAAGAAGTCACCCTACCTGGGTAAGAAGTCTCCCTACCTGGGTGAGAAGTTTCCCTACCTGGGTGAGAAGTTTCCCTACCTGGGTAAGAAGTTTCCCTACCTGGGTAAGAAGTCACCCTACCTGGGTAAGAAGTCTCTCTACCTGGGTGTGAAGTCACCCTACCTGGGTAAGAAGTCACCCTACCTGGGTAAGAAGTCTCTCTACCTGGGGTAAGAAGTCTCCCTACCTGGGTAAGAAGTTTCCCTACCTGGGTAAGAAGTCTCTCTACCTGGGTAAGAAGTCTCTCTACCTGGGGTAAGAAGTCTCCCTACCTGGGTAAGAAGTTAATAAGTCTGCCTACCTGGGTAAGAAGTCTCCCTACCTGGGTGAGAAGTTTCCCTACCTGGGTAAGAAGTCTCTCTACCTGGGGTAAGAAGTCTCCCTACCTGGGTAAGAAGTCACCCTACCTGGGTAAGAAGTCTCTCTACCTGGGTAAGAAGTTTCCCTACCTGGGTAAGAAGTCTCTCTACCTGGGTAAGAAGTCTCTCTACCTGGGGTAAGAAGTCTCCCTACCTGGGTAAGAAGTTAATAAGTCTGCCTACCTGGGTAAGAAGTCTCCCTACCTGGGTGAGAAGTTTCCCTACCTGGGTAAGAAGTCTCCCTACCTGGCTAAGAAGTTAAGAAGTCTCCCTACCTGGGTAAGAAGTCACCCTACCTGGGTGAGAAGTCTCCCTACCTGGCTAAGAAGTTAAGAAGTCTCCCTACCTGGGTAAGAAGTCTCCCTACGTGGGTGAGAAGTTTCCCTACCTGGGTAAGAAGTCTCCCTACCTGGCTAAGAAGTTAATAAGTCTGCCTACCTGGGTAAGAAGTCTCCCTACCTGGGTGAGAAGTTTCCCTACCTGGGTAAGAAGTCTCCCTACCTGGCTAAGAAGTTAAGAAGTCTCCCTACCTGGGTAAGAAGTTAAGAAGTCTCCCTACCTGGGTAAGAAGTCACCCTACCTGGGTAAGAAGTCTCCCTACCTGGCTAAGAAGTTAAGAAGTCTCCCTACCTGGGTAAGAAGTTAATAAGTCTGCCTACCTGGGTAAGAAGTCTCCCTACCTGGATGAGAAGTTTCCCTACCTGGGTAAGAAGTTTCCCTACCTGGGTGTGAAGTCTCCCTACCTGGGTAAGAAATAAAAGAAATGCCTTTTTTTCATTAGTGTGTTTATATTTATTACTTTATGTTAATATGTAAATGTATTACTATTATTATTATTATTATTATTATTACATCCACAATAACAATGTAAAGAAAACAGAATTTAAGTGAAGTTGTTCAGTGTAAATTAATATTAGATATTGTAAATCTGACTGTTATCTGTTATCACAGAGATCAATATCATTATGTCAGTTCAGTGATCTGGACGAGACTGAATTAGACCACAGCCGTTCAGCTAATCGTACTGGTGTTGTTCTTTTTACTGGTTTATTATGTGATTAACAGTGTTAAACAGTCTGTAGTGACCACACGGGGAGGTGAGTGAGGTGTGTTTGCGTGAGGCGGCAGTGTTTCTGACGGCATTCTCACGGCTATCTGCTTTCACTGGATCACTGCAGGAAACGCTACACTGTGGGAAACGAGCCCTGACCACTAACAGTGGGCATTTATACACAAACACACTCACTAATACAGGACCTGCTTTAGAAGAACGAGGGGTTAATTTTAATGTGAGTTATCACTGATATAATAATAGACACAGTACTGTGCAAAAGTCATTGTACTGTATAATAAATAAATGATTTAATTTTCAGTCAAATTGACCATCCATTTTTCAGATGTTTCTGGGGAGATTAGATATAAAATAATCCACCTGCATAAGAAAGGAGGAAGTCAAAGTTCAGAAACTGAAAGCTACAGAGAAAATGTGTCTCCTAACAACCATCTGGAAGAGCTGGTCGACCCCAAAACTGCCCCCATCAGATAAACAGCACTTAAAGCTTTCATCTCTGAGAGAGAGGAGAAAATCAAGCTGCTTCAGATCTGAAAACATCCACAGGTGTTACTGTTCATCCTTCCACTGTGAGAAGACAAAGTGTCCAGTAAGTGTTTCAATGCTATGGACAGAAAGAGGAACATTGCGCTAGAACATCAAAACTGGACATCTGAGATGACTAACACTAAAAAATGAGGTCAGCTCAACTTAAAATGGACTTTTTCACTGTTTTTCTTAAGTTAGCTCAACTTGAGGACACCAGAGTTCACCCAAATCAGACTTCTTAGTTCAGTCAAAACCTCTCCTAACTCTCATTTCTAGTTAGTTTTCATTCTTTGTTAAATAATCAATATAGAATTTGCTTTTTACCCAGTTTGCCCACTGGATGGGGCTCTTTCCTTCACACAACTCACCATCTTCTCATGCTGGTATGAATTCTTAGACCACGTTACCACTTTACAAAATAAAACAACTAATATTTTTGCAGCATGTTAAACATTTAAGGACACAGAAAGCTAAGCAACATCAGCAGCTTGCGAGTGGGGTGTTGGACTAAGCATTCACCCCCAGTGATGCCACAGCCATCCGTAAGTGGGAGCCCAAGAGGAGAAACTGCCTGGTGGGACTTTGTGATGGCAAGAGTCCCAGAAAATTGAGAAAATAGAAAACATTCATTCTACATTGTTTACACTGTGATGGACTGGCGACCGGGCCAGGGTGTTTCCTGCCTTCTGCCAACTGACTGCTGGGATAGGCTCGAGCTCCCCCCATGACCCAGAAGGATAAGCGGCTTAGATAATGTGTGTGTGTATTGTTCACCAAACAAAATGCACAACAAAAAATGAGTTAGGAGAACTCCTGACTGACCTGAGAAGTCTAATTTGGGGGAAATCTGGTGTCCTCAAGTGGAGTTAAGCTAGGGGTGCCCATACCTTTTGGCTTGAGATCTACGACAACATTTCCAAAAAAGTTGGGATGCTGTGCAGAATGTAAATAAAAATAGGATGCAATGGTATGCAAATCATGTAAACCATATTTTTAAAGGAAAATAATACAAAGAAAACATACCAAATGTTGAAACTTATTGTTTTGTTTTTTTTTAAATATTTGCCCATTTTGAATTTGATGCCAACAACACGTTCCAAAAAAGTTGGGACGGGGGCCTGTTTACCACTGTGTTTCATCACCTCTTCTTTTAACAGCACTCTGTAAGTGTTTGGGAACTGAGGAGACACTGCTGTAGTTTAGAAAATGAAATGTTTTACATTCTTGTTTGATAAAGGATTTCAGCTGCTCAGTAGTTTGGGGTCTCATATTTTTTTATTTCATAATAAAATGATTTCATATCAGTGGTGACAGGTCTGGACTGTAGGCAGGTCATACGGAGCAATGTTGTTGTAATACATGCAGAATGTGGTTTGACATTGTCTTGCTCAAATAATCAGGGCCTTCTCTGAAAAAGACGTTGTCTGGACGGCAGCATCTGTTGCCAAAACATGTTTATATCGTTCAGCATTAATGGTGCCTTCACTGATGTGCTAGTGACCCATGCCATGTGCACTAATGCCCCCCTATACCATCATGAATACTGGCTTTTGAACTGTGCACTGATAACAAGCTGAGTGGTCTTTAGCCCAGAGGACACAGCGTCCATGATTTCCAAAAAGAATTTCAGATGTTGATTCGACAGACCACAGGACACTTTTCCACTTCCCCTCAGTCCATTTTAAATGAGCTCAGGCCCAGAGAAGGTGGTGGTGTTTCTGTATCCTGTTTATGTACAGTTTCTTCTTTGTGTTTTAGAGTTTTAATTAGTATTTGTGGATGCAGTAATGAACTGTTTTCACAGTCAGTGTTTTCAGAAGTGTTTCTGAGCCCATGCAGTGATTTCCACTACAGAATCATGTCTGTTTTTAATGCAGTGCTGCCTGAGGGCCCAAAGATCACGGCCAGTAAATACTGTTTTTTGGCCTCGTCCCTTACATACAGAGATTTCTCCAGATTCTCTGAATCTTTTAATGATATTATGTACTGTAGATGATGAAAAGCAAACCTTCTTTGCTATTTTACATTGAGAAACATTATTCTTGAATTGTTGCCCTATTTGATGGTGCAGTCTTTCACAGAGTGGTGAACCCCTCCTCATCTCTACTTCTGAAAGACTCCGCCTCTCTGAGATGCTCTTTTATGCCCAATCATGTTACTGACCTGTTGCCAATCAATCACCAGGTGTTTTTTTTTAGCATTATACAACTTTACAAGCCTTTTGTTGCTCCCGTCCCAACTTTTTTGGAACATGTTGTTGCCATCAAATTCAAAATGGGCAAATATTTTTAAAAAAACTATAAAATTTCTGAGTTTCAACATTTGGTCTGTTGTCTTTGTACTATTTTCAATGAAACATAAGGTTTAAATGATTTGCACATTATTGCATTTTGTTTTTATTTACATTTCGTGCAGCATCCCAAATGTTTTGGAAATGGGGTTGTAATGATGATGATTTGCACAGATTGGTGTCGGCCGGTTTGTGTAGTCTGGACCACTTTTTTCTTCCTGAGTTCACTTTTAGCTGGGTATTCGTCGTCGTGTATATATTTCGTAAATGCCTCCCGACGTTCCCCTTCTTTGGAGGTGCAATGGCTACTTAGCAAATCAAGCAAAAGAATTTGGAGTTTGACATTGTAAAAATAGTCCTCCTCCAGCTCTGCAAGTTTTCAGGTGCTTTGTGCAGGTCTCGAACTCATTCTGAAAGAGTTGGTGTATGTTAGAAAAGGAAAACGCAAAAATGGCTTACTTCAACTGGAAACCAATAAATGGGAACTTTCTAGATTGCAAGAGAGGCGAATTCACAGCAGGGCTTTAGGCTGGCTGTGCTGTAGCTACAGTAACAAGCAGTACATAAGACCACATTTCACATCAGTCAATCACACTGACCTGCCTGCTACCAGAAGCGATCTACCAACATGCACTGTGATCGACTGGTCGATTGTGATCGACGTATTGGGCACCACTGAGTTAAACAGTGAAATCGGTTATCATTTTAAGCTGAACTGACGTTCATTCTTAACAGTGAAGGTTTTACGGAGTGACTGATGAGTCTAATTTGTAATCAAGGTTATTTGGATGAGGCAGAAAATGCTAAACCAGCTTCTAAGACTGAACTTTGGAGGTGTGTCTGCAGATTCTTTGAGGAACTGAAAGTGAGTCTCCTGAAAAGAATGGAAGCTGGAATAAAGGTAAAGAGTGACTCACTGACTCGCACAGCTGATATTAGACTACTGGCTAGCAGTTGAGGCCTCTGTGTGATTTTCTGTCAATTAATGTGTTTTCTGCTTTTTCTGGTGCTGAAAAATGAATAAATTGTACTTAACGGCTGTTTTGACTGCAGATTAAATAAATGAAGACTGGTCTGACTTTTGCACTGTACTGTAAACGAACAATATGAATGAAAACAGTGAATATTTTCTTCTTTGCCTTTTATATGATTTAAAATCACATATAAGCCGCAGATGCAGGTTTTGTGTCGAGTTGTTGAAATCTTCAGTGCTGCTCCGTCTGCCAGGTCTGGAGAATACCTCAGCTATATTTAGTGCTGGCTGGTTATAATATTACATATCAGAATACACGATCCAACACAGTCTGCAGATTACACAGTGAGGAGGAGGAGGAGAGGGAGGGTGGGAGAGAGAAAGAGAGAGAGAGGCTGTGGACGTGTTAGTCATTGGAAATTCCCCTGAGTTTCAACACTATCCATATTTTTATGACTGTACTGGTGAAAATCGCACAATAGCAGCACTAAATCTGCAATTTTACATTTAATACAAGTTTATTCACATCTGTAACTCGCACATATTGTTAAAAAATTCACAAAACACACACATATTGCCATCAATTCTGTACATACATACAATTTGCAGTCAGTGTTATTATCAAAAAGTCTCAGATAACGTTTGCCCTCGTGAATAAACAGGGTTTACTGTACCGGTATAAAGCTAAAGTGCCCCTGCAGCTTTCGCCCCACATCACATTCCACATAAACCACCATCGCAGAGGATCAGCTACAGTTTGGGGGCACAAACTGATTTAAGGGGCCTTTTTTATGAAACTGACTAATTTTTCTTACATTTTTTAAAACAGGACCAATGCATTTATATAAGAAAACCTTGCATCTCTGAAATGGTAACTTTACAGGAGAAGGAAAAAACTTTACTTACTTTACTTTACATACTTTACTTATAATGTAAGTCAATGGAACCAGACTTTTTTCCAAGTCATTCTGGGCTATTTCTTTTAGTCCATTCATCATGAAATTTACACATAATGTTAAGAACAGGTATTTTCAAATTATGTCAAAAACTGAAAAACATCAAAAATGGAGATACGAGGTTTTCTTCCGACAACAGCGATTCATTCACCTATTCAGCCTACGGGAGTTTAGCCCCGCCCACTCACAGCTTGAGTGTTGAAGATGAATATACACAAAACTTCAGCACAGAGCTGCTTTATGATAAACTGAACTTTTACAGGGATTTTGTTCTCATTTTATTGAAAAATAACAGTAAAAATCAAACAATACTTTGAAGAGGTTATAACAATGCAAAGTGTCCCCGAACTTTTGACAGGCAGTGTGACTTAATTTCATTTTTTTATGTTTTCATGTTGAGTAATACTCTTCTAAACCTCTACTGAACTAGTAAACTAGCAAATACACGTAAACTCGATTAAGGTGAGATCAGTAAGACATAGAAAATAGATGACTGAGCTCCTCCGGCTGCTCCTCTGTAGCAGAACGTGCACTCATGAGAGCGTAAGACTTCTTAAAACCGAGAAAACAGAATGCAGATTAGCCATGGATGCTGTGGTGTGCTAGCCCATGGTGTGTCCGTAGTGTTAGCATGATGGAGGACGGTGCTGTCCTTCTTTCTGCTGTCAGTCCACCAGAGCTCATAGAGATGGAGATGGAGATGAGATTTTCCCTTTAAGGCTTCTTCTGCACCATCAGATTGGATTCTGACACAAAACATAAGATTAGAGAAGCATTAGTGAAGCGCGCCTTTGGAATTAGCTTATATTAGCCACCGCAGCGCTACAACACGGCACTTAAACAACAATTACAAACAAACGAGGAAACGTTTGGTGTCTGAAGTTTGTTTCTTTAGTTTTAACACTAGAGCTATGAGGACAACGCAGCTAACAAGTATTGGATATACATGCCCTCAATAATCCGATCATAATCGGATTTCTGCAGTTATCTGAGTATTCAAATGGTCATGTAAACACCATGCTCCAATCTAGAAATCAGATTAAACCTCTTATTCTCCAGGGTATATTTTGTTTTTTCCATCTGAATTTACGTGACCAAATCGTAAGGCGAATTATTCAGTAACTGCATGAAAAAAATGTAAATCTTTATTTTATTATGTAAAAGCTCCCCTCAAATAACAGAACATGTGTTTTATGATCACACATATTACTATATGCTTACAATTTACTGCTGAAAGACGAAAATCTTAGACGCTCTTTGTATTATTTAATAAAAATAATGTTTACAGAGCAGATCACTGAAGAGACGCCATCTGTTTATAGTTTATAGCCCAGATTTGTGGAAAAATGGGTCGACTTTCAGTAGTTCAGCTTCTTTTATTATAAGGGTTTAAAATGACATCGCCCATCTATTTGACTGGAAAGAAGACAGTTACAGCTCTCATATGACCCCCACCTTTAGAATGAAGCTTATGAAATATGAAAGCTATGAAGAAAATGACAAAGTGTGTTTTGGAACCACCGGTGGTCCCAAGGAGCTGAAGAGGTTACAAAATCCAATAAAGAGGCTGGATTTTAGCTCAGTAATCAGATTTCTCAGTGCATGTGAACTCTTACTCTGATTTTTTTTGGATTTCTCAGTCTGAGCATGTGCAAGATCAGACAGTGGATGTCACGAGATGCAGCAAAACACTTTTGGAGTGACGCTGAAACCAAACACGAAATAAAGTTTTAAAAAAGTTTGAGTTTTACATTACGTTTATGTCACGTCTTCATCTGCGAGTTTATTGGCTGGATGCAAAGCAGAAATCTGATTACTGTCTGACTCATGTAGACCTGGAGTTTCCCCATTATCTGATTACTCAAGTGCACGTAAATGTGTTGATCGGATTACTGACAAAATCTGATTTTCTGCAGTTATCAGATTATTGAGTGCATGTAAACACACTCAGTGTTTGCCTCAAACTGTGTGTAGATGTTCAGTATCTTTAATAGACCTGATTATGTCGTTTCTCTTATCTATTAAATGGACTAAAATACAAACAGAATTCAGGTTTCAGGCTGGAGCTGTTTTTAGCTATTCTAATGTCTTTGGCAGATAACAATATGCCAAACAGTGCTAAACTATTTGTGGAGATGTGATTATAGATAAAGTGTTTTCACATGAGCTACTGAACTAGCATTACAGTGAAACTGAGGTTTTGTGTGGGGATTTCTCAGCTCTACACACGAAAAACTGCAGGCTTTATTAAAAAGGGAAAAAAAGGGAAAAGCCGAACATTTGGATGCTGAAGTTAAAGGGGACTTCCACCAGTTTTGAATAATTCAGTGATTGAGATGTAAACAGAGAGATTCAGAGCGGTGTGGTGTGAAATGGTTCAGATGTCTTTACAGTGGTGGTGACAGGAACCAGGGGTCGCCATGACTACAACACAAATATAGACATTTTATTTACTATCCAGAACCACCAGTGAACCTACACGAGTCTTCTGAGTTTATATGGAATGTTGATGATGGAAAATAGTGGAAAATCTGAAATAATAAGTTTTCTTTGGGGACTATTTTGCCTCACAGCGCCCTGCATGTATCCCTCCACCATGAATGGAGTTTAAGTTCTCTAAACTATCATAGAACAGTGTCTCAGTCATCAGGCAGTGAATTCATAACCGTTTCATGTAGGAACTTTCTGTGAGGGAGCTTTTAGAGGTGGACATCTGGTTCCTATCACCACCACAGTGAACAGTTCTGACTCGGTAAGTTTATCTAGAACAGAGCGTTTCACACCAAACCACTCACATCTTAATATTAATTAGAAATTATGAAAAATCAGTGGAGTTCCCCCAAGGGTTAGGTTATGAGGAGCCCAGGAACCCAGAATACCATGAAAACATCATACACACACACACACACACACACACACCAATACAGGCTAATGTGTGTTTAATGTCTCCACAATAAGAGGAAACTGTAGTCACTTCATTTGAATAAGAAAAATCATTTCCTTTTGGTTATTGACGATAAAGATCAACTGAGGTTTAGGTGTAGGTGGAACAAAACCACAGTAATACACGGAAACCCCCATAAATACACTACAGTGCTGTGTGTGTACCGTAGTGAAGTGCACGATGCAGAAGATCATGATGATGAGCAGGCCGATGATGAAGGAGGCGATGCCCATGTGCAGGGCCTTCCGCCCCAACCGCCGAGAACCGTCGTAATCCTCATTATCGTAGCTGCTCTGAGACTGAAGGAGACACAAGGCACAGTAAAATATTAGAAGAGCGTAGATTTACTGCAGAAACACACCACCACTCAATAGTCTGCGCAAATACATAAGCATAAATGTCTTTTTATCCTCCTCACTTTCAAAGTTTTAGGGAAATGCATACATAGTATTCCACCCAAAAGACAGAAACCTTCAGCATGCAACTGTTTTACTGATTTTAGTTAACTTTTAATGTTATTTTTGGTTTGTTTTAGTTGTTGTTTCATTTTTATTATTCTATTTTTATATATTAAATATTGCCAAGCTACTGTTTTACATCTTTTATTTTTTATGTATTTTATTAATTATAATTTTTATTCATTCTTATTTTATCATATTTATTAAGTTACTATACTGTTGTAATTTTAATGGTTTATTGATTCCTTTTTCTTTTAATTTACTACTATGATTATTGTTACTTCTTTAGCATTTGATATATTTTATTTGAGATCTCAATTCCTGATCTCTGTATAGGCTCAGCTACATTGTAAATGAGGGTCTCTATTTACCAGGAGATTAAATAAAGGTTGACTGATTGATTGAGAAACAGAATTATAACATCAGCTAACTGCACTCGTTTCCATGGTTGCGCAACTCCCATTACCATGGTTCCACTACACCGTTTACATGGTTACCCTATACCCGTTTCCATGGTTACGCTATACCTGTTTCCATGGTTACACCACACATATTACCATGATTCCACTACATCCATTGCCATGGTTACGCTACACCCATTTCCATGATTACGCTATACCGTTTCCATGGTTACACCACACCCATTACCATGATTCCACTACATCCAGATCCGTGGTTCCACTACATCCATTTCCATGGTTGTGCTACACCTGTTTTCATGGTTAAAATACACCCATTTCCATGGTTACGCCACAGCCATTCCCATGATTCCACTACGTCCATTTCCATGCTTACTAAACCTGTTCCCATAGTTATGCCAAACCAATTTCCGTGGTTATGCTACACCCATTTCTAAAGTTACTTTTCACCTGTTTCCATGGTTACACCACACCCATTTCTATGGTTACGCTGCACCTGTTTCCATGGTCACACAACCCCCATAAGCCTGAGAGCAGATGTTAGTGATCTGATGAGAGGATAATCCATTCTGTCAGTACTGACATAAATAATGTTAGTTTTCCAGCCTTGCATGATCGGATTAACACTGAAATGAGGTCTTTTAATTAGCTGGCTTTAACATTAGTGTTAACTGCTGAGATACTGAGCTTGACTTTGTTGCCAAAACACTGAGTGAGGTATTTATTCATAAAGCTAAACTCCAAGTTTTAGTTTCCATAACTTACATTTTAAAGGCAAAAAATATATTTTTGTAAATGTTCTTTCATAGTGTTAGTGTGGTCTGATCATTCTGTTTTCTCTTCTGTGCTCAGAAAGCTGCCTTAGGGAACACCAAGAGTGCATAAAGCTGGATACTGAAAATTCGAAAAGAAATAAAATTATGAATGATTCCATAGTTTTGATGTCGTCACTCTTATTCTGAAATGCGGAAAACAGTAAGAAAACCCTCTTATGAGCAGGTGTGTCCAGACTTTTGACCGGTGCTGTATGACTTCATTAAATGGCAGATAAAGCAGCAGCGTCAGAATGTTCTCCTGGAGCCCCCCGCCTCACGTCTGAGCTCTAGGCCCCTCTCAGCGAGGGCGGATCACATGAGTTCCTGCGGCTCATAAAACACAGACGCTGGACAGACATAGTGATGATGCCGGCCTGCTTTTAGCTCTGCAGGACGCAGCAGGCTGGGTCTGGTGACGTGGGGCAGTAAACACACGGGACACACGCTACCCACAGCCAAACCTCTCTGCTTCAGGCTAAAGGAATGAGGTCCAGTTTCCGAGACCCAGATTAAGCCTAAGCCTAAACTGAAAGGCATTTCTTCTGGTGATTCACCATCATTCCCCAAAACATCCTTTGTGCTGGGCTGGCTTCCTGGACATGGATTAAGCCTGAGGCTAGACTAAAGGGAATTTCCAGTGGTGATTCACTGCTGGCATTGCAGTTTAGTCCAAGATTAGGCTTAATCCATGTCCAGGAAACAAGCCTACCTTTTAGTGTATTAGCCCAAACCAAATAGTCGCTAAAGTAGCTTTTTATATGTGAAATGTCACCAAAGTTCATCCTTTTCTCTCTCAGATCGACGAGAAACTCGTTCATGCGTTTTTTACTTAAGCAGTAGAACCCGAGAGGAAGTGTGTTCTCGCCAAATAACATCACAGATTTGGTCGCCGTAAATCATCCCAGCCGTGATGTTACTGGCGATAACACACTCCTCGAGTGTTCTATTGCTTTAATACAACAGTTAAATAAATAAAGTAATTAATTAATAAACTGGGCCGTGAACGCGGCGTTTAATATGTTTTAATGTTCGCAGTTCCTTCACCAAATTATAGTTCCTTAACGAGCAGCTTGTTGCTACGTCAGAGTAACGAGCTCCGCCCACTCGCTGCACGGCCGGCAGTTCGTTCTCCAGCTCCTTACACTAAATTCCCAAACTGTCATCACCACTGAGCAGCTTTTCAGTCGGCAGCTGTGACAGAAGAACAGCTAAACAACCTGGAATCAGCCAGAAATGAACCCAATACCATTCACCAAACGTGTAGTCTGATCTTCAGAGTCTGACCAAATCAGACTGAGCCATAAAACTGCCGCAATATCAAGTTTAGCTCAGTTTTGTCAGTTTTTGCCAGATCAGTATTAAAAGTTTCCGTTTTCTGTTTGTGGCAAAGTAGGAAGTAAAAATATTCAAATGTCTTGAGCGTCTCCTACAGCTGTCAAAATCGTTGCTTAGCAACGGCGCCTCAGTGGAGTGATACAGTGTTCGTGAAAAAAACTTGATGTTACGGAGAAACAACAGCACGGTTAGAACGCTTCTCAACCAATCAGCTCGTGGGCCGAAACTAACTGTTGTATAAAGCAGAGTTGATCACTGTAATGATCTTCTTACTGGAGAAAACAGCCCATCTTCTAGAACCCATACAGAACGCAGTAGCACGGATCCTCACAGCACCAACACAGAGAGCCCACATCACCCCGTTTACACGCTGCACTGACCGCCTGGATCTTTTAGAGAGAGTTTAAAGCTCTGCTGCTGTTTTTTAAACCTCTAAATGACCTTAACGCTCCTGACCATCTGTCTGTTTCATGATCTTAGATCTGCAGATTCTGACCTTCTGAACACCTTCAGTAAAACACAGAAAACGTGGAGAGACTCTTTCAGTTATTCTGCTTCTAAACTGTGGAGCTCAATTCAGCTTTTATTAGACAGTCGAGCTCAGAGCTCACTTTTAATAAACATCTGAAAACGCAGCTCTTTAACTCAGAGCTTCAGTAAAACTCTACAGCTCTTTGGCCTTTATCTTTAATCTGATCGGTGTTTATTGTCTTATATGATTTTAATCTTATATGATTTATATGTTAAGCCTTATCACCTGACTGTAAAGCACTAAGATCTTTGTCGTTATTATTACAGAAGTACTTGATTACTGAGTTGTGAGTAAAGTAACAGAATTATGTGTCCCCTATATGATTTTAATCTCCCTCTTATTGTCAGTTATAGAGCATCATTTATAAGCAGATAAGCAACAAAAACCCTCCTCTGGAAAAAATGGTATCTTGTCAAGCAAAATGATTTTAAATCTAGGCAAAAATATAATATTTCTCCTGTTGAGATTGTTGTGAGCTTAATATAAGATTATTTACCTCATTTCCAGACATTTTTTACTTGTTTTAAGTAATTTTAGTTAGTAAAATGATCTCACTATAGAGGCACATAGTTTAGTTTGTTGTAAGAAATGAGCTTAAAAGCAGCAAAATTATCTGCCAGTACAGTGAAATAGTTTTACTTAATAAAATTACCTAAAACAAGTACAACATTTCTGGAAATGAGGTAAATTATCTTATAATAAGTGCACAACCTCACAGAACATCAGATATTTTGACTAGATTTAAGATCATTTCACTTGACAAGATACTATTTTTTGCAGTGTCAAAGTAAACAATAAGCGGATTCATAGATTCTACAAAAGAAGCTACAGATGTTATGTTTTATCATGCTGATATTTGCTGTCCTACTATGTGGTCATAAATAAATTTGTAAATGTTTGACAATTTATGTTCATATTTTTATGATTTTATATAATGTGAGCTGCCAATTTTAGGAAATTAAGATTCCCAAGCAATTTAAAACCAATTATACACCATAAACTCATTTGGTTCAAACAACACAGAATTACATTGTAATTATTTGTGTTTTGCACTGATTTTCCAGACGTTTTAGTTCATATTACAACCTGCCCCCCCCAGCCTGCTTTATGGGGCAAGCTGCACTGGCACCCCTTTTGGCTGAAATGTTCACAAACCGCAAGAGCTCCAAACAAAACGTACATTATTAGTAGCAGAGATGAGTCTTTCTCCAACAGTTCAAATCTTATTTAGTAAAGACCTGAATGTGTGTCAGCTGTGCTGTATGGCATCACTGTGGGTGTTTTTAGGCTCTTATTATTTGGCCTTTCCTTTAATTTCTTCTGTTTCTTTAATTAATTGATCTGCTGTACAGAAATGATCAGCTTTGATTTAGTCAACATTTAGTGCTATTAACTGAACTTTAAACAGAGCCTCATCACAGCTTGACATAATTGATTACTGACTATTTATTTTGTGTGTTGCAAATAAAAATACAAAAATTGCAAAGTATGTAAAAAAAGGTTTGTAAACCCTTTAGAATTTTCTATATTTCTGCATAAATTTGACCTAAAACTTCATTGGAGAACCAAATTAAACAAACGAGACAAAAATATTAGACTTGGTCATTTATTTATTGGGGAAAATGATCCAATATTACATATTATTTTTGTCTCATTTGTTTGATTTGATTCTCCGATGAGGTTTTAGGTCATATTAATGCAGAAATATAGAAAATTCTAAATGGTTCACAAACTTTCAAGCACCTCTGTATATGTTATTGGTAGTTTTCATACAATACCTGGTTTAATCAATGCCTCATTACGTTAAATCAGGTGTTCTGCTGATTAAATGTAATGTATCAGTGTGAAAGCAGGAGTTAAATGACCTGTTAAAAAAGATTTAGTATTATTACAAATCCTTTCCTGTCAGAATCAGTAAACAGGTGAGTAAATAGTGAAGCTGGGTGGGACTTTTTTCCTGCTGCTTCAGTATAAACGCCCACACGTGTCATACATTACCCCCCCCCACCCCCCGTGTTCTGTCCCCAGCGTGATCTGGATGATTCAGAGCGTGTGTGTGTGTGTGTGTGTGTGGCAAGAGTGTGTGAGAGGGCATCGAGTGGGCTGGTGTGATTTGAGCGGAGCAGCTGCCACACACTCTTACAGTGCAGCACAGTCAACCTGAAACCACTGCAGACCTGCATACAAACACACCCAAACACAGGCCGACCGCACGCAGACCTGCAGCACAGCAACAGCGGACCAGCACAACAGCACAATATGCCTGTCTGACTGACAACGGCAAATCTCTGAATATTAGTCATCAAATACTAAACGTGTGACTAACATCATTTCTCTCTCAGTCTTAGTAATTAGTAATTAGTCTTAGTAAAATCTGTATTGATAAAATTTATTTTATTCACTTGGAAATGATGCAGGCATTTCAATCAAGTCAGTCTGATGCAGTAGTTTTCCCCAGTATTAGTCATTTCACAGTATTTCCTAGTATTAATATAATTATGCCACATTTCCATTCAGTCAAATAGAGCAGAAATCAGCATATTGTTGCTGCTGCGGAACCTCCACTTTGTTGTTTGTTCACTTTTTTTATAGAATCCAAAAAATGCCAACTAGCTTTCACATTGTGTTAAGATTTTATGAGGAATAGACAGAAATGTTACTAAATCACTCCAATCACTTCCATTAACTCAGGGGTCGCAACCCAAATGTTAAGAAGAGCCATTTTGTCCTTGCAACAAAAATCAAACCAACTTGGGAGCCACAATATTTTATGTCCATTTTACCATCTTGGCTGTAAATGCGTCTCAGTATGTGTTAATGTACTAGTAAAAGCTAAAAAATATAATATAAACAAAAACACAGTCTTACTTTGCTCTGCTTTAAGCTTTAGCTCAGCTATAGCTGCTTTTCTCACATCTCCAGCAGGAAACGTCTACAAAAGTAGAACAGTTTCTAGCAAAATGTGTCTCAACGTTCGACTTTTTTACGAGGCTGAAGTCGCTTCTCATTCGCCAACTTCTTGTCTGAATTTTCCCGTTCCACCTTAAATGCTGCGTGATGTGCCAGAATGTAACTGCTGCACCATTTAAGGTGAAACAAGAAGATCGAAGAAGAAGGCGAATGAGTCGTCTCTGACTTCAGCCTCGTGACTTTTTAGCGTTTGACAGTTTCTCATTGCAGATTAAACGTATCGGGAAACCAGCCAGATGCTAAAGGCACTTAGCATGGTGGCTATCAAACTTCTTACAGCAGGGGTGCTGAGCTAGCACCATTTGTTTGCCTTAAGACAGCTTAACTCACATAAGCAACGGAGATCAGGGCCTGAGTGAGTATTATTTCAACATTTACAGCTTAATTTACACAATTTTACATAAATATGATCAATCAGCCAAGACGAAATGAACAAAACTGCATGCAGAATTCAGTCTTCCAGGTGGCTGCTACTGTTTTTAGCTATGCTAAAGCACTTTAGTCCATGTTTATAGAGAACAGTGTGTCATACAACATTAGAAAAAACATAATCAAGACTTTTACAGATTACCTAATAAGCCTGTAATGATGCAGTTAGCAACATGCTAATGTGCAAGGTGCTAAAAGGTTCCATTAACCATTATATGTTAGCATGGTAGCTCCAGTGCTAAAACTGAAGAAGCAAATTTTGGATACTAAACACATCTTGGCTACATTAGACTACATAATGTTGTTATAATTTGCTGTAAATTAACCAGATTTAAATAATAACATTATTTAAATGTTTGCTAATCAAAGCACCAATCACTGCAATACAAACACTGATTACTGCCTCAGAGTCTCTTAAGTGACTCGTACCTGTCCTATTGGAAGACGTTAGTCATAAAGTATAACTGTTCCCACAGGGTAGGGCAGGCTGACTGCTTTATTGACCATGGCTGATGTAACTGCGGTGGCCAGAAGGGTGGCTATGGTTAATGCTACACCCAAACATAAAATACATAATCAATACAATATAGATACAGAGACAGAGAGTCAGCACTCCCAGTTTGGACACATCTGGTCACAGGACAGGTTTCCTTGCTTTTTGTGACTGTTATCCACATTTGATTTTAATAAAAGCTGTACTACAGTCAGAAATATCGGCCCTCTACCAGACAGAGACACACTATATGGACAAAAGTATTTGGACACACCTCTTAATCTTTGAATTCAGCTTTTTCATTCAGTCCCAGAGCCCAAAGCAGCTCCATAAAGGCCTGGCTGGGTGAGTCTGGTGTGGAAAAACCTGGCTGGCCCTCACAGAGTCCTGACCTCAACCCCATCCAACACCTTTGGGATGAACTAGAACGGAGATTGTGAGTCAGACCCTCTCGTCCAACATCAGTGTCTGACCTCACAAATGCCCTCTTGACTGAGTGGGCAAAAATTCCCACAGACACTCCAAAATCTTGTAGAAGCTTCCCAGAAGAGTGGAAGCTGTTAGAGCTGCAAAGGGGGACCAACTCCATATCAATGCCTATGGATTTAGAATGGGATTCATAAAAGCTCCTGTAGGTGTCATGTGTAGGTGTCCCAATACTTTTGTCCAAATAGTGTATTTAGACCCCACTCCCTCAGCAAAACACATCTGATTGGCTGAAGTTCAATAATGAGGACAACTATACCACTAATGAACTTGTAATGAGAAATGTAAATGTAAGGAATTAAAAATATTCTGTTATAAACATATAAATTAATTAATTTAAAAACAAACACACACATTGTGTGTAAATTTCATGATGAATGGACTAAAAGAACTGACCCAAAAAAGTCTGGTTCCATTGACCTACATTAAAAGTAAAGTATGTTTTTTTCTTCTGCTGTAAAGTTACCATTTTGGAGATACAAGTTTTTTTTCCGACAACAGTGATATATTAAAGCCTGAGAAGATGCCTGGGGTAAAAAATAAATAAAATATAAATAAAATAAAATAAAATAAATGATTGTCAGGAAAAAAGACAGGTACTCACTCCAATGTATCTCTACAAACTCTGGTCTAGTCCGACAACAGCGATACACACAAACACACACACACATATATATATATATATATATATATATATATATATATATATATATATATATATGTGTACATTGTATGTAATTTTCATCATAAACGGATCAAAAGAATTGGCAAAAATTACTTGTAGAATAATAAAAGTCTTAAGCTTTAAAATGTAATAAGAGTCTTAAGCATTAAAATGCTACTTAAATTAGGCACAGTGTGCCTCTCTATTTGAATTAAGAATTATGAATTATATTTGAATTATTACTAGATTCACTTTTATGATCCATTTATTACTTTTTCATGCCATTTCTGGCCAAACTGCTGATGGCAGAAGTTAAGTGAGATAATGAGTGCAGCTCAGAAACATGTTTCTGAACGCAGAGAGAAACTTTGAGGTTAAAGTGTGAAAAGTCAAACCACTATAAGAAAAGCTTCTCATGCTTTGTTTCAGACGAACAACAGAAAATCCGTTGGCTGACAGGAACTACAACACTCCTGGCACTGGAGCGCTGATATTTAGGCAAGTTTGAGAGAGTTTTTTTTATTATTTTAATCTGGCACGCTTCCGAATGCATTTTAGGTTCAGCAAACTAAAAGCCAGCTTAGCTTATCTTAGCTTTAGCACTTCAGAGATAAGCTTATCCACTCTGTCTTTCTTTGAAGACTGGATGACTGGTGATGCATTCAGAACTCGACTAGCAGGTGATCATTTACATTTCTGATAAAGACTGAGAGGTTTAAAGGTATCAGACATTCAACTGTGCTGGCTTAAAATCGCACTTATGATCAGCATTTTGGCTTTTACTCAACAGCAAAGTTGTCTTTCTTGACCTTATCAGTCGTGTAAGTATCAGTCGTCTCAGTAGCTGTGAGAAAGTGTGTGAATATGGCATGTAAAGGTGTGTGTGTGCACTCTTACACACTTCTTGCGGGCTGCCGATACTTGAGGCCTGTCTATTTATAACGCTTATGAGTCGGCCTGAATTATGAGCATGAGGCTTTGGTCAGATTTCACAATCTTCAGGGCTCAGTAGGGAGCTAGCGTGAGAACATCCTTCACCTAAACACTCAAATAAAGAAAACAACACCGCAACTTTCAACTCTGGAGGGCTTTAACTGGAAACCCACTGAGCTGATCTGCTCTCAGGTTCAGATTTGAGGCCTTTATTCCTGAATAAACCAAATTTCACACCAATAACTTTGAGCAAACGGACAAAATTTTGCCACAAGTTTCCATTCAGTCGGGTCAGCACAGGGCCACTGTCATACGAAACCTTATCGCAACTTTCGTTTTTCGATTTTCGTTTTTATACAGCATTTAAAAACGTCAACTTGTCTTTACGTCGTGTGAAAATTTCATGAGGAATGGAATGAAATGGTGCGAAATAACTCAGAATTAATTCTTGATACAACAGCGACAATTTTAGGGACTTTTACTCTCATGCAAAGTTTCGATGGGAAACAGACTCTGCAAAGTTCCACATGATGGATCAGGATGAGATCCAAAGGATAAAAGCTCTAACTCACCATCATAGAGAAGACCAAAGCCACGATGTTGATGGGCCATGCTGGACAGAAACAGGTGAAAATGGTAAAAAAGATGTAATTTCTGAGTGGCGGGGGTCCTTCGGCCTCGACGCCCCGTCCCAGACTGTGATCTAGACTGCCGTCAATCGATCTTCTCGTCTTTTCTTCTGACCGTGGAATCCCTGGACTCATGATGAAGAACGGAGGGAAAACACATGCAACGATGGGTGAACTGACCAGAAGACCAGGTGAAGAAAAAAGAGCCAAATGTGAAAAGTAAAGGGCCCAAAGCACGACAAGGAAAATAAAAAGAGAAGAGAAGAGACACGGAAGGAATTCCAGAGGAGAGAGAGAAGTGTGAGAAGCGAGGGAAAAGAAGACGAGTGAGCCAGAGATGGAATACGACTTAATTACTTTCAGGGGTGTAGGGGTGAACATTATCCTGCTTCAGAGAGAGAGAGAGTGGGAGAGAGGGAGAGAGAGATACAGTAAAAGGGGCCAGTTTGCTTGCTGAAGAAAAGTAGCCTTCAGATGTTTCGTCTATTGACATAATTAAAATCTTTTAGGCCTCAAAGCAAAAAATAAAAAGCCCTTTTAAAATTATTTTCAATTAATTAAAAGATTATTATGCAGTTTGCTTGTTTACTTGCTCACATCATGTTGCTGCTCTCAAATCATGCCACTCCACCCACTAACATTTAACGTTTATGTCGAGCCTGCAGTTATTCTTCAAATCAAATTGACGTTTTGAAGCAAAACTATGTCTTTTTGGCCAAAACAAAACAAAAAAGTTTGTCTTGATAAACAGAACTTTTTTTTTTATTGTATTTTTCCAGGGGAGACATTTGAAAGCATGCAATGACAACATACAATTCCATCCACGTGAATTTCCAATTATATATCCTTTCATACGTCCTGTGACCTTTACCTCTCTGTCTTTTTTATTCTTTAAAAATTGTTTTTTCCCCTCTTTTTGACATTCTATAAAAGAAAACAAGTAACTACATATCGCTGCTGTCGGACAAAAACCTTGTATCTCCATTTTTGACGTTTTTCAGTTTTTGACCTAATTTGAAAATACCTGTTGCCTTTTATATTTTCTGTAAATTTCATGATGAATGGGCTAAAAGAAATGACCCAGAATTACTTGGAAAAACGTCTGGGTCCATTGACCTACATTAAAAGTAAAGTATGTTTTTTCCTTCTCCTGTAAAGTTACCATTTTGGAGATCATTTCTTCAGACAACAGTGATATATTAAAGCCTGAGAAGATGCCTGGGGTAAAAAATAAATAAAAGGGAGACAAATAAATAAATAAAATATAAATAAAATAAAATAAAATAAATAATTGTCAGGAAAAAAAGACAGGTACTCACTCCAATGTATCTCTACAAACTCTGGTCTTACACACTTCGTACAGTTGACCCATTTTAACCATAATTTTACAAATTTTGTAATTCAGTCTAATAGAAAAAGTCATTTTTTGCTGAACAGAACTTCTAATCACCACCTCGTTCATTCTGAGACCTCCTCCTAACTGCGACTGGTCCTCATACGTTTTGACACCTCATTATGTTCCATATTTAGCTGTCATTATGAGGGGCGCGGTAAAGATTTTAGGGGGCCTGGTCACTGCAAGCCCTCCTGTGCCATGGGCCCCAGTGTGACTGCTGTCCCCCAGTAGCTAGGCCACTGGTTCCATCTATAGCATTTGATATCTAGTGAACCCAGAACTGGCCACAACTATTTAGATTCGTGTCATATGTATTCTGATAAGCTGTCTGCACAGCTGTCTTCATATAAAGCGGGTTTGACTGGTCCAAAGGGAAACAACCAATTACAACCAGATACCCGCTCTGCAGGCTGTGACTGAGACTTTTGGAGCAAAAATTTTACTAGATTAAAAAAAAAAAAATCTCTTTTATCTTCTAACAGTTATTAAGAGTTTTCTTTAAGGCATTTTTAAGCAAGATATTCACTACACATCGAGCTAAATCTACATTCTGTGGTTGGTTATTTTGCATGTTAGTGAAGTAGTCCGGTTATTGTAGGCAGGCAATAGGCAGAGGTTTGTTTAGGTGACTAGCTAGCAAATAACACAAGCTTTAAGCATCTGCTCACCCTAATCCTAACCCTAGTTAGCATAACGCTAACTGGATGCCTAAGTCATCATACATTAACAAGTTTTCTTTGAGGCATTCAGTAGTTTTTAAGCAAGATATCCCCTAAAAATCAAGCTAAAACTACATTCTGTGGTTATTGTGCAAGCCAGTCAAACTGTCCTGTTATAGTAGGCAGTTCTTTGCCACATTAAGAGACCAGCCAGCAAATAATAGAAGCTTTAAGCATCTGCCAATTAGCATAATGCTAACAGCATGCCTAAGCTGTCACATATATTTGCCTAAATCTGCTGCAACACGCTTGATGAACTGTTATCTACAAACGTGGACAACAGTACGGGCAAAACTAAGGCTTTGAGATGACCGCTGCTGTTGTTTTTAGCTATCAGCTAGCATACTATTAGCATGCTTCTAGCTAGCGTACTTTTACCCATTTATATAGCTAACAGTGTGTCGTACAGTTTCAGAAGCTTATTAGAAATTACTTAACGACTCAACGCAGTTTGAAGCAAGTGTGATGATTTCGACGTGCTATTAGCACTATGCTCACTAGAGGGGTACAAACACTCCTAGATGCCGCGTTATCTGTTGTTCTCTGTCTGAGGTGATATGTCTGCGCGTCCACCATGTTGGAGAGGTCAAGATCCGCTTGTGAACCAATTCACTAGTAATGAGAGACGATGAGTCTCAGGATTAAATCAGCCACAACTTCCTTATTACTCAACCGATTTTCACCAAATTTATTTTGTTATAATCTGCAGACACAGATTAATCCAGGCTTTCTTCAATAACTCATCGTGATAATTAGCCGTCTGGACCAGCAGGAGAGTATTCAGTCTGCACCTGACGTTAAAACTGAGTTCAGCGCGAGAAACACAATCAGACACATCAGCAAATCCATCAATGTGTGAATCACTTCTAACCTTAATACACATAAAATAGAAGAAACCCCCCAAACACAGTAAGAGGAATGAAGCCAAAGTTGGCTTCCTATTCGCCAGCTTCTTGTTCGATTTTTCACGTTCCACATTAAATGGTGCAGCAGTCACTTTCTGGTGCTTGAAGCTGCACCATTTCGAAAATTCGAACAAGAAGGTGACTGACGCACAATTTAAGGTGGAACGGGAAAAATCGAACTGGCAAATAAGAAGCTAGCTTCAGTTTCGTGTAAGAAGGTTCTAACGTTAATCTATTATGAATATCTACACAGATTAAGGAATGCTAAAACTTACCGCTACAAAGCTTTAACCATCTTCTACATAACGTTAAGATCCCCTGAATAGACTATTAAATAAAATAAGCTTTATATAAAACCAGAGGAAAAACAATCACATCAACAGGTTCTTTGTGCCTCACCAACCACATGGCCATATCTACACAAACATCACACAGACATGAGTGTGGATCACTGCGTTCCCTGCGTTATATAATCCTATCTCAATTTCTGAGAGCAATATTCTTGAAATAGTGTAAATCTGGACAGTATCTTTCTTAAACTGCCGCTCTGTAACTTTACCAAAATGCAGTCCAACAGCGATGTTGACCGCCCTAAAATGGTGGCGCCGTTGACGTGCCTGGCTGGACCCACTGTGGCATCTTGGTATGTATATCTATGGGTACAAGCATCTATTATTGTTAGCCTCATAGCTCCTGTGCTAAGACATCACACGTTGAGACTACAGGCTGCTGCAGCATTCGTCTTCATAAAAACACGAGAACCAACACAAACACCTGGAAAAAGCAGAAGTAAGACCAGAAGCAGAAGTAAAAATGTGGTTTTGCAGAAATATTGTCCGGCGATCACTCAGCTAAATTTATATCTGTGTCTCCTTTACTTGCTGCAATATCCGTGGCCTGATGTGTGCAGATTAGTGAAGTGCAGTGCAGACTGAGGAGCTCTAACCGGCCTGTAGGGAAGTGGAATTAAAACAATCTGTTTTTATCACAGCTATAATATTATCACAGTGCTGTTGCCTCAGTCATCTCACAGAATAACTACATGGCAGATACCCAGCATGCAGATTGTGCTAAAGATAAAGTGCAGTGTTGTGAAATACACGGGCAGCGAAAAAAAAAATTGTTCATATATTCTGTATCTCATTCTGATTTTGTGTGGAAGTAGGGGGCACAAAGTGGTGCATGTGTTTGTGTTTTTAGGGGATGGTGATTCGCCTGCCAGTGAATTCTTCATGTAAGCTTTGGCCAAAAGTGCTTCTTTTCTATAAAAATATTCTTTACTCAAAGTAAAGTTGCATATTAGACATTATAGCACGGTAGTGAACAGTATAGGAACTATAGTCTCAGCCTCCGAAGCTCTGCCCACACAGGTACACAGACCATCTAGTATTTATTGTAAACCAAGATTAAATTATCAGATTTCTGCGGTTACAAGCTGATGAGCTACCAACACTGCTGTGCACAGCATCTACAGTCTTTAAATGCTAGTAGCATGCAGCTGCCTGCTCTGCACACAATGATAAACCACAAGCCTTTCAGCATTGCACGATTAGCCACTTCCTGCAGGCCCTGTAGTGGCCATTCCACCAGCAGAAAGGAAAACAACTATAATAATTTATTAATATAATAAAGTAAAATATTTGTTACCCATAACCAGGGGACAGCAACATGTGGCACCGGAGCTGCATGAGGCTCTTTTACTGCCCTGTTGAGGCTCCACAGAATTAGGTTTGTAGGTAAAAATAAAATAATCCTCCTTTACAGTAAAATAAAGCTCTGCTGAACAGTTTAAACAATAAATGGTCTTAAACTCTGGAGTTAATGTAGAACTGATAATTCACCTTTTAACCCTGAAGATCAGGGCAGACTGCTGGTCACCATAGCAACACAGACAACAATCTTTCCTAGCTGGTAGCTAACGAAACGGCAAAGAGAGAGATTTAAGATGAACATCGATAATTTGGAGACGAATGGACAAACATGTTTGTATTTAATCTGTAACGAGAAACTGTCAAACACTAAAAAGTCTCTCGTTCGAATTATCTTGTTCCACCTTAAATGGTGCCATAGTAACATTCTGGCTTTTCAGGCACCATTTACGGTGGAACGGGAACATTCAAATAAGAAGCTGGAGAATGAGAAGCGACTTCAGCCTCGTAAAAAGTCAAATGTTGAGAGACATTTTACAAGAAACTGTTCCACATTAGTGGAAAGGTTTCCTGCCAGAGATGCGAGAAAAGCAGCCATAGCTGAGCTAAAGCTTAAAGCAGAACAAAGTAAGTCTGCACTATCATGTATATTTTTAATCTATACTAGGACATCAGCACATACTGAGACATATTTACAACCAAGATGGTAGAATGGACATAAAGTGTTGCGCCTCCCAGGATGATTAGATTTTTGTTGAAAGGTCAAAATGGCTCTTCTTAACATTTGGGTTGCGACTCCTGCTCATAACTCTTTTATCAGAAGAACTAGGACACTGTCGTCTCTCTGTGTGAAAGGTTGTGACTCTGTGTTGAGCTGCTAGTGAGCAATGAGGGGTGAAAACACTGCAGCACAAGTTTGTTTTAAATTCAGAACAGAAAAGCACTTGTAGGCACAGAAGATGTGTTTCAACATTACATAAATATAGTTTAAATACACAAAAAATTGTATTTAGTTATTCATAATATTTGTTTCATGATATATGTAAGCGTATACAGAATTATGTTTTATAAAAGTGCACTGAAATACATATTTTAACTGCTGAATGTATTTAAGTGAGTTCAGTGATGCTGAAATCTAACTACCCCTACACCAGTCTGCGATTAGATATTTTGCACGCCCCTTTTGGTTCTTGACCATGTTCAGTGAGAAAACCTCACTGACTCTCAGAAGTCTGGTTTGTGAGGCTGCAGCATCTAAAATGTTTCATGAGTGAAGCAAAAACAGTCTTGAAGAGCATCAATAACACTTAGTAGTTTTCTTTTAGGACATGCTGGTAAAAGTGTGGAGAAGAAAACTCCAGCCACTCTGGAGGGTCTGTGTACAGCAGTGACGAATGATTGTGAAACAGTATCTGTAGATCAGGCCTGTCTGAAGTGAGGATGTTTAATTAAGCCAAAAAGCTGCCTTAACGTACACTTCCTCCTCACCTAATGACAAAAGAACAGACATTTTCTTTTATTTTTAAATTCTTATTTTATCTTTAAGATTTTTTTAAAGTATTTTTAGGAAAATGAACATTGTCACTATTGGAAAACAAAACCTTGCATCTTCATAGATAATGATAGATGGTAACTTTACAGAAGAAGGAAAAAACATTCTTAACTTGTAGTGAAAGTTAATGGAACCAGATTTTAAGCACGTAATTTTGGACCATTTCTGTTGATCTGTTCACCATGAAATTTTAACACAGTGTAAAGGGTAAATAGAATTTTTAGTTTATGTAAAAAAAGTAAAAACAACAACAATTGAAGTGACGGGTTTTGCTACTTCGAACAAGGTAGTGTGAGAATATAACAAGGTGTTGTGAGAGGGTCATGAAGGCCACAGGAAGAGCCACTCTGCACTCATAAACAGTGTTCGTGGCTATTTCCTGTTTTCACACTCATTTTTTTCTGTGTCAGTGATTATTAAAAAAATGCACAGCAATTTTTTTGACTAACCGCACACAGCACAGTGTCGTCTTTGAGTTCTGGCCTTTTGTCGCATGAGACAATTTACAGATCACCATATTTGGCTGTTTTTCACTGGGACGTTGATTCCATCTCAGCCAAAGCTTTGCCTTTTCTACTTTAGTCTGATTAGACATAACTGAACTTAGAGACACTAAAACAAGTTTTATTGAAACTATAATCTGTTTGGCCATAACAAAATGCATGCAAGTTTATGCTTTGGCTTTTGATTTTCAGAAGCATTTCACATTTAGTAGCACTTTATTTTGAGGCCAGCTGCATAGAGACCTTACAATACATGAGCATAAAAAGCATTAAGTATTAAAAAAGAAAAATTAAAAAGCAACACTTTCCACAAAATGACACAATGTTGTTTTAAGTGAATGACATTGTACTGCAGCCTTAAACTAAAGCGACAAACTTTTTTTTCATTTAAAACACTGACAGAGGCCCAGTTATCAGCACCAATTATCAGTTTTATGAAAGATTTTGATGCTACAAGAGCTCATTTCACACATATGTGATACCAGTAGTGGACAAACTGGAAATCTTGTAATGGGGTAACATTAGAAACAGACCTGGTAAAATATTACTGGGATAAAAGTAAAAGTCCTCATTTATATGTCTGCTTTAATACAAAAGTATAAAACTACTGCTTATTATTACAGTTAATTTTTAATTGTTTTAATGAATATTCTCTATTAAGGAGGTAAATAGACATGAAACACAGAATTAGTTGACCTCCTTAATAGAAAATGCACTTCTGTACTGTAACTCAAGCAGATGTCGACCTTGTAAGTCCATCACAATGTTTTAAGGAAACTTAATTTCATATTATTTCATCTTGTGATTACTCGCAGCTGTTCATACTCAATTACTGCTTTAAAGCATTGTTATTTAACGCTTATGCATGTGTTCCTGTGCCCGTGTCCCCATTTGCCTGTAAAAATGACGTTTTGTTGATTTACTGAGTGAAAGTATGTTAAAACATCCTCCACAGAGAAGATACTTCTGTACATTTTAATGTGCAACAGTGTAAACAAGCCTAGTCAAATTCAATGTTGTTGAATTGAAAAGAAGTTAACACACCCTCTTTAGAGACACACTTTAATATGACATTTTTATGCAAAATTTCTCTTTATTTACTGAATTCAATATATTGGAAAAAAATAAAAAAGAACACTAAAAGTGGCCTGTGCGAAGTTACGGCACATTGTATATATTTTGTTTTTTTTCCAACTTATTAAATTCAGCAAATAAATAGAAATTGTGCATAAAATGTCATATTTAAGTGTGTCTCTAATGAGGGTGTGTTAACTTCTTTTGACTTCAACAACACTGAATTTGACTAGGCTTGTTTACACTGTTGCACATGACTGTAAGTAAGTAAGTAAGTAAATAAATAACTAAATAAATGTCTGAGCTGATCACAGTGACAGACAGAAAAGTAAATAAGTAAGTAAAGAAGTGTCTGAGTTGATAGAGACTGATGTATTTCTCACCTCTGTGTCAGGCTCCTCAGTGTGGGTGTGGACAGACTGGGTTTGAGCTCAGATGCAGAAACAGCAGAAACACAGCAGCAGCTGCACTTACAGAAACACAATGACACACATAAGAAGTCTGTACACATCCCTCCTCAGCCTCTTCATCACAGGTAAGAACTCCACTTGTCATTCTACAAACCATGACTTACTGGAAAACATCTCACTTTATCAGCTCAGACTTATTAATATGGTTCAGATTATTATAATCTGGCTCTCAGTTACTGTTAGTGTTTCACCACTTAACTGATCAGTCTTTACAGCACAAAAGTGAAATCAGCCTGTGAAGCAGGCATGCACATGAAAAAGGCTCTGAAAGCAATTAAATATTATTACTGTATATTGTCTGCGTAAGTGCAAAAATGTATTGCTGCAGACATATGGGGAACAAATGGGGCTCTGAATTCACTCGTATGAAAACAAATGCAATGCAAATGTGTCAATCAGGTGCATTAATAATATATATCAACACAATGTCTTTCATATTACACCTTGTTTCAGTAACTTTTCATGCAATTTATTTCTGCATGATTTTGTCACATTCTCTCTATCTTCCTCTGTAGGGTGTCTGTGTGGATCAGACCTGACTGTGTGGCAAACTCCCAAAATAATAAACGCAACAGAGGGTCAGCATGTCAACATCAGCTGCCACTTTACAATTAAATCAATTAAATCAACCTGGGTACAGCTGAGTATAGCATGGTGGAGAAATAATGAAACGAAAGAAGTTCAACAGGAATTATATAATAATTCTGCTCTAAACTCAGACAGTGTGAACCACAGCTCAGTACTACAGATTCCATCAGTGCGTCTCAATCACAGCGGCATCTATTACTGTACAGTGTTGAAGGAATTACCCATGCTTGGAGTAAAGATTTATGGACCAGGCACAGAACTCAGAGTGGGTGAGTTCAGCAATTATTATGACCTTAATTAATTACAGACAGTAATTACAGTGATCATATGGCAAACAGAAAATCCACTCATTAAAAATGTTTAAAATACTGACTGTAGAATAAAACAATATATAATCATTCACTGTTTCTCTTTATATGGATTATGTAAGGTTATATATTAATCTAATGGAATAAAATACTTACTTTTAACAATAATTAAATTATGTTTAATATCTAGATGTTGTGCCATCTCAGGGTTCTACCACAAATCACTCTGCAGTTACAGTTATAGCTGCATCAGCATTGATCTCAGTGCTGATTACTGTCCTCATTACATCTGTCATATTTATTATATACAGAGGTGAGTAAAAGTATGTACTATTTTCTATAATACATATGAAAATCCACTGATTCGTGTGCAGCTTTAAACAGAAGTGTCTGTAAAACTCTGCACTTTTCTGCAGCTCATCATAAGAGACCAAAACAACAGAGTGAAGGCGAGGTAAGCACATATATCAATATTTTAATTTTTAAAAATAGTCTGGCAAAAAAAAATCTAAATTACACATAAATAAACTGTGCAAAATTTCAAAATTGTGCTCAAAATAGTTTTTTAGTTCTAATTTTTTTAAAGTTTGGTCAAACAGGTTCTAAATTTAATTTTAAATACTGAGTTTAACTGAACTGAAATACTGAGTTTAACGAACTGAAAGGGGATATCTGATTGGATTTAGTGTAAAGTTTAGGTCAAGAATATTATTTTCATTTTTCATTTCATTGATCATTTCAGTTTTAATTTGTGCTTTTTGTGTCCAATCATGACATTTTTGAATCATTCAGTCTGTTTTTAAAATAATTCTTAATGCAGGTTGTATGCAGAATTCCTGCATTACTATCAAACCTATAATTTATTATTTCTGCATGTAATAATTGAAGCTATGTAATAACTGACTAATAACTGATTAATCTGTACAAAGATTTAAAGATATTCTATGATTTCTTCAGGGTTTAATCATTTTTTAAACATGACATATTTGTTCAACAAGCTCAACATAAACAAATAGTAAACTGGAAAAAAGGATTTTGTAAAGCTCCAGGAAGTGATATAGATATAATTTATTAAATAAATTGACAGCTTTGACAGAAATGTGGAAACACTGCATTAAACCAAATTATTGAAATATTTCATATGAGCTAAAAGATTTCAAGCTTGGAGATGAAAAACACGCCCTTTAATAAATGACCTGTAAACAGAATTTACTGAGACGAAGTGTGAAATTTATATCGAGTTAAAAATCTGCTCAGTTCAGTCAGATTAATTAATATTTAGCGCATAGTTAAGCTTAACAATAGACAATTCGAAAACATATATGGGCAAAGATGAACACATTTAGACTCATTTTTGAAATTTTGCATAGTCACATGGACTGAATAGACATTTTTCTGGACCCTATGTGAGCTGGTGTTAGATAAATGTAATTGATAACTGCAATGTTGGTAGAGAAGCAAAGTTTGGGCACTAAATATGTCTCAACAGATCGACTACATTTGGGGAAAATTTGTGTAAATTTGATTTTTTGCTAAACTGTTGCTTTAAGGTGATCGTTATGACAAATTTTATCTGTAAAATGATCTAAAATGCTTTTATGTATGTTTTATTTCCACTGTTTATAAGACATAAAAGTTTTTACTGAAGCAATTAAAGCTCAGAATCTCTAAGCTAAGTGGGTGTTAGTTCTTCCAGCTGAGGCATTTGAATGTTTAAAGGCAACTCTGTTAGTTCTAAAATTCAAGACTAAGAGTTTGAAGTAGAAACTGAATTTATGTTTTAAAGTCTGCACCAGCCGAGGAAGCATCGTCTGTCCTGTACGCTGCCCTGAACATCCGCAAACCCCAGGACAAGAAAAACACACAGGAGGTGAGAGATCTTTATTATGTGAATTTATTTTTACACTTGTTTTGTTTGAAGCGTGTTGGAAGACTAATGTAAAATCTGAAACTCGTGGCTGTCAGAGTGAATATGAGTGTTTAAACAGGTTGTACAAGACTGTGAGTCTATGAAACTAATTAATACATATGAATAAATAAATATAGAATAGAGAAATACTTTTTTATACTAAAAAAATAAATATCATTAATTTGTTTACTTATTTGTTTGTCATTTTATTTACATTTTCAGGTCAGTCCTCAGCCAGACACAGAGTGTCCGACAGACGCAGGGTGTCGGACAGATGCTGGGTGTCCGACGGACTGTGAGGTTTTATACTCGGACGTTCGCATAAAAAAACAGAAACAGCGACAGACGGTGCTCTCAGACACAACATGATGATCTCCCAGTGTTTCTGATGATGAAACTGTTTTAAAGCTAATAACTGTGAAATATGTATATAAAATAAAACGGGCTAGAAGTAATTATTAATGTGGGACAGCAACGGAACTGACCTGACTCCTCTTTACAGTAACTCATTTCACTTAGAAACATCTTTATGAATAAATATGTTTGAGTCTTTTGTATGGATGTGTTTTGTGTTTTTTTTTGTCTTCACCACAGACTGACGGCACTTTTTTAAAGCGCTGAAACATCTGAAATGTGAAACCACTGATAAACAGACAGACCTGTATCAGAACAGCACAGAAATATACACTATTTTGAATGTTCACTCTAAACATTAGGCCATATGAAAGTTTCATTTTTGTTCATTTTTTATATTAATAATTATTTTTTCTTGATATGATTATTTTTAATACACTGATCCAAAATCAGTGATTATGTAGCTATAAGACCATTTATAAGGTCACATGTTTAAAGTGTTACTTGGTTAAAGTAAATACTCCTAATAACTCCTAATGTTGATGTCACCTAAACCTGGTTTTTCTTTTAACAAAATTGTCTGATCTCATATTCTTAGCGCAGTATGTTGTCAGAAATCCTGTAATATTTTTGAGTTCTATTAATGAGACAATAAATACAGTCATCTGAGCTAGTTTTAATTCAGTATAAACAACTGTACTAATTAAATGTATATTATATATCGTGTATCTGCAGACTGTAGTCTATTGCCTAAATAAGGGGCTCCAGATCACATGCCTACCATCGTTCAACACATGATTTGGAGATGGGCACCTGCTTTCAGAAGGATCCATTGTACATTCTTGAACTCTAATAAACAGCAGAAACCCAAGGTCCTAAATGAGTTTAGGATGTTAAATATTCATTTAAATTACATAAACATTCATTTCACAAGCCCCAAGACCTTCCAGGCCCAAGCCTCCAGCTCTAAACCCCTAAACAAAACCTCTACACTCTAAACTTTAAGCCGCAGAACTCAGGTTCCAAGCTCCAGGCTCCATGACCCGAGCTCCAAGACACTCGACTCAAGCTCTAAGCCCCAAACCGCAAGCTCCAAGATCCAAGACCTAAGCTCCATGACCTAAACTCTGAGATGCAAGCCTCATGGCCCAAGCTCTGAGGCCCCAAAGCCCACGTTCTATGACCTAATCTCTAAGACCAAGCAAAACCACAGGCCCTTACAAAACACCAAGCTCCCAGTATTGTAGAGCACCAGTGTGTAGTTGACAGCAGTATTGTTTTTGCCGCTGAGTCTGGCTCTCACCGTGGGTGTGAACAGACTATGTTTGAGCTCAGATGTAGGAAATGCATCAGAGAACATTCTAGAAAACAACAGAACAGCAGCTGCGCTAACAGACACACCATGACAAACACAAACACCCTGCACAAACTCCACCTCTGCCTCTTTATCACAGGTAAGAACCGATCCTCACAACTTTTCATTACATTATTAATGTAATCATAACAAATTATTTAAACTTTTAGTTCTTATTACTCCTTCTCTTAGATCAGCTTAAAAATATTATTTTAATCAAATTTCTGCATAATTAACTGGTTATGATGTAAACAGAGTGGTTTGGTGTGAAACTATTCTAGATAAACTTACAGAGTCAGAATTGTTCACAGTGGTGGTGATAGGAACCAGACGTCCCCCTCTAAAAGCTCCCCCACAGAAAGTTACTACATGAAATGGTTATGAATTCACTGCCTGATGACTGAGACACTGTTTTATGATAGTTTTGAGAAAACTGTGGCCTAAAATATATTTTTAAATCCATGCATGGTGGAGGGATACATGCAGCCTGTTGTAATATTCCAAATTTACTCATTTCAGCCAAACAGACACGGTATATACTCCCTTTTTCTTTTATAACAATGCAGTGAAAAGACAGAGCTTCTGACTGATTCACACGTGAAAGAATAACATGTTGTGAAGGAGTTTTCTAGAACGAATTTACATTTATGTTCCATCCATTCACGGTAGAGGGATACATAATATGCAGGGTGTTATGAGGCAAAATAGTCCCCAAAGAAAACTTATTATTTCAGATTTTCCACTATTTTCCATCATCAACATTCCATATAAACTCAGAAGACTCGTGTAGGTTCACTGGTGGTTCTGGATAGTAAATAAAATGTCTATATTTGTGTTGTAGTCATGGCGACCCCTGGTTCCTATCACCACCACTGTAAAGATCCATCTGCAGATTTCAGTCTCTCTTTTAGATTCTCCAGTGTAGCTCAGATTATAATTTTGGCTTGTGTTGGTGTCACTTACTATTAGAGTCTTAACGAATGTCTCCCTCTGTAGGGTGTGTGTGTGGATCAGACCTGACTGTGTGGCAAACTCCCAAACTAATAAATGCAACAGAGGGTCAGCATGTCAACATCAACTGCCACTTTACAATTAAATCAACCTGGGAACAGCTGAGGATAGCATAGTGGAGAAATAAAGAAACGAAAGAAGTTCAACAGGAATCATATAATATTTCTGCTCTAAAATCTATAAACTCAGACAGTGTGAACCACAGCTCAGTACTACAGATTCCATCAGTGCGTCTGAGTGACAGCGACATCTATTACTGTACAGTGTGGACAGAACGACCAACGCTTGGAGAAAAGATTAGTGGATCAGGCACAGAACTCAGAGTGGGTGAGTTCAGCGTTTAAAATTACTTTAATTAATTACAGACAGTAATTACAGTGATCATATTGCAAACAGACAATCCATCAATTAAAAATGCTTAAAATACTGACTGTAGAATAAAACAATATATAACCATTCACTGTTTCTCTTTATATGTATTAATTTGGTTGTATATTAATACTTACTTTTAACAATAATCAAATTATTTTTAATGTCTAGATGTTGTGCCATCTCAGGGTTCCAATGTCACACCTCAGTGCTGATTACTGTCCTCATTACATCTGTCATATTTATTATATACAGAGGTGAGTAAAAGTATATACTATTTTCTATAATACACATAATAATCCACTGACTCGTGTGCAGCTTTAAACAGAAGTGTCTGTAAAACTCCACACTTTTCTGCAGATCGTTGTAAGAGACCAAAACAACAGAGTGAAAGCGAGGTAAGCACATATATCAATATTTTAATTTTTGAAAATAGTTTGGCCAAAAAAATCTAATTTACACATAAATAAACCATGCAAAATTTCAAAATTGTGCTCAAAATAGTTTATTTTAAGTTTAGTTAAACAGGTTTAATGATGAGTTTAACTGATTGGATTGAGTGTAAATTTTACATTAAGAATATTGTTTCTCTCGTTCATTTAATTCAACATTTCACCTTTAATTAATCGGAGGATGTGCTTTTTTGTGTCCAAGCATAAAATGAATGAAACTGAATCAAATAATTCTTAATGCGGGTTGTATTCAGAATTATTGTGTTACTATCAAACCTATAAATTATTCGTTTCTGCATGCAGTATTTGAAGCTAAATAGTGACTGATAATAACTGACTGATCTGGACAAAGATATCTAGATGTGCTGCGACTCCTAAAAGGTTTAATCAATTTCTGAACAGGACATATTTGTTCAACAAACTTAACATGAAGAAACAGTGGATTTTATAAAGTTCCAGGAAATAATAAAGTTCAGCATTTAAAACCATCCTAATTAGCTCAATATACAGATATTAATCATACATATAGCAGACTGTTCATTCTCCTCCATCTATAAATGCTCCATTAAAACCCAATAGACATAGTATGTACTCCTCTTTTCTCTTTTATAACAACTCAGTAAAGAGAGACATTTTCTGAAAGATTCACACATGAAAGAATACAGCCCTGTGAAGGAGTTTTATAGAGGGAATTCACATTTATGTTGAACCTGCACTGTAAAATTTCCATGTAAAATTACAGTAAATACTGGTTACTAGCTGCATTACTTTCACAGTAATTTACTGAACCATATTGACAGAATTAACTACAAGGTTACAGTGATGTAGCTGTTATTCTGCTGTACATTTACAGTAATGAGTTGTAATTAAAATACAGTAATCTCCTGTATTTTTACATAACAGCTGTAAAAGTAATGCAACTCAATAACATGTAATCTACTGTAAATTTAAAAATGAACATACTTATTCACATATGCGTATATATATATGACAGCTGGGATAGGCTTAGAAGGACCCAGAAGGATAAGCTGTTTAGATGATGTATGTATGTATGTATGCATATATGTCACACACACACACACACACACACACATACACACACACACACACACACACACATATATATATGTATATATACATTTTTGCTAAACCAAAAATGTGTATCTGGCAACAGCAGTAAACAGTAACGTTTTTATTGACACCTCTAAAGAAAAATGAGCATCAAAAAGCCTTTAAAACTCCAAAACCTGAATTGGTTTTACAGTTTTTTACTGTGAAAAATGTTGTGTTGAATATTGTTAAATTGTGTTCAAATGGCTCACCTGAAGTACATCAATGTGCATTAAAAATGTAACACAACATATGACTACAACATATACAGTAATATTATAATAATTATATAATGCAACGTATAACACTTAGCAATGAACTTGATTATACCCTGACCTAATGAAATACAATTTTAGATATGAACTCTTTTTTTAGTATGTGGCTTAAACTGATACTAGACTAATCTAGCAAAGTGTCATTAGCATTATTATTATTACCTAGATATCGCACCATCTCTAGAGTTTACTGCTGTTGACATCACCACTCCAATAACACTGCTGTGTCTGATCCACTCAGACCAGCACAACACACACTAACACACCACCACCACGTCAGTGTTACTGCAGTGCTGAGAATGATCCACCACCCAAATAGTACCTGCTCTGTGAGGGTCCATGGGGGTCCTGACCACTGAAGAACAGGGTAAAAGGGGGCTAACAAAGTATCAGAGAAACAGATGGACTACAGTCTGTAACTGTAGAACTACAAAGTGCACCTATATAGTAAGTGGAGCTGATAAAATGGACAATGAGCGTAGAAACAAGGAGGTGGTCAGAATGTTATACCTGATTGGTTTATATATTGCTTTTGAAAAAATAAGAATTACTCAGAAACATTTATCTTTGGAGACAATACTGGTCTCAATACTCAGAACAGAGAGACTGTTTCATATGTAAATAGACAATGTAAGAATGAGTTCATATGTTTTAACTCCACTGTTTATGAAAGTAAAGCTGAAAGTGAAGCTGGTTAGTCATTGTTTCTCAGCATGACTGTATCTGTTTAATCACTACTTCAGCTCTGAAGGCACAAAATGATTTTACTGGTTCTAAAATCTCATCCATGAGAGTCAACCTGCAGTTAAACACAACACAATAAGACAGATTACATCAGAAAATAAATGCATGTTTGACGAGAACTGTGTTGTAGTGAGAGCACATTGTTCTTTATGCTGCACTCAGCATCTTCATGAATGTTTTGTGCTTTATTGAATGCTGAAAGTCTAATAAAAGTCTAAGTCTGATGTAAATCTGCAAGTAATTGCAGTGCTTATAGCTGTGAGAACAAGCAGCCAAAGTAGTCACTTTGAGGATTTTGAGGTGAGGCTGAGGATTACTCTCATGTCTGCAAAAGACTCAGTGATACAAAATAAATTTATCAATTAAAACATTATTACTTAATATTTTAATAACATTGTATAATAATAACGATAATAATTATTATTATTTGTAGTAGTAGTAGTACTATTATGACAATAATAATAATAATGATAACAATACTTATAAAATACATTTTTATTTGCTTTTTTCAGATGATTAAAGAGCCAGAGCCAGACTGCACAATGACGACGGTTTTATACTCATACGCATAAAACCGCAGACTGAGAGACAAACAGCACTTTCAGATAAACCTGATTCTGTCTGATTCCAGCAGCTTTGACTCATAATTTCAACATCTATTTTATAATAATATAAAAGTGTAAACATGTAAAAAGCAGCTAACAACTAATTACAGATTATCAACGCAGTATCAGTTCTACAGTTACGTGGAGGGGGTGCAGATAGTTGACGCTCATTAGTCCCCTTCTCTTTATTGTTCTTTAAAGTCACTCATTTCAGGATGGAGAGTCAGAGCACCTCTAATTAAAGAACCTGTTATCAGAACACTCATACCAAGAACGATCAGTCACCTCAGTAAAGTTACTCTGAAATGTCTTCATCAGGATAATGTAAGGCAATGTAATGTATATACTGTGTTGTACTGTATTAATTATAATTTCTTCTGAATTACTGCAAGAATTTTAATTGACGGAGTATGTTTTACATTGTGTAATGATTGTTACTGTGATGGAAAATGTTTATCATTTTGAGGGACAATAAAACTTGAATATAGGTTTTCGTGCTTGTTTAATGTAATATTTGCAGTGTATAATGAAGGCAAGTATGATGTTGATATTGCCGCTTCTGCTCCAGTTGCACTTACAGAAGCACTGCTGTTAATCTCACTATTAATTACTGCCTGCATGCCTTCTAGTAACTGCACGATATCAATGTAAGTCAAAATATTTTTATTTTTATTTTTTTAATACCCTTAAAATTCCACATATCTTTATGTCTTCCTCCAAATGGAAGCATGTGTAATTATGTACGAGTACACACAATATAGATTTTGATACACACGACACAGAGTACAATATATAAAACAAGTGTGATGCAAATAATGCTTCTATTTTGTTTACCTCCAATAAAGCATGTGCATAATTCTCCATCTCCAGCACGATCATCTCCTGACTCTCCCTCTGTACACAGTAAACATCCACAAGAATGTATAGTGAGCAGCACACAGTGGTAAATATATATTTACTGAAAGACAACCTCTAAATACAATGACAGTGTTTTCACCATTTCAGTTTAAAAGGTCTGCAGGGATACAGTAACTAATGTCTCCACATTACCTGAACACTCTGCTTCTCCCTTCTAACACTCCTTTACAGCACCAGATAACACTGAAAGTGTCCAGATTTACAGTGTGCTGTTCAGATTTCCTGATATTTGACAAAAAAAAAGCTGCATTATAATCTTTAACGTTTCAATACATTTCACTTACTTTTCCCTTTGTGGCACCAAAACACTGACCTACATCGCTTCCTTCCCAGTTGCTCATGATGACTCTGTGAGGACAATATAACTGATATAAAACTATAAAAAAATATCAGTTAACATAAAACTCCATTCACGGCGAGGCTAGTTATAGCATTCCTTAATCCGTGTAGATATTCATAATAGATTAATGTTAGCACCTTACACGAAGCTGAAGTCAGCTTCTTAATTGCCAGCATCTTGTTCGAATTTTCCCGTTCCACCTTAAATGGTGCATCAGCCAGCTTCTTGTTCGAATTTTCCCGTTCCACCTTAAATGGTGCAGCTTCAGGCACCAGAAAGAAGCTGGTGAATAGGAAGCCAATTTTAGCTTAATCCTTCTTACTGTCTTTGGGGGTTTATTTTATTTTTATGTGTATTAAGATTAGAAGTGATTCACACATTGATGGATTTGCTGATGTGTCTGATTCTGTTTCTCGCGCTAAACTCGGTTTTTAAGGTCAGGTGCAGACTGAATACTTTCCTGCTGGTGTGGATGGCTAATTATCACATTTATGACATTTATGATGAGGGACATAGTGGTTAACATACCTAGCAACCCGAGTGGCTAACTAGCTAAACTCACCAGCCAACTTTAGCGAATATTTTGCGTCATATTTGAAAAATGACACTAGAACAAAATGGAAGTTATTAGCTAACACAACAAACCTGTGCAAGCTAGCTAGCGACATAGTCGGCTAACTGTACGACTTTAGCGGATATTTTGCGTCATATTTGAAAACTGACACGCTACACAAATAACCTAAACAGCAAAGGAGTGGTGAATTATTGCATTTAACATAATCCAACTGAAATAATAATACAACATTGTTAACAGTGATCGCTGTTAACGCTGAAACTCCATTTATGACAAGGCTGCTTCTTTTCCGAGGTTTCCGTTCCACCTTAAATGGTTCAGCAGTAACATTAACGTAAGAGCACGGTATTCCGTACACTTGCAACTTTTCCTGTTTGTATAAAAAAACTACTTTCTTGACATTTGTCAGCAACACATCTGAGACATTGTCATATATCCTTTTTTCCCATCAAATCGGTTGGCAAGATCATCTGTGCAAATAGTGACCGACCCCCCGGCGCCACACGAACATGGCGGGTGGGGAAACCCAGGGATGCGAATGTGAATGGGGTGGGAAAACTTTCACGGCCAGTTAAAATGCATTTTAGCACGTTTAAACATCATATTTAACACTAAAACGAATATTAATCAGTGGATCATCACCATGAAACACAGCGTGTTTAGTACTGAGCTGTTGATCTAAGTTTACACCGTCAGCTAAGTTATCTTAGCAGACTCCTTTCAGCTGCGCAGCTTCACAGCACTGACTCACTTTACTGGGCTTCTTTCCATGGTAGCCTCATTCACTGCACACATTGTTTATATTAATTCACTTTTATAATCAGTATAATCAGTTAATGTATAATTTTATGCAATTAGATTTCATAAAACAAAATTTAATTCAGGAAAACGCTGTACGGAAAACGCTCCCTCTGTGGAAGCTGGTGTACGGAATACTGACGGTACAAACCGTTGACACAGATGACGCTTTTTTTCCTGTTTCTTTAAAAGTATTTGGCCCAAATGTGACCAATCAAAATGCATCCTGGTTGCTAGGCGGATTTTACAGAGTCCAATCAATGATTACACCCTGTATGACTTCGGGTATTTCCGCAGTAACTGCTGAAACGCGAAAAGTGCCGAAGTACTGTCCGGAATACAGCACTCTTACGTTATACCTTAGAAGCGCCATTATGTGGTTAACTGCTGCACTATTTAAGGTGGACCTGGAAAACCGAATAAGAAACCAACTTAAGCTTTGTCCATTTATACACCAAATATACTGACTTAATGACTTGAACTGGTATATTTCATGTCATTAAACACTGTTATATAACTAAGCACGCAAAAAGACCGCAATGGCAGAGAGTATCACAACAAACCTAGCTATGCAACGACATAGCCGGCTTTCGGGAATGTTAAAGTTCTAACGTTAGTTTCATTTCCTTTTGTTAGAGATGTTCTAGATAACTATTTTATCCTTTTGTTATACAGCAAATATGAGATAAAAAACCCATAAACGGGGGGAAATGGCGCCAAAGGGCGCACAAGATTAGCAAGATTAGCGTCTTTGCAGTTGAGTGTATAGACCATAGTGGTTACCTAGCAACCGAGTGGCTGCCTGGCTATGCTTACAAGCTAACTTTAAGGGTTATCCAGCGGTATATTTGAAGAATGACACTAAACAAATAAGGAAAACTGCTTAGGTGAATTGATGTGGCAAATTATTGCTGTTAAAACAATTCAATCTAAATAACAACATTAAGACAGACAAATGATTCACTAAATGCCACGATATTAACGCTTTCCTCTTACATTTTTCTATTCACAGTGAAGAATAGCTAACGGTAACGTCGGTTAAGACATGGTACGGCCCACTGTGGGGGTGTTTGACATTATAATTCATGGACCTGATGGCCAAGAAAACAGATTTTGATACTCTTACTTTACAGTTATTTAGTGAGTGTGATTTAAAAACCCCTTAAACTTTTGTCTTTACTTCATTTGGGGTGGGGGTTAAATTCCTAGACAGGTCAGAACCCGAACCCATCCCTGTAATTCACCAGTTCAGGAAAACCTGAATCAGTGCTAAACTCAGGATAGCCCTGAACTAATGTTATTTTAACTTTGAACACATTTTTATTTAAATAAAAAACTTTTAAAACCTTTTTTCCTATTGCAGTTTTCTTCCCAGCACAGGTTAAGGACACTTTTTCCAGTGTTGGCAAGAAGTTTGAAGAATAAACACAACAACAAACAAGGCACAGTAGGCCTAAACATATTTTTAAAATGTTTTCTATAGAAAATTACTAGTTGCAAATGATTATATAGCTGTAAGGCTGTAGATGTGCTGAAAGCCCAGCCAAATGGTCTCTATTTGTTAGAATAACGTATTTGTTTATGCATATATATATATATATATATATATATATATATATATATATATCCCATGAAAAAAAAAATCCCATGAAAAAAAAAATGCACCAGTGTGGGTCCATACATGTAAGTGACACAAAATGCAATAAGGTGTCATTTTGCACAATTAAAATCACATATACGGAATCACTCATCACACACAGAGTTGTAATATTTGAAATAATTTATTAGGAATTTTGAAAAGTCCATTTCTTACAGACAGTGTAGTGTGACTGGAGACATTACTGAGACATTTTGGAGTTACTGGACCTAAATTGGTCGTCCTCGTCATTATTAAAGCCCCCAAAAACCCATTAAATCCCCATCAGTTTTGATCGCAGTGATTTCTTTTGCCCAGTCGACCTGCAGAGACGGGCATTCAGACAGCAGTTTGATCGACAGAGAGGTTTTAGAACACAGAGCGATGGTTTAGTGTGGACAGAGACAGAATGTTACAGAGAGATGCTTAAAACAGAAAGTGGATGTTAGAAAAAGTTATTAAATTCACATTTTAAATCCTCTCATACAAGGGAATACGCTTAGACCATGACATCATCGACCACACGCTCTCACACACACACACACACACACACACACAGACACACCCTCCAGCATTATTAGTAGCCTGACACTCGCACACTTCAACAACAAAAAAACACATTTCAAGTTCAAAAAAAGAAAAACAACAAAGAAAAAGAAAAGCCAAAAAGTCAAAATATTACATTTAAAGAAACAAAGACCGTCTCATGTGTGTTAAAGGGAAATTCCACCCACTTCTCAAAATTTCTGCATAATTCAGATTGAGAATGTAATTCAGTGCTTGAGATGTAAATGACATGGTCGATTGTAGAAGCTCAAACAACACAAATATAGCCATTTTATTGACTGTCCAAAACCACCAGTGAACCTACACGAGTCTTCTGAGTTTATATGGGATGTTGATGATGGTAAAATAGTGAAAAATCCAAAATAATAAGTTTTCTTTGGGGACTATTTTGCCTCACAACGCCTTCATGTATCCCTCCAGCATGAATGGATTTTAAAAATATGTTTTAGGTCTACAATTTATCTTAAATCTATCATAAAACAATGTCTCAGACATCACGCAACATATTTATAACCATTTCATGTAGTAACTTTCTGTGAGGGAGCTTTTAGAGGTGGACGTCTGGTTCCTATCACCACCAGGTTTCTCTAGAACGGAGCGTTTCACACCAAACCACCCTGTTTACCTCTTAGCCATTTAATTATGGAGAAATTCTGAAAAATCGGTGGAGTTCCCCTTTAAGTGTACAAAAATTTGCGTGTTAAGACTCACACAAAAAAATAAAATCACACATCACAGATGTTTTCCAAATTGAAATGTTTTCCACTTGATCTCAACAAGATCCAGAAGACAGCGTTTAAAATCCTTTACAAGACAAAAAAGCTCAAATCTAATGAAAAATATGTCCTTGGTTAATAACATTGCTATGATCATGATCAATATCATAAATCCAGTTGCAAAACTACCAAAATATACATTTTTGAACATTCCTTCCAATATTTTCTTTTCCGTAGAAAACGTATCATCTTAAATTCATCGTATCCTTTAAAAAAACAACAAAAAACAATCCAGAAGTGTATCAAGGACACGTTATTATTATTATTATTATTATTGCTCCTGTAAAACGGTTAACGTCTAAAAAAATCACTCTACAAATGTAAACCTACAGTGTCTCGAGAAAAACACATGAATACATTTTTCATAACAAAAGAAAACAGCGTTTTTATTTCCGATAAAAAGAAAAAACAGAAAGAATGAAAATATTTATAAGAGAAAAAAAGCGAACAGCATCGTAACTTTTTTTTTTTAAAAATGCCTTTCGTTTGAACCAGAAAATAATCTAAATATTTACATGCCCTTCCGTTACAGAGTGAGACAGACAGAGAGAGTGTTAGTAAAAGGTGATGTGAGAGAGATGCAGGAAACTCTACTGTAGTTTTTTTTTTTGCTGTAAAAATGTGGGACTGGCTCAGGGCAGGCGGCGCCGTCCATCAGACCGGTCAGCTTTGGGAGAAAAAAACAAACAGTGGGTTTTTAAAAAATGTAAAAAATATTTTATCGTCAAGTCAATCTGGCAAAAAAAGAGACACAACAGGTTTATGAATTATAGGTTTTCCAGAAAATTCCATTGTTTTGCAGGGTTTAACAGTTTAACCCAGTACTGATTTAAAATGTAGGTGGGCGCTGATCATATGGACACTCCCATCTCACTAGACTTTTATTCTGAAGAGATTATTAATTCTAGATATATTGTGATTTTTGGGCTTATTTTGTTAGAATGTGGCAAAGCAGGTGGTGGAAAAGTTCTCTTGGTGAACTTTTATTTACCAAAACCAATTTATATAGAACAGAATTAGAGCTCTGTTGATCAGGGGTGTCAAACTCAACCACTAAAAGGGCCACATTAAAAAATCTCAGCCAATCTGTGGGCTGGGTTTTTATTTCATTGTTACTTAACGTTTTTCCATGAACAGAACGGTTCATTATTTATTCAAAATATGCCAAATATGCAACAGCAAAACAGACACTGAACACTTCAAAAATAATTCTAAATAAAAATAAATTGGCATCTTTTCTTTTTGTGTAACTGCTGGTCTATAGATTGTTGCTGGGTGAAGGAGGTCGGAATGCACACTATGTTACAGTGCATGCTGGGGACTGTAGTACATCTCAGGGTGAAACAGGCTGATAAGAACAATTAAAATAATTTCGCAGCCCAAACAGGATTGTGCCACGGGCCTGACTTGGCCCACGGGCCTTGTGTTTGACACATGGGCTGTAGAATATAATGCTGCTGTCAGAAGAAAACCTTGTATCTCAAAATGGTAACTTTACAGGAGAAGGAAAAAACATACTATACTTTTAATGTAAGTCAATGGAACCAGACTTTTTTTCAAGTCATTTTGGGTCATTTCTTTTAGTCCATTCATCATAAAATTTGCACAGAATGTAAAGGGTGACAGGCATTTTCAAATTATGTCAAAAACTGAAAAATGTCAAAAACTGAGTTACAAGGTTTTCTTCCGACAACAGCGATAAGAACGTTGTATCACATAAAACATTAAAAATCAACTCGAATCTAATTATAAGAGACCTAAAATTATCTGTGTGGTTACTACCAGGACTCTTATTGTAGCGCTTTCTGTCACACTTTCTTTGTTGATTTCAGTGCTTTATATCTTACTGCATTTGACACTTACTGTCTCAGTGGTAGCCGTTTGTAAACGCTGTGGCGATCAGAGGACCCTGCAAGCAGAAAGAGACAGAAAATGATTTAGATATAAAGACATAATAGATATAATAGCTAAAGCAGCATCATCAGAGCCCCAGGACTCTCTGTTCTTTTCTACAGAGCAAATTACCGCCTGCTGGTTCATAAATAAGAAACTTTTATTATAATTAGACAAATAATTAGGCTAAAGTTGTTACACAACTGCACAAAAAAAATAATAATACAAGATTTGGATTTACGTCCAGCCATAAAATGGCACACATGCATCTGTGTATCTTCTGTTTCATTAAATGAATCAATCTTAAAATAAAAAATAATCAGTGAAAATTTCATATGTGTAACGTCAACAGTTCAAAAGTTATGACTTATCAAAATTTGTACCAAATTTTGCAGAATATCTACCAGGACTCAAGATTAATCATTTTTCTGTTGACATAAAGAGTGCAATTTTTTAACCCAATAACACAGAGCTGGTGAACTAACTGCCTGCAGATGATTTAGACCAGTGGTCACCAGCCTTCCTCTTGGAGATCTACTTTCCTGCACAGTTTAGTTAACAAGCTGCCCCGCCCCTCAGGTAACACTAATGCATCTGATCCAGCCAATCAAGGGCCTCTGAAGAAGTTAATTAGCTGGAGCAGGTGTGGCAGATTGTGGTTGAACTGGATTCTGCAGGAAGATGGATCTCCTGGACCAGGGCTGGTGGCCACTGAGTTAGACCAATCAGAAGCAACTAAATGCCTGTGTGCTGTGACATCACAACCACAATGAACAGGCACTGCGGCCAGTGTTTGTGTCCCAAGCCAGAAAAACTGGATATTCTGGACTTCTTGGCCGATATAACGACATTATTTTATAGAAAATATTTCCAATTTAAATCTACATTTAGATACTTTCCCCAAAAATGGTTCAGCTCCAGTATCTACTGGACACAATGACCTTATATCCTGAAAGTATTGCGCAAATCAGAGATGGTCAATCAGGAATACTGCCCCCCTCACAAATCCAGCTCACGCACTGTGGAGGCTGAATTACCATGTTTGTGTTTGTGAGTGGACGCTCACCCCGAGGCTGTGGCTGAACCCAGTGCTGGGGGCAGGGCTTGCGGCGCTGATGTAGCTGCTGACTGTCGAGTCCTGATTGGTCGTCCCATAAAGATCTGCCATTGGTCCAGGGCTGCTGGTGCTCAGAAAGCCAGCGGAGCGAGAGGGGGCAGAGCCTAGTCATACATAGATGGGAAAATAGATAGAAATGTTATAAATATGAAAGATAGAAATGTTATTAATATAAAAGAAAATTGCAACAACAGAACTGTGTAAAACACATTCATACATACAGTAGATGTACACAGTGCTACAGATTTACAAATCATCATTCATGAGGTTTTTCATTAAGAGTGGTTTGATGTGAAATGTGCCAAATTATACAACAGTTAGTTCCGCCCACGCAAGCTGATTGGTTGAGAAGCGTTCTAACGTTTTTCACAAACACTGTATCAATCCGCTGAGACGCCGTTGCTAAGCAACGACTTTGACAGCTGTAGGAGACGCTCAAGACATTTGAACGTTTTTACTTCTTACTTTGCCACAAACAGAAAATGGACACTTTTAAGATCACATTTGACCGACAGCCGATTTGGTCAGACTCTGAAGATGAGACGACACTAAATTCCCAAACTGTCATCACCACTGAGCAGCTTTTCAGTCGGCAGCTGTGAAAGAAGAACAGCTGAACAACCTGGAATCAGCCAGAAATGAACCCAGTACCATTCGCCAAACGTGTAGTCTGATCTTCAGAGTCTGACCAAATCAGACTGAGCCATAAAACTGCCGCAATATCAAGTTCAGCTCAGTTTTGTCAGTTTTTGCCAGATCAGTATTAATGTTGTTTTGTTCCAGCCAGTCTGTAAAGCATCTTAGTTTGGCGAATGGTATTCGGTTCATTTCTGGCTGATTCCAGGTTGTTCAGCTGTTCTTCTTTCACAGCTGCCGACTGAAAAGCTGCTCAGTGGTGATGACAGTTTGGGAATTTAGTGTGAGGAGCTGGAGAACGAACTGCCGGCTGTGCAGCGAGTGGGCGGAGCTCGTTACTCTGACGTAGCAACAAGCTGCTCGTTAAGGAACTATAATTTGGTGAAGGAACTGCGAACATTAAAACATATTAAACGCCGCGTTCATGGCCCAGTTTATTAATTTATTACTGTATTTATTTAACTGTTGTATAAAAGCAATAGAACACTCGAGGAGTGTGTTATCGCCAATAACATCACGGCTGGGATGATCTACGGATGATCTATTTCGCAATAACACACTCCCTCCCATGTTCTATTGCTTAAGTAGAGAAACTTTATAGTCCCCAAAGAAAGTGTCTTATTCCAGATTTTCCACTATTTTCCATCATCAACATTCCATATAAACTCAGAAGACTCGTGTAGGTTCACTGGTGGTTCTGGATAGTAAATAAAATGTCTATATTTGTGTTGTAGTCATGGCGACCCCTGGTTCCTATCACCACCACTGTAAAGAAATCTGTACCATTTCACACCAAACCACTGTTTTATGCAGCAATTTTGGAAAATCGGTGGAATTCTCCTTTAATCGACCCAGTACCCGTGTTACAGAGCCTTCAGACTAAAGGAGATCAAAGCTACAGAATCCACTTGCTATTTTACCCCTTTGCCTACATATATGTGGGTTACACTGTCTGTACTGAGTTGGTCTGTGCTGCACAGACGGAGCCTCAAAGACTGAAACTGCGCGCTTTGGATTGACCAGACAGGCCTGCACTGTCTGCCTTTTCTTTTGAAGTCTGGAGCGAGAAAGTGAAAGCCGAGTGGGTTTCAGCACGAGTGGTGTGACCGAGAGCGTGAGCGATGTGACTGAGCACGTTTGGTCTTAAGGGAACAACAAAAAAACAGAAAAGCCCACTCACCTCTGACCACAGCCGCTGCAGCTGCCGCCGCTGCCATCGGGTTATACGCTGTCAGGGGGATCGCTGCACACACACACACACACACAAACAAACAACCTTTAATGTACACTGTTCACTTCACAATAAAGAATTATATTTATGAGATGATTTAATGATGGAATTATTTTGGTTCAAATCAGAATTTTGTTAAAAAATACAACGAATAAACAGACGTAACTGGATGAACTGTTTATATACAGCAAGCTTTTTATATCTGAATTTTATCTTGGCCAAAAATGTATCACCACTGTTAGAGTGATTGTTTTTTTCACACATATAGCACACATTCTATATATATATATATATATATATATATATATATATATATATATCACTGTCGTCGGAAGAAAACCTCTTATCTCCAAAATGGTAACTTTACAGGAGAAGGAAAAAACCTACTTTACTTTCAATGTAAGTCAATGGAACCAGAATTTTTTCCAAGTTGTTTTGAGCCGTTTCTTTTTGTCCATTCATCATGAAATTTATATATGTATATACAATGTAAAGGACAACAAGTGGTTTCAAATTATGTGAAAAACTGAAAAACGTCAAAAATTGATTTTCTTCGAATAGCAGTACGCGATATGTAAAAATATCATCATAAATAAATGACTAGAAATGTTAAAGTAATGTAAAGTACTTAGGCACCTGAGAAATTTCGATTTAAAAAAGCTGTTTTTTCTGGGCAGAAAACATTTATTTGCTCATAAAAACACAAATTGTAGAATAAATACAAATAACAGTACTTACTGTATTTGTGATCCATAAAGTAGTGCATTAGTGTAAGTCAGTGTGTTTGTTGACTTATTTCTAAACTGGACGTCCAGTATTAACTGTAGTTATTAACCAATACCTGCTTTATCTAATCTATACTTTAAATCAGGTGTTGCTGGTGATGGAATCTGGAACCAAACTCTGTTCTTTAAACTACCTAGCAGAACATCAGCTACTTTTTTAAAAAGAAAAGAAATGTACTTTTACTGTATTTGCATTAATTATGATTATATATTTACATATTTATTTTTATATATTTGGCATATTTGATGTTCCTATCCAGAATAACTTACAATTTGATGTATTATTATTATTATTATGTCCAGTTTATCAGCTCCACTTACTATATAGGTGCACTTTGTAGTTCTACAGTTACAGACTGTAGTCCATCTGTTTCTCTGATACTTTGTTAGCCCCCTTTTACCCTGTTCTTCAGTGGTCAGGACCCCCATGGACCCTCACAGAGCAGGTACTATTTGGGTGGTGGGTGATTCTCAGCACTGCAGTAACACTGACGCGGTGGTGGTGTGTTAGTGTGTGTTGCGCTGGTCTGAGTGGATCAGACACAGCTGTGCTGCTGGAGTTTTTAAACACCTCAGTGTCACTGCTGGACTGAGAATAGTCCACCAACCAAAAATATCCAGCCAACAGCGTCCTGTGGGCACCATCCTGTGACCACTGATGAAGGACTAGAGGATGACCAACACAAACTGTGCAGCAGCAGATGAGCTATTGTCTCTGACTTTACATCTACAAGGTGGACCGACAAGGTAGGAGTGTCTAATAGAGTGGACAGTGAGTGGACACAGTCTTTAAAAACTCCAGCAGCACTCCTGTGTCTGATCCACTCATACCAGCACAACACACACTAACACACCACCACCACGTCAGTGTTACTGCAGTGCTGAGAATGACCCACCACCCAAATAGTACCTTCTCTGTGGGGGTCCATGGGGGTCCTGAGCACTGAAGAACAGATGGACTACAGTCTGTAACTGTAGATCCACAATGTGAGACTATGTGGTCTGTGGAGCTGACAAGATGGACGATGAGTGGAGATTCAAGGAGGTGGTTTTAATGTGTGTGTGTGTGTGTGTGTGTGTGTGTGTGTGTGTGTGTGTGTGCGCGTTAGCGAGGTTAGCGTGCTTGTAAAGCTCAGAGAGGCACTAACCTGTGAGCTCAGGGGGGTGGGGTGAAGTCAGGAGGGGGGTCCTCTCTAAGTGGAATTCTAGAACAGAAACACACAAGAGCTGTTTAAACACACGCACACACACACACACACACACACACACACACACACACACACACACACACACACTACAGGACTGATACAACACATAAAAAGTTACACACACCCACCAAACACACACACTACAAACTGGACATCTACTGTATTAATACATCACTCAGTTGCCTGGAAAAGAGGAATGTTATTCTATAACCCCCCCCTGAGATTTACAAGCAGCCTGTGTGTGTGTGTGTGTGTGTGTGTGTGCGTGTGTGTGTAGGGGACACATTTGTTATGTAAAATGCTAATCATTTACTACTTGGTTACAATAACAAAGGTAGGAATCACTGGAGTCACTACGATACCATATTATCAGGATACAATTGTGATTTTTAAGCGTTTTTTTGTTGTATTTTACAGTAAGTCTATGATTATGAAGGGTGTATGAATGGTTTAATGCTGACTGGTGGAGAGTCAAGATAAAGTATTAATAAGCAATATCTGAAGATGAGGGTTCACTATTTTTTTCTTTTCTATTTATAATGTTTATATTGCTAATTCATCACCATATCCATGTTCAATATAATCAATACTCCATGTGCAATAATGTAAAATATTCTTATAGTGTAAAGATTTTTTGCTTTTCTATTTATAGTGTTTAATGACTCTCACTTTTTATGCATTTTATGCCTCTTTTCTATGATTACCTTTATTTGTTGGATTCTTCTTTTTTTATTTTTAATCGTTGTTCTGTTTTTAATTATCTTTTTTTCTTCTCTGTTGTTAATTTTTCTTTTCTCTGTGTTTTTATTTCTCTTTCTCTGTTGCTTTTACTGTAAAGCACTTTGAGCTGCATTTAATGTAAGTCCCAGATAAATAAAGACATTATTATAATTATCATCAACATTATTATTATTAATAGTAGTAGTAGTGGTATTATATTGTTAATTTTGTGAAAGGCAGAATTTATATTTTTTATCTTTGGTATTATATATATTGTCTACACAGTAATAAGCAACAAACTGTAACCGTGTTTAGTAATTAACACTGTTAATTACTAAACAGGTTTTACTGCTGTAGCACTGTGAATTTCTTTGTTGTGGGACTAATAAAGGATTGTCTCATCTTATTTTACAGGTTGCTGTTTTTATGTGTTATAGGTGCTTATTAATGATTTTCAGGGTATTTATTAATATTAACCATTAACAAGCCAATTTTAAACCATTCATAAATCCTTTATAAGGGTATTCTGGGTGTAAAGTGGTGCCTATTTGTGAGATGCTAAGTACTGTGATACACTGAGATTGACTGCTTTCATCTTCTATAAGAAAACTTTCTCTGTGTTCCTGAGCGAGACAGTGAACTTCAGCACCATCTTGTGGACTAAGATAGCAACTGGTCATTAAATATAATGATCAATACTATTGTTTCACCCAAAGTGGAGCATTATAATAGTGCGCTTATTAAGCCTTATCAAGCCAGAATCTGGTAAATAACTGACAGATCATTACTACTTTGTTAAGCCATAGCTAATGGTGAAATAGGCATTTTTATTTCTGCATTTTTGTGTGGTGTCATATGTCATGATCTTGTGTACAGCCCCTTCACAGTATTCAGACATTGAATATGCATATTTTCTTTATACTCTTATTAATATTTCAATACTAAAAGACCAGTCAGATCTAAATAAACTGCAAACTGACCCTCAGTCCTAAGTGAACGTTCAGTTTAATCACACTGACTTAAATTACAAAGCAAGCTCCATCTAAGCATCAGCTGTGCTTAATTAATAGAGCTTCTAGTCAATATCTAATCTGTTAGGCTGGGTCTCGTCAGCAAAACAGCAGCTTGATATCTTCATATCAGTTAATGATGTGCATCAGATTATGGTGTATAATATACAAATAAAAGTGCTCTGGAAATGCTTAATGCATCCCATTGGCTTAGAGGCAGTTTATCAGGCAATGCATTATAATGGCCCTCTATACTGAAGAGCTACTGAAGCTTATATATAAAGGAAACATGTTGTTTTACCTGGGAACTGATACGTGTAGCCAGGAGTGAGGCTGGTGTAACTGCGGCCAGCGTACGTTGCCGCCTGGAAACCCAGGGTAACCTGAAAAAGGAGAGCAATAACAGCAGGAATAATAACAATATTTTAAAAATATTTAATATTTTGCTACTTGCAAAGGAAAAAAAACATGTACCAAAGTTCATTTTTCTACATTGTTTGCTGCCGTTTACACTGGATAAACATTTCATGATAAAAGGACCAATAAAAATGCTGCAAACTGCTCAGAATAAAATCTATTTACATTAACTTACATTGAGAATAAATAATGTTTTGTTCTCTACTGTAAACTTACCATTAATACAAATATTAGTTATATAATATACAATAATATTAGTTGTAATGTTAAGTCTTAAGTAAGGAATTTGTATTTGTTTATATTTTATTTATTTATTAATATTTGCCCCTCAAAATGTTCCAATGATCATGTTGCCGCTTTTGTTTACCACATTAAAGCCTAATCAGGTTTATTTAGATGAAAACAATGTTACACGTGTAAATATTTGTGCCAATATTAGTGACTAGCTTGGGAAGTGAAAGGCCACGCCCACTTTATCCCTTTGTTGTGATGTCAGCATTTAAACCTTTCAGGTGTTTGAACCACTTTTGGACCAAAGGAGTTTAAATATAAGCTTTTAACAACAGTTTAGATCATAAAATGTTATTAATACATTAATACATTATTAATAAACCTGATCTTCACACGAAAGAAGACACTCTGATGATGATGAAGCTGAGTGCTAGGATAAATATACACACAGCCTCAGCACAGCTTTATGGTAAACTAAACCTTTGCAGGCAGTTTTCTTACTGAAAGGGGAATTCCACCAATTTTTCAAAATTTCTGCATAATTAAGTGGTGAACAGAGCGATTCAGAGCGGTTTGGTGTGAAACGGTTCAGATTTCTTTACAGTGGTGGTGATAGGAACCAGGGGTCGCCATGACTACAACACAAATATAGACATTTTATTTACTATCCAAAATTTGAAATATGTTTTTTATGAGGACTATTTTGCCTCACAACGCCCTGCATATATCCCTCCACCATGAATGGAGTTTAGGTTCTCAAAACTATCATAAAACAGTGTCTCAGTCATCAGGCAGTGAATTCATAACCATTTCATGTAGTAACTTTCTGTGAGGGAGCTTTTAGAGGTGGACGTCTGGTTCCTATCACCACCACTGTGAACAGTTCTGACTTGTTCTGACTACATCTAAACCATTTAATTATATGTAAAATGTTAAAGTTTGGTGGAATTCCCCTTTAACTGAAAAGCAATAGAGGAAAATTCTCAAAATGAGAGAAAAGTGTTTTTATATTTTTATTAATATTTATATCTATATTTATATAACGTCATATTAGTGTAAGTGTCATTCTAAACACTAGGTGGCAGCAAAGCATCGCTTTTCACTCCGGTCATGAGCCGCTCTCATAATTCTCATTCTGAAGTTTTTGAAGCACGTGAATTACCCAGCATGCCTATGCCCAGCATGAAAGCGTCCATCCCGTATGGCATGACCCTCGCACGGCCCCTCGATGACCCTGCCGGTGACATCACTTCCTTAGGCTGGGCCTTCTTGCACTCCACCTGCGGTCACCACAGAGAAAATAAGACATGAAAAAGTACAACAATGGCTTGAGTCCACGCCTCCATGATGCAGGCAGAAACACAATAGAGACTCGGGTTAAAGAACAACAGGCTCAAACCAGACCAACCAGTGCAAACTGAACCCTCACCATTTTATTGTTGATCTCGTGGAAGTGGATCTCACACACTTTCTCCACCACGTCCTCGTTCTCGAATGTCACAAAGCCGAACCCTGGAGACACAACGAACACGATCAGACTGCGGAGCAGGAGAGAGCTAAAGACTTAAAGGGCCAAATCATCAAAATAACAAATTTCCCCCTTCACTTTTTTTGAAATAACAGAGTTTTACGTAGTAAGTAAACATCTAAAATGTTACGTTCACGGAAACTAAGCTGCACAAACAGCCTGTTCTGAATTCACTGCTTTAGTGACGTCACAAAAACCAGTACAGTTACATATGTCCACTTATTCGGCCTACAGCAGTTCAGCTCCGCCCACTCAGTTATATCAGTTGTATAAGTTATACAGTTAAAGGTTATATATGGGTGTTTTAGCCTGGACTGCTTTCTGAACCAGGCGCGAAAACAAGGCAGCCAATCGGAACAGAGCTCATTTACATATTTCAGTCTTAAAGGTACAGTAACAACAACATTGTGCATGTATCCCTCCACCATGAATGGCTTTTAAACATGTTTTAAAACCAAAATCTTCTCAAAACTATCATAAAACAGTGTCTCAGTCATCAGGCAGTGAATTCATAACCATTTCATGTAGTAACTTTCTGTGGGGGAGCTTTTAGAGGTGTACGTCTGGTTCCTATCACCACCACTGTGAACAGTTCTGACTCGGTAAGTTTATCTAGAACAGAGCGTTTCACACCAAACCACTCTGACGTACATATATGTTAACTAAGCTTTCAAAACAGCCTGTTTTGAGTTCACTTTTGTGATGTCACAAAAACCAGCATGGTTGCATATGTCCACTTACTCTACCTACAGAAGGTCAGCTCCGCCCACTCAGTTAGAAGAAGTTATAAGGACAGTTTCAGCCTGAACTGCTTTTTAACAAGGCATCATACAGGACAGCCAATCAGTACAGAGCTCATTTACATATATCAGTCTTAAAGGTACAGTAGCAAAAGCAGCCTGTGTAATTGGATATGGTAAAGCGATAAGGAGCAGCTGGAAAACAGTCATGGAAAAGTGAATTATGAATGTTTTCGGTGCTTAAAAATACACAAACATCACTGGAAAATTTTAAACATAAGAAAAATTTGTAGAATATGGGCACTTTAAAGGAAAGACAGTTCAGGCTTCGTGGCAGCTGCTACTGTTGTTATTAGCCATGTGATGTTTCGTCAGGGGTGTACTGATTCACAGCATTCATAACTCGATTTGATTTGTTTTGATTTTTAGATATAGCAAAAATCAGCAGTGGCTGAAAATCTGCTCTACATATTAATGTTTTCAATTTCAGCTTATAAGATCAACCAGCATTACAAAAGTACAATATTTAAAACCAAAGCTGTGCTTTATAGTGTGTTTTTGTGTTTCCGCTACAGGCTGAACAGGATTTTTACCAGCGCTCTGTAAAGCTTCACAACGAGCACTACGGAACTGGGCGGAGCCTGAGTAGGTCAGCTGAAGTGTGGACCCGCATACGGGCGCCCAGAGTTTACGGGGTTAAACGAGTCCTCTGAGTTTAGAAGGTTCCCTTTATGCCAGATTTATCCGCCTCATCTGTCCCTCTCTCCGGGCCCCTCCCCCCTCCTGTCCTAATCGATCAGCTGTGGGACAGAAGCAGGAGGGGGGAGGGGCTTAACGAGGGTTTAGCCTAAAACCCCCCCAACGATTAACGAACCCACTAATTACCCCGCCTCCCTCCTCACCTAACGTTTATCCTACTGAGAGAGAGAGAGAAAGAGTAGAGAGAAAGAGAGAGAGAGAGAGAGAGAGAAAGAGGGAGGGAGAGTTTGGGTCAGAGTGACTCACCTCTGTGTCTGTTGGTGGTCTTATCAAACATAAGCATGGCATCATCCACCTACAGGAAACAGAAACAGAGAGAGAGAGAGAGAGAGAGAGAGAGAGAGAGAGAGAGAGAGAGATTAATTAGAACATAAACCCTCCTCACTGATACACACAGAACATCCTGGACCAATAAAGAATCTACAACACTGTCACTGTAATATAACAACTATATACACTGTACAACACTGTCTTTACCCACAATACAGTTCACTGTAATATAATGACTGACTGTATACACTGTACAACACTGTCCTTACCCACACTGCACTGCACTCTAATATTACACCTGACTATATATGCTGTACAATACTGTCCTTACCCACACTGCACTGCACTCTAATATTACACCTGACTATATACGCTGTACAATAATGTCCTTACCCACACTGCACTGCACTCTAATATTACACCTGACTATATACGCTGTACAGTAATGTCCTTACCCACACTGCACTGCACTCTAATATTACACCTGACTATATACGCTGTACAATAATGTCCTTACCCACACTGTACTGCACCCTAATATTACACCTCACTGTATACAATACAACACTGTCCTTACCCATAATGCACTGCATTCTAATATTACACCTGACTATATACACTGTACAACACTGTCCTTACCCACACTGCACTGCACTCTAATATTACACCTGACTATATACACTGTACAACACTGTTTTTACCCACACTGCACTGCATTCTGATATTACACCTCACTGTATACAACACTGTCCTTACCCGTAATGCACTGCATTCTAATATTACACATGACTATATACACTGTGCTACACTGTCTTTATCAATGCTGCACTGCACTCTGATATTACACCTCACTGTATACAATACAACACTGTCCTTACCCGTAATGCACTGCATTCTAATATTACACATGACTATATACACTGTGCTACACTGTCTTTATCAATGCTGCACTGCATTCTGATATTACACCTCACTGTATACAACACTGTCCTTACCCGTAATGCACTGCATTCTAATATTACACATGATCATATACACTGCGCTAAACTGTCTTTATCAATGCTGCACTGCACTGATACTACACCTAGCTATATACACTGTACAACTGTCCTTACCCACACTGCTATGCACTCTGATATTACACCTTGCTATATACACTGTACAACACTGTCCTTACCCACCCTGCACTACAGTATTAAAACTGTCTATGTACACTGCATAACACTGTCCTTTACCCACACTGCACTGTAATATTACACCTGACTATATACACTGTACAACACTGTCCTTACCCACGCTGCACTGCGCTCTGATATTACACCTTACTGTATACAACACTGTCCTTACCGATAATGCACTGCATTCTAATATTACACATGACTATATACACTGTACTACACTGTCTTTATCTATGCTGCACTGCACTCTGATATTACACCTCACTGTATACACTACAACATTGTCCTTACCCACACTGCCTTGCATTCTAATATTACACCTGACTATGTACACAATACAGTTCAAATACAGTTGAATTGAACACATTGGGAAAAATCTAATCTAATATGTGGCCTACACAAAAGTTATGGAAAATTTTATATTTTAGGTACATTTTTGTGCAATATAATTTACAAAATAATGCATAATTAAGTCTCTCAAGGAGGGTGGATAAGAGGATGTGTTAACTTATCTTTACTTAAAACATCAACAAAACATGTTCAAACCTTAACATGCGACTATATATGAACTGTATGGACTGGAATGTTTCAAAACACACTACATTACAGTAAAAAACTGGGGAAATTTTGGTTTTCTGTGATGTGAGCCTGTTTAGCCTGTGCTGTTTATGAGTGGCTTACGCAGTGGTGAAACCCCGTTATTAGTACACAGCTCAGATAACACACACACAGAAACACACAGCTCAACATCCAAAATATTGACACAAAAACACACACTCTGGCGGGATTAACAGCGAGAACTGGCGTTCCCACCTGTTCCCAATCCAGGAGGCTCACCTTCTCTAACCTTATTTTCATACAAATGCACTAAAATCTGACTTTTTATGACTAATAAGGTCATAATCAAGTAAATATCGCAGTGTGCCAACCTCGCCTCTTCACACGCAGATAGAGTTCCAGCACAGAGCGAGCGTCTGTGTGTGTGTGTGTGTGTGTGTGTGTGTGTGATATGCTAGAAGGTGTGTGGTCAGAGTGTGTGTGCACTGATGAGAGTGAGTGTGTATCTGCGTCACTGTGACTATTCACACAGACGTCTCCAAACAGTTTAGGTCTAAAGGTCAAAGGTGAAGGTCAAAGGGGTGTGTGTGTGTATTCTTGTGTGTGTGTGTGTGTGTGTGTGTGTGTGTGCGCGTGTGTGTGTGTGCATGTGCATGTGAGAACACCGAGTACTGCTGGACCCTCAGCTGGGGGGGGGGAGTTGTTGATTGAGCGGCGGTCAGGATTTCCATTCCTATCACATCTTATATGGAGGCCCTTTCACACTATTCTGCAGACTCGGTTTTCTCCCTCTGAATAAACGAGGGCTGCCGAACGATGAAAATGATTAATCGTAATTAATCGCATTCTTCTATGTAGCTAATTACAATTGATCTTGTTCTTCTGTGTACCTAATCGCTATTAATCGCATTCTTCTGTGTAGCCAATAGCGATTAATCACATTCTTCTGTGTACCTAATCGCTATTAATCGCATTCTTCTATGTAGCAAATTGTGATTAATCATTCTTCTGTGTAGCTAATTGTAATTAATCACATTCTCTGATGTAGCCAATTGCAATTTATCGCATTCTTCTGTGTAGCTAATCGCAATTAATCACATTCTCCTATGAAGCCAAGTGTGATTAATCACATTCTTCTGTGTAGCCAATAACAATTAATTGCATTATTTTTGTGTGGCTAATTTAGATTAACTGCATTCTTTTTTGTAGCTAACTGTGATTAATCACATTCTGTGTGGCTAATTGTGATTAGTCACATTCTTCAGTTTGGCTAGTTGGGATTAATCACATTCCTTCATATGGCCAATAGCGATTTGGTTATTCATAAACATTAGTTTTATTGTCTGATCGCAGAACATAAACATGTAAATCAACGTGATCAGTGAGAGTGAGATCTCAGTCAGTGAGAGCAACAGTGGCTGCACGTTCCAACCAATAAGTGTATATATCATATATAGTCAATGCTTCAATCAACTTCCACACTGCATTGTTTTGTTACATATGGTATTGTATCGTACTGTAATCTGTTGTGTATGGTTGTGTTTATATATATATATATATATATATATATATGTATAAAACATTTTTCCTGCATGCTGTTTTATTGTCCATTGTCATGTAATTGTTCTTAAAAAACTCAGCAATATATCACCATTAAAAGCAACATTGCTCACTGACTGGCTGTCAGTCAAACCAGGCTGGTTCAACCAATAACTTCTGATGGCAGAAGTTGGTAAATGTTTGATGTTTTCCTCTAAAACTCTTCACAGACCAGCAGCACATAAACCACGGACACTAATGACCACTTTCCGGTGGCCTTGTGGATAATTGAGGAGTTATTACTGAGTTAATGAGGACATTTTAATGGCATACTCTCATCCCAACACCATTCCTCTTTTCTCCTCCCCCTTTTTTTCCTCTCTCCATCCCTCCCTCACTCCTACCCACCACCCCCCCACCCCCCCGCCCTCCACCACGTCCAAAGCAGGCCAGCTTACAAAGTGTCCAGTGAGGCAAACTAATCTGGAACTTCCCCGGGTGGCTGAAGCTTCATCTCCCTCTCTCTCTCTCTCTCTCTCTCTCTCCACATTCCACATATAAAGCTCAAGATCTTTCTGATCAAATGAGTGCAGTGAACGGCCCCTACAGCCCAAAAGAATGAAAGGAATAAAGTTTTTTCCCCCAGTGCGGAAAGAGTGGGTGAGTTTTTGCCCGTTTGAAGTGGACACCAGCTTTAAAAGTGGTATTGTTGTTGTGGAGCTGCAGTAATGAGCAAGACTCCTCCCATCACACAGACACACATGCATGCTTGTTTTTCTATCATGTCTGGACCTGGGGTTACACATACGTTACAAGTTTGTACGATTTTACTTGCGTAAGGAAGGAGAAGAGTTTCCAAACCGTTTAAACATGATCAAAAGCTCCAGAGAAAATATGGCTCCTAATAACCATCTGGAAGACCTGGCAGACCCCAAAACTGCCCCCATCAGATAAACAGCACTTAAAGCTTTCATCTCTGAGAGAGAGGAGAAAATCAAGCTGCTTCAGATCTGAAAACATCCACAGGTGTTTCTGTCCATCGTTCCACTGTGAGAAGACGACTCAGCGCTGTGGGTCTGAAAGGATGTGTAGCTGTCAAGAAGAACCTCACTGAGAAAAGGGAGACGGACACATCAAACAAAGAAGCCGGACAGTGGACTGACCACCCCAGAGTCCAGACCTCAACACCACTGAATGTGTTTGATTACTTCAGAAAATCATCAACCAGCTTCTGAGACTGAACTTTGGAGGCGTGTCTGCAGATTCTTTGAGGAACTGAAAGTGAGGCTCCTGAAAAGAATGGAAGCTGGAATAAAGGTTGAGATTAGAGTTAGCCGTTGAGGCTTCTGTGTGATTTTATGTTAAATATGTGTTTATTTTAAGTTAATTTTATTTAATAAATGAAAGGATGATGTCTGACCTTTGCGCAGTATTGTTCATGTAAGACCTCATATGTACTACGTCCCATATGTATTATATACATGTATATAATACACATACGTAAGGAGAATTTTCTAAGCTTAATTATGATTAATAATCATAAACTCAGGAACCAGAAAGAAATGGTTTCACTCTTTCAGCTTAAAAAAATAAACAGCACTTTACAAAGTCAGCACAGATTGATTAGCTTAGTCTATTTTTTCTGAATTTTTTCAATATAAAGTCCTGAAAATGTATGAAAACACACACACACACACACACACAGTCTTTCCCTCCCTCTCTCTGTCTCTCTCTCTCTCTCTCTCACACACACACACACACACACACACACACACACACACACACACACACACACAGTCTTTCCCTCCCTCTCTCTGTCTCTCTCTCTCTCACACACACACACACACACACGCAAACCACACAACAAAACCTTTTGCCCGCTGAATTACTTGGGGACAATAGATGGGTAGGTCACCGTGGTAACGGGGCAGTAGGGGGGGGTCTGGGGCAGGAGCAGCTGTTCCATCAGATTAATTCAGATTCAAGTGCTTCTCCCCCCACCACCCTGCCCAAACTCACCCCACCAACTTTAGCCTGTCCATCTCCCTCTCTTCTCTCTCTCTCTCTCTCTCTCTCTCTCCCTTGCTCTATCATTCCCCCCCAAAATTCAGACCCACTTCTCTACAACTTCCCCCAAACTCTCTCTACCCATCTCTCCATCTCCCACCTCCATCAAATGGGCCACTCACCCTTCACGTTAACATTTACATTAACAGCGCAGTGCAAATAAAGTTTGGGCCAACCTGGCCTAATTAGGTGCTCTGTTGTATTTTCTATGAGTAAACAAGTTAAAACACACTTTATCGAAAACACACTTAAAGTATACAAAAAAATAAAGCATACAACAGAAAATGTGCCAGAACTTTTGCACAGGCCACAAATTATGTTGTTTTTTCCGCAAATAAACAGTAAATGTGCTTTGAAACATGTTCCCTGTTTTACTGTCACTTATATTAATTATAATAATAAAACATATAATTTGACTAGGGGTGCCCAAACTTTTGCACACAGCTGCATTTGTCTACACTAACATTACAGTTAATACAAATGAACTGACATTCAGTAAATGAAGCTTTAGTTTATCCACTATTTGCACTTTGCTCTATACAAAGGCTGATTGGCTAATACTTCATAATCATACTGTATTCACATTTAGTCATATTTACTCTGATTTTAATGATCTCACAGGCAAAGCTAAGCTTATATTTAGGCTTATATTTCTGACAATAAGACATTATCATTAATTTTCCACTGTATATATGTTGACTAGCATTTATTCTAATATCAGTTCTACTCTGTCTCCGGTGGACTAATACTTTTGCACGGTACTGTAAATTTCCATTCGTTCGTTCGGCAGAACCGTTCCAGGTTTTCACTCTCACTCTTTCCTCCCCCTAAACTACCCCCTTCCCTCTACTTCTCATTGTCTTTCTTTTCTTTCTTCCTTTTCTCTTTTCAATAGGCTCCCCCGCTCCCCAAACTTTGCCCCATCTCTCCCCCTCTCCACCCCCCCTCCATACACCCACTACACCCACTTCTCTCTCTCTTCACCAGCTCTGCTCTACATTCCTCTCTTTTGTCGGTTTCCAGGCGAAGGCAACAAAAATGTCCCTGTTTAGCGTTTCTCTCTCACAGGTGAGCTTCGTCTGAAACGTCTTCCCTCTCGCGTTAGCCGCTTTATTAAACGGCCGACTCTTCCTCTGGACCGTCAGCGTTCACCCCTCAGGGACTGTTCATTAGGCCGCCTGTACACTCTATTATTATGCTGTTGTCTGTCAGCCCCACCTCCTCCCCCGACTCCCCTAACTCATGGTGAGTTAGCTAGTTGGCTAACGTTATTGTTTAGTCACACACAATTTCACCCACAGTAGTACAGCAATGATCCTAACTGTGGCAACAGGACTCTGCTAATGTTAGCTAAGTCACCCGATTTCACTAGAGGTAATGGTTAATGCACAACTAGGAAACTGTAACGTTAATAAAAAAGTGCTGATAGAATCGATTATCCTCTCGTCTGACGACTGAAATCTGCTTTCTTCTGTTTCTGCTCCACAGTTTTGAGTATTTCACATTTCCTTACCAAGACAGGATTCAGACCGCAGATTAGTGCTAGCGTAACGGAAATGGGTGTAGTGTAACCACGGAAATAGGAGTATGCTGATCATTGAAATGGGTGTAGTGTAACCACGGAAATAGGAGTATGCTGATCATTGAAATGGGTGTAGTGTAACCACGGAAATAGGAGTATCCTGATCATTGAAATGGTTGTAGTGTAACCACAGAAACTGGTGTATTGTAAACATAAATAGGTGGAAATAGGTGTAGCGTAACAATGAAAACAGGTGTAGCGTAACAATGAAAATAGGTGTAGTGTACCTATGGAAATGGATGTAGTGTACCTATGGAAATGGATGTAGTGTACCTATGGAAATGGATGTAGTGTAACCACATAAATGGGTGTAGGGAAACCATGAAAGAGGTTGTTCGACAACAGAAATAGGTGTAGGGTATCCATGGAAATAGGTGTAGCATAAGCCTGAAAATATGTGTGATGTAACCACAGAAATAGGTGTATGGTAACCATTGAAATAGGCGTGGTGTTGCCATGGAAATGGGTGTAGTGTAACCATGGAAATGGGTGTAGTATAACCACAGAAACTGGTGTATTGTAACCATGAAAATAGGTGTAGCATAATCATATAAATGTGTGTAGTAGTAGTAGTGTGTAGAAATCAACCATAGGAATGGGTGTATGGTAACCATTGAAAAAGGTGTGGTGTTACCATAGAAATGTGTAGTGTAACCACAGAAATGGGTTTAGTGTAACCATAGAAATGGGTGAAAGAAACAAGTGTGGGCTGTTGATCCATATATCAGTGGTGTGGATCAAGCGGATGCACTTCAGATGGATTTTTATCAATCAGCTCATGTTATAATTCTGTTTCTGTAATCTGGATTATGGCTGACCAGTAAGAGGACACCTGCACTATTTACAGATTTACTCACACAACTTCTAGATCTGCACTGTGTTTATGTACATTTTGCTTCAATCTAGTAGGATCTATACTTTTTTACAGTGTTCATATTGTCATTCCTATACATTGCAGTCTATATTTCATGCTGTCTTGTCCTGTGCGGTCACTGTATGATGCTGAATGTGTTGGATTAGTAATTGGTCTATTGTACTGCACTGTCTTGTATCGCTGCACTGATGTACTGGAGGAACACTGTATACTGTAGATGGATGAGATTAGAGCTGTTACAGTGTTTTTCACTGTGTGCTGTGAGCATCCTGACCAATCCAGTGAGTTTCCAGGTGTTTTCATAAATCAGGGTGTTATTTCGGTCAAAATAATGCAGGTTAATCTTTAACCATGTGACGTTAAAGACTTACCAGTGCGTGTTAAACATATTGTAAGGCAGTCACAGTTGCGTCATGCAGCGATATAATCATAATATGTTTTTTTTTTGTCCATATCATTTCGTGGCCTCCTTACCTTTCCAAACTGGTCAAAGTACTGCTTCACATCTTCAATTGTGGTGTTTACTGACAGACCCCCAACAAAGATCTTCTTAGTCCTGGTCACCAGCTGAGAGAGAGAAAAGGGGAGCGGGGGAGGGAAGACGAATAATCAGGAGGGGGTTTCAAAAAGCAGTTCGGAGAAGAAAACAGGGACACTGCTGTTGGACAATCCTCACAAAACCAAACCAGTTTCCCCTTCTAACCCCAAATGCAGCCGATCAGCCAAGACACATTTGGTTCTCGTTAATTTTACCACTGGAGCTGCGAGGCTAATAAGCAGGAAGCTAATAGCCACCAGTTAGCATCATTACTTAGCAAGATGTTCACTGCAAAATCCCGCCTTGTAAAATAACCCCCAGCTCCACATAATGATAGATTACAGTTAAGTGACCCAAGCCACTCCTGGCCAGGTGGGATTGACAGATGGACAGCTGTGCTGAAACACGTACCTTTGGCTGGGCCCGGCGGGGGAAGGCCACTTTCGGGTCGATCTAGAGGAGAGGCGGAGAGGAGAAACGCGGGTTTAGCAACTCCAACCATGTCTACGGAAAAGAGGGAGGAGGAATGTAGGTTCCTCCAGAGGTCAGGAGGTCAGACTGAATCCTGCTGGATGCTCCTTCATTTGCCTGGACCCTTAAACGTCACGTTTCAGACCCCTTGAGATACTTAGCATAGCTGTGTTAACCAATTAAAGAGCAACACCAACCACCTCTCTTCTCTGCTCTTCAAGATGGTTCAGAAAACACTGTCTAAACAGCTTTTACACAGACCAGCATGCAAACTAGCTAACATTCACTAAGTTACCATGCTATAAACAACAGGTGGTCACTGGTCATCACAATGTAACCATGGGCGGACGCCACAATGGCAAGACACTGTATAAATGTAATGCTAGTAAGACCAGCATGCTACATAGCTAAATATATGATGCTAAGTGCTAACACTGGCTAAGTTGCCGATATCACAGCTAGAGGTGGGTAATCCAGGTCCAAAAAGTGAAAAAAACCCTCCCCAGGATTTTGTTCCAACTGCTTGACTTCTCTAATTTGCTCAAACCAGCAGCAAAGGTGTTCAGGCAGTTGGAACAAAATCCTGGGGAGGGTTCTTACTTTTTGGACCTGGATTAACCACCTCTAATCACGGTAGAAACAACAGCTCGGTCATTGTGACTAATCATGTACACCAACCATCGAAAGAACATTAGCTAGGCTGGCATGCATGCTAGCTAAAAATATGAAGCTAAACACTAAAATTAGCATGGCTAGCTTTTACCAGTACCATACAAACAGATGGTCAGTGGTTCTCTGACATAATCATGGGCAGGTTGACCATCAAAAACACTGCTAGAACAACAGGTTAGCTAGGCTGGCACGCAAGCTAGCTAAAAACAGGGCACTAAAATTAGCAAGGTTAGCATTTTTCAATACCATAGATGGTCAGTGGCCCTCATGATGTAATCACGAGTGGCTTGACCATCAAAAAACACAGCACAAACAACCATAACATTAGCTTGGCTAGCATGCATGCTAGCTAAAAATATGAAGCTAAATACTAAAATTAGCATGGTTAGCATTTATCAATACCACAGCTGGTCAGAGGTCCTGGCTTGACCATCAAAAAACACAACCATAACATCAGCTAACATGCTAAAAACATGAAGCTAAACACTAACTTTAGCAAGATATCAGGTAGAAATAATAGTTAGGGAGCTAGCTAATCTGTTTGTGTGGTAGTAGCAGGTAGTCTGATGTGAAATTATTTAATTATGGAGGTGTTTATTAATATTATTATTTTTTTAACCCAGTTTTATGCTAACAGAACAGCATGACTTCAATCGATGCCATAGCTGGTCAGTGGCCCTCATGATGTAAACACGAGTGGGCATCAAAAAACACAACCATAGCATTAGCTAGGCTAGCATGAAGCTAAAGACCAACTTTAGCATGAAATAACAGTTAGCTAGCTAGCTAATCTATTTATGCGCTACTAATCGATAGTTTTATGTGACATGATTTAATTATTAAGGTGTTTATTAATGTTTTTATTTTTTAGCCCAGTTTTATGCTAACAAAACTGCACAACGTCTATCAATAACACAGCTGGTCAGTGGTCCTCATGATGTAAACACGAGTGGCTGGACCATCAAAAAGCACAACCATAGCATTAGCTAGGCTAGCATGCAGGCTAAAAATATGAAGCCAAAGACCAACTTTAGTATGAAATAATAGTTAGCTAGCTAGCTAATCTATTTATGTGCTACTAATAGGTAGTTTGGTGCGACATGATTTAAAAATGTTATTATTTTTTAGCCCAATTTGATGCTAAAGCAACAGAATGAGTTCAATCTAACTCTCCCCAAACTTTTTTTTGTTCTGAAACAAGCTTGTGAAAAAGACTCGCGATCGAATGAACACATGCTAAAGTACCAGATGGCGTTTTTTTTTTTGTTCTTTTATTCCTTGTATAATTTCATTGGTGTTGCTCTTTAAGTGATGCATCACCTGCTGAACGTTAGCGTGTCGTCAAAGGGAGGTTCTACTGAAACGGGTAAAGTGTGAGATTGGGACGGAGGGAGAAGAAAGAGAGAGAAAAAAAAAGAGGAGAGAGAAAGAGAGAAAGAGAGAGAGTCCAAATGTGAAAGGAACCGGCTTGAGCGGGACGGAGAGGGTGAAAGCCGAGGGAGAGGACGCGTGAGAAAGAGAGGCAGAGTGAGAGAGAGAGAGAGAGAGAGAGAGAGAGGGAGAGTGGGAGAGGGAGGGAGTTTCTGTGTCAACACCCGCGGACAAAGAGAAAAGAGGGAGTAGAAAAAGTTCTCTGGTTACTAGGAGAGACGAGGAGAGAAAAGAGAGCGGGAGAGAAAGGAGAGAGCGGCGGACTCTAGGGGCTGACAGGCCCATCTGTCACTGAATGGAGGAGAGAAGGGTCAGGAACACCACACAGCGACACAAAACGCACACTCGCTCGCACACAAACACCTCGCCACTGACGCCGCAGCCACAGCCCACCTTGGACGATATTAAAAAACACACAAAAAAGGAAAGAAAAGAGCAAAAAATAGGGAAGAAGGTGACAGAAAGGGGAAAAAAAACCCTTGACCCACACAGCCCACAGACCTTTTTGTTTGTTTGTGTTTGTTTGTTTTTGTTTATCTGTCCTTTTTTCAACCCCAGAGTGACGTTGGTGAGGTTTATAAGAGGATTCGAAACACAGAAAATTAAAAAATTTAAAAAACAATCAAAAAAAATTGTTTTGTGCTCACACAGGAGCCGAGTTAGCACTCTAACAACACCCCTCGGGATCAATCATGTGAGTGTGATTTGTATTGTATTTATTATTTTTTGCACATAAAAAGTGGCATACACTCTTTAAAAAGATGAAGCGTTCTTCAGTAAAGGCAACGGTTCCATGTATCTAGAACCATTTCATGCTTGAAAGGTTCCTGGCAGGTGAAACGGTCCTTCAGATTGATAGAGAACGTCTTGTATATGGTCCTGTACGGCACCAGAACGCTTTCGTCGTAACAAAAGCAGAACCCTTCTTGGTGCTACAACACATTCTCCATCAATCTGAAGGGCCGTTTCAGTATTTAAGGCAACGGTTCCATGTATCTAGAACCATTTCATGCTTGAAAGGTTCCTGGCAGGTGAAATGGCTCTTCAGATTGATGGAGAATGTCTTGTATATGGCCCTGTACGGCACCATAAAGCTGTCGTCGTAACAAAAGCAGAACCCTTCTTGGTGCTACAACACGTTCTCTGTCAATCTGAAGGACTGTTTCACTGTTTAAGGTTCTCGGTTCTATATTGAGCCACTGCCTTTACAAAAGAACCCTCTTTTCTTTTGAGAGCGTAAGGGAGAAACAAATCAATCAACAGACCAAGCAAACTGCAAACATGCTAGATTAACAAATACTCAAGACCGCTAAGTTGTATTAGTCTAGAGAACTGTTCTAAGTCCAGCTAGGCACTGAAGGCTAGTCTACTCCATGCTGTACTGAGGTTAAAGTCTAGAAGACAGTGAAGGCAGTACAGCTCTAGTAAGATTAGTCTGAGTCTCAGAGAGGGTTTGAGTGGAGCTAAATGCTAATCAGCTAGCACCTCTGGCTTCCAGACTACAGCGAACAGGCCAGTTAGCTTCGGCCTTCCCCGACCCGGCGAGCAGTTTTTTGTTTTTACTGCCGTTTCTAGAGAAACAGAGTGAAGAACGCTAGGCTAGTCTCTGCACACAGATCGGATGCAGACGCTACGGTTTAGGTCTATGAGTCGCTACGCTAGTCTGATATAGTCACCTCCAGTCCATTACACTCCTGAAGCCCCACCACTCCTGTGCACGGTCAAAAACAAACAAACAGACACACACACGCACACACACAGACAAACAAACAAACAAACAAACAAAAATCAACATACAGTGCAGTAGGTGACACACGGCAGGATAGCAGTGGAGTAAAAGTGGACAGCTAAACATACGGAGAGGTCATGGGGGTGGGGCGGTTAGTCTGCTCGCTTTATGCATTTTTAAAAGGAACAAATATGCAAAGAAATAAACAATTAATAAAGAAATAGACGGTGGCACTGTTACACACAAAAGGGCGTTATTTGCATGTTATTAAACAGTCATAATTCATTTTCACACGTCCATTTTTGTCACTGCGCATTTCAGACATTCTAAAGTTACTGTAAGATTTTTTTGTTTTTCAAATGAAAAACAGAAAATTTATTAGAGATTTTATGTAAATGAGCTCATTCAGAAAGCAGCCTGAGCTGAAACACTCAGTGTCAGAGTGAGTGGGCGGGACTAAACTGCTGTAAGCTGAATAGGCGGGCATGTGTAAATGTGACATCATCAAAAAGGAAATTTTCACACCTGGCCTTTTCAGACAACATTAAAATAAATAAATAAATAAATAAACATATAATTGTGTTCCATCTGCATGCTTCGACACGCAGATGAGCTCTGTTTTGATTGGCTGCCTCATTCAGAAAGCAGTCCACCTGAAACACTCAAAAGCGTCAGAGTGAGTGGGCGGGGCTAAACTGCTGTGGTTAAATAGGCAGGTATGTGTAAATGTGACATCATCAAAAAATATTTTTTTGTGACTGTGCATTTGTAAGTTAATGTTACAAGACCTTTCTGCTGTATAATTCTGGGCCACTTCTATTGGTTCATTCATCATGAAAATATTAATGCTGGCATTTTCAAGTGACTAAAAACGTCAAAAATGGAGATCGCGACAGCGACAACATGTAAATGTGCTCTTTTTGGATTGGCTTCCCTGTATTGTGCCTCATTCAGAAAGCAGTCGGGTCTGAAACACCCCTTATAACTTCAGCGTGAATGGGCGGGGCTAAACTGCTGAAGACTGAATATGTAAATGTGACATCACAAAAAATCAATTTTCACACCTGGCCTTTTCAGATAACATAAAAATGAAGAAAATAAAAACAGCAAAAATAGAAATACAGTTGTGTTCCACAGCAACAACATTTAA